GCATATGTGTTAGCAAAAATTAATCTAAGTTTTTGCCAAATTTCATCGAGATCTGAATATCAAACTATGTGTATATAAATGTCATGTCTTTGCTGTAATGCGTATGTTTGTAAAGCAACTTGAAAAAAGGTTTGGCAAACCCTAGACAATTTGTAATGCGAGCTGATCAAGGTATCCTCAGACCACGCGGAATGACGATTTCTTTTCGGGCAATGCGCTAATTCGAAAGTTCCCTTGACCGTATCCTTGCCAAGCTAATTTTGAACCCTTTGCTTCACTTGATTTCGTTTTTTTTTAATTTTGAGTTCATTGATCCCCTTCTGTTTGTGTTTTCCAACTCTCAATGTCTTGCATCGTCATCTTGCCGACTGCATTGCCTCATAAAGAGTTCGGAAAGGAACTCTTCACCTTTGCTGGAACAATCACTCGCCCTCTCACTCAAAAAACGACTTTTTTTCGGGTGGGGTGGCTGAAAGGAAAAGGGGGGAAAAACGCCGCAGGTAAAAGCGCAGACGGCCTTAAAACGGCCTTCAACCTGAGGGTCGATCGCTGTTTTTGGGGGGTACCTCCTCGGTTGGCGCGCGTCCCTGCCTCCTCCTCCTCCTCCGATTTTCCGGCTGTTTTTTCGGTGTGTTCTCCTTGCCGAGGCGCCGCCGCTTCCCAGCCCCACGGTTGCCCCGAGGCTATGATGATGGGTTGAACAATGTAAGTTGAAAGTTGCGCGGAACGTTCGCTCAGTGGGAAAGTGAGGGAGAATTGGGCTGGAAGAGGCGGATAATCGGAATTTTGAGGGAGTATGGACGATAGGCAAGATAGTAAAGGGTGAGGAGCTAAAAAAGCCGGCCTATTCTTTTGGTAGTGGACTAATAGATTACTGTAATTTTCAAAAACTCTTTACTTCTTCGTTTTTTTTATTTTTCTTTTATTTTTTTGCCGCAAACGGCTAGAGGTGCTGGTGGAGGTTTAGATTCAAAAGGCCGGATCTCGAGATCCCGGCGATCAAATTGCCTTGATCTTTTGCAGTTGTTATCTGTGTAGGGCTTAGTTTAATTGCTGAAAATTTTAGCCTTTGTTTTGAAAATAGAGTTTTTAAAATTCCATGATTTTTGGTGTATGTGAAATGAAAGGTCATTGAAAAAAGTTTGGTTATACCATGATGATTTTTTAGGAAAAATTTTGACACTGAAAATCGAAATTTTTTTTACATTTCTGTTTTTTAAGACAGAAATGTAAAAAAAAAAAATTTTTTTAAAATTCTCAGAATTACAAGTAAAAAACAACCTAAAATTTTGGTATATGTCTTAGAAAGTTGTGGTCTAATTTAGCCCCAAGTTGCATCAAAATTTCAAATTTAAATTTAATTTTTTTTTCAATTTTTCAAAATCTTTTCTTCAAAATTTTTCCAGACCTTCAAAACCGTCACCTAAAATCAACCCCTCCGGGTTGAATGTTTATTTTCCGACGAGAAAAGTGGATTATATTCGGGCCGGCCTATAAAACGATTTTCTCAATTTTCCGCGTCCCGCGATTGCGAAAAATAACTCATAAAAGGCGGAGGGCCGCCGGCAAACAGCCGCCGGCAACAAGTTGTGCGCAAAACAATTTGAGGAACTGAATGGCGAGGGGATTTTTTCGTGGATCAAGAGCCTCGAGGTCGAATTTTTTGTTTTTTTTTTTGTCCATGCAATACTCTCGATTTCATACGGTCGAAAAATGGGGGGAGAGTAGGGGAAAATGGGGGGAAAGTTGGGGCGAAAAGCGAGATTTTTCGAGAGTTTTTGATTTTTACTGGATTTGCAGAAAGTGCTAGGGCTAAGTTGATGCTTCAACAGTCAAAATTAATTTACGATTTTATCGAAAAATGAGGATTTTTTGAAATTTTTCGCAATTTTTTTTTTTTTTTTTTGATTTTTTCATCTTATGCGTAAAGTTAATGTTCAAACCGGGATTTTTTGATATCTCTGATATTTTTCTTCTTTTTCAAGACTTCAGTTAGCTAAATTACAATGCCCGAGGCAAAATAAACGTAACTTGTTTAGGTAAAAATGGCTTTGCTATAAAATTTTTGATGTCTTCTTCAAGTTATAGGTAAAATTTTCAAAAAAGTATCAATTTCCTGCAATTTTCTTGCATTTTCTTTTTCTTCATGCCTTCTCAACAGCAAATTACAGTCTAAAAAGCAAAAAAAGTCTTATTTTTTGAGAAAAACAGTATTTTTTTACTTTTCAAAATATTTTTTTCAATTTTTGCCAACTTTCCTCCAAAAATTACTCCAAAAACATGTCTTCCATCACCGAGATCGCCAATTGTTGCCTCTCCAAGTCATCAACTTTCCAATTCTCACCTTTTCCTTTTCTATCACCTCTTCTTTTGCGCTGCGAAAATCGCATGCCGACCGTTGCCCTCCTCCCATTCCTGGGGCCTGTTAATTACCCCGATTAGGGTCCGGAAGGTCGTTGCGATCTGTTTTCGGACCTTTTTTTCGTCGCATATCCGGTTGGGAAAACAGTGATTTGGGCCCGGCGGCGATTCGGCTTTATGGGGTCTTGCGACAAAATTTGCGGGAACTTTATCCGCGTGATCATCAGATTTGGAAGTTCTATGGGAATGGCGGTGGCCCGAGGGCTTGGGATTTCGATTTTGGTGAATTTTGGGTCATTTTGGTGTGTTTGGAGTGAAATATAGAAGACTTTCCCCTAAGGGCATAATTGCTTAAATCTTGGATTTTTCGATGCTCCAGGGCATTTTTGTAATGTAAAAATTTTCTTTGAAGCATTAAGAAGTGAAGAGTCTCAAAAATCGCCCCAGGGCGTATATCTCTATACCTTGTAATGTCTGAAAGCCCTAGGGCATTTTGCAATTTTTCTAAATTTTTTCCGGGGCCTCTGATTGCTAAAATCATCAAATTCTTTAATATCACTTCGTATGACCTCGGGGAATTTCGATCTCACCCTCAACATCCCCCCATTCTCATCAAGCCTCCAACTCCAAGTCAAGGCCCTGCCAACGCCTGACTCATCGACCCATGGGGCGCCAATTACTTTGGCACTCCCGCTCAAGCGCCTTTCCCTTTCAGCCTGCAACCATTTTTCCACCGCAAACATCTCATAATTCGCCCCAGCGCCGCTGCCCGCCGACCCCCGACCTCGGAGCGATCGGCGAAAGAAGCGCCCAAGAGGGATTGCCAAAAACAGAAACGATCACACTGCCCCGGCGCCCCCCACTCTCCCCAACCCTGGCCTCGAAGCGAAGAATGAATGTGTAGAGGGGGCGGCAGAGGGGGCCAAGTCGCGCTCATTCCATCGCGAATGTCAGAAAACTGAGAGGTTGCCGGGCCTTGGGACTCTTGATCTGGGCATTGTTCGGGAGGCCATAGTTTTTTTTTGACATCTTCGGTGTGGAAGGGCGCGATTTGCATTGTTCTGGCTTCAAAAATGGCCATGGAACTTTCACCGTTAGAGAAAGTTTCTTACAGTAGAATGCAAGGCAGTTTTTGAGCTGATTACTATATCAATCAGTCGGGAAAATAGTCATCATTTTCCCTACTGATAGAAGATTTTGTTTTTCTATTGCTATGATCTTTTACATAGTCTCCTTATTTTTTATCTGATAGAAAATACCCCATCCCTCTCCAGGACACCCAAAAATTACCCTCCCATCCAATCGCCGCATTCCCATCGCCCTGTAGTCATTGCCAACGGCAGATTCGGGCGCATCTGGTCCCGTTGACATAGTCCTGCTTTCGCTGACAAAAGACCTCGAATCGATTCCATCTTCCAACCCCCATTCCCTGTACACATTCAATTTTCATTTCGATGGCTTTTCGTCGCCGCCGGTAACGTTCTCCGAGCCGCGCACAGCTGTCGCTTCAGGCAAAGAACCGAAATGGGTTGGGGGATTGCGACACTCGCGCGCCCATTTCCCCCGCCGTCCTAGCCCATTTGTCTGTCGACGGAGGGCTGGGGTTGGAGCTGACAGGGGACGCTTCAGGGGAGTATCGGACTGTGGGCCGCGACTTGACTCATTGCGACTCTTCCTGTCGCCGCTTCAAGAACAATAGGCACTTTTTTATGCGCCCATTTTTCGATGGCAACTAGGAAGGAATTGGGGGGCTAGGGAAGGGATACCGTGTTTTAAGGGCTAAATGGAAATGGCTAGAGGGGATAAGAGTGATGTGGATTTGAGAAGAGGTAGTTTTGGCCCTATAAAGCTCTCCTAAGGATAGTTGTTCGATTTGTTCGACGAGAAAAATGAATAAATCGACGACTAGAGGAGATATCCTCAGTTTCGGATGCTACAGAGGTCTCATGATGAAGATGTAGGCAATACAACCAGGAAAAGGCCATACTGGCCCTCTAAAAATGAAAAGGAGAAAGTTATTGGGCGATATCGGACTTCCATCGCCGTTTATGGGATTCCTGGCTTCCTCAGCTAATTTCTATTGGACTTTGTTGCAATTAGTACCCCTCAAGATGCCTGTGGAATAATTCGGCTATCTTCTGACCTCATCGAGCTTATCGGTGTGCCTCAGGCCAAATTTCCCTAAAAAATTTCATTTACATACACCTTCAGCAATAGACGATCAAAAAAAACCTCCATCCATTGTGATGGCCATAATTCTTTGCCCAGGGTACCTTCCCAGACCCCGCAGCCCTCTCCGCTTCCAATCTTAATCATATTCCGTTCTGTGGTCTTTTTTATCTTTTTGCGGAAAATTTTTACCGTAATATCCGCGCGCTCTCGCTTTTCTCATCGTCGATTCAACCGTTCCTTTTACAAAACGCCGAATGTTTTTTTTTGTCGCTCTGGCCACAAGGAGTGAAAGGTCCGATGACTCGGACACTTTCACCCCGTCCTGTAATATGTTTTTTCGGCGGCTCCGTGGATCGGCGGCATTTGGCGCGACTCTCGGGGGCCCTTGAACGTTCCGCCGTCCCCCCTCCACAACCGCCATCCATCCCCGTCTGTTTTTTGCGTTGCCAAAAAACATAGGCGTTCGGATGGAAAAACCCGAATTGCCCAGGGTACCCTTGCGGTCGGGGTGAGTGGGAGAGAGAGAGCGTTGCCGGAGGAGGCTAAAATGCCAAAGAAGCGAGTGGGCGGCACAAAAAACAACACAACGCCCCCGATGGTGCAATGGGGGAGCCTGCGCTTCGCTCGCCCTCCCATTCCGGCCTTATGGCAATATCGCGCGAGATTTTTCGGGCGAGGGAGTGGCGATCGGGCGCTCCGAGCGAGACTACTTTTCCGCGCTGTTTGGGTATGCGTTTTTTTGGAAGGAGCTCCGGGGGGATATGGTAGGATAAAGGGTCAGTTTTGGACAGAGGAAGAAGTTGTAGTTTAATCATCATTTTTGGAAGGAATGGGGAAATTCTCAAAATTCGATAGGCAGATTTGAAATTTCTTACAATTAGCTACATAAAAAGTTTTCGCTGTTAAACAAAAAGTTTTACTGAGATACCCGAGATATTCAACGATTTTTCCAGGCAACTCTATCCTCTTTGGACCGATTTTTTGTTGGAAAATTGGACTCAAAAAACATCAGCTCTGCCTTGGAAATTTTGAAAAGTCTTAAACATAAGGCAATTTTCAAATTAAAATTTATATACCTTATGCTTCAGAGAGTCATAAGCTTGATCTGTGCGAATTTCGAAGGCCATCAGAAGGCCTTATTTTGAGTACTGACCATCTAAAGTCATATTGCTTCAAGGTTAAAATGCCCTCAAAATTTTCTTGATTTCTATATTTTTTCTTTGCTATAGGCACAATAAAATATCCCTTATTCTATCGTAAGTTCTCTGGCAATCTAAATACAACCCTTATTCTTCGTCTTTTCCATTTTCAAATCACTTTTCTTCCACCCCAGCCAAGTCATAACGCGCACCGCGCATTTCCAAACCGCCGCGAATGGGCGTATGCAAATTACGGGCAATGCCATTGGACGAATGAGGCAATGCCAAAAGCGCATTTCGATGGAGCGTCGTTTTTTTCTATCGATCGCCAAAAACCATAAGGCAGTCCACCTCGGGGTCCCTATAGACGCCATCGAAGAAAAGAGCGGGATTTCGATGCCTCGAGGGCAATCTTGGAGGGAATTTGGATTCAGGCGCGTTGATAAGACAGAGATATTGTCTGCGGGCGATGGACAGAAAATTATTTTGCTTTAGAGGCGTCTGGCGAAAGATATTATATTGTACTTGACACTAGGTCATGTTTGATGGATATCCTTGTGTTAGAGGGTTGCGTTGGACTCCAATTTTTTCCCAGAGACTTTCAGATCATCAAAGTCTTGCCCGAGGATTTTCAGCCAAATTCGAAAAACTCGACCATCACAAAAATCGAGATTTCCCCCAATTTTCCATTACTTTTTATTCTCTCGATTGTTGATACCCCCGTTTCTTTTGAAATCACCATACCGTAGCCCCGAGCGCCCCGCCGTTCCGAGGCCTTTATTAGCCCTCCAGAGCCCACCGTGTAATTTCCCGCATTTTCGTTTTTTCTGCGTATACTTTCTCTCTCGTTCGTCGCCATTGGCCTTGAAAACAACTGCCGGAAAGAACGAGCCGAAGGTCGTTCGGGTGCCGAAGGCGCCTCGTTTCCCGCATCCGATCAGAATACGCAAAAAAAAGAAGATTTTTCATTAGGACTTGTAATTGGAAGTCTGAAGGTTAGCAAAAAAAAACGTCAAATTTTATAAAATTTTTGAGTTTTATGGACAAAAACGTAAATAAAAAAGACAAAAAATCTCGTATCTTACCAAACAAGAGTCCTCGGACAGCCCTGTCAAGTTTTTTCACCGCTGAAATTACGGTAAACCCATTATCCTACAAAAAAGCGTTAAATTTTATGCATGATTTTTCCTCGTTTATGGATTTTGACGTAAATCGGAAAAACCGCAGGTTTTGAAGAGTTTTTTCGATCGAAAAGGATTCAAAACTCGCCCTTAGGCTATTTGCCTGCGGTCAATAATTTTTTTTCGAACATTTCTCTTGTGTCCTGCGGGGAATTTTCGTTTTTTGTCCATTTTCCCATGATTCTATTTTTTATGCAAATTTGGGTGTTTTTCGCAATTTTTTGGTCGTTTTTGCCCGTGGCATTGCTTTCGCGCGCTTCATTTCCCTATTTCCATTTTCAATTCATGTATTCCGTTTGTTTTCAGTCGTTGTCGACTCTTCTCCACCATCATGGATAACACCGGATCCACCGACCTAAAACAGCTCCTCATGAGCGGCGTGCCGCCGCAGGTCCAGCTCCTACAGATGCTGCAGCAACAGCAGCAGCAGGCGTCGCAGTCGCAGCAAGCGTACACCAGCTCGCTGGCGCAGCTTCTGCAAAACCCGATGGGCCGCCACCTTTTGGCGGCCATGTCGCAACAACAGAACGTGCAGCTTCCGGAGCCCCCGAAAACCGTGCAGAGCAGTCCGCGCCAGGTGAAGACGCCGAAACGGAAGAGTTTGGTCAAGGAGAACCAGCCGCCGGTCGATTATTCGCGGCTTCAGGGCCTGAACCAACTGGCAGATGTGGCCAGCGCGCAAGCGCAAGATCAGAAGTCGTTGGGGTCGCTGAAGGTGACCGTGGATCAGGACCATCATTTCCAGCCCTTGTCTTCCACGACCTCTGTGGATGAGGGCGTTCACACGTCCTCGACGAGTCCGGCCGACACCCATTCGGGACCTGTGAGTCCGTTGGACATGGAGAATGAAATCCCGAAAGAGGGCGAGCATGGCGACAGAAAACGACCTGCAGCCATCATGGAGTTGTTGAACAACAAAAAACGCCGATTGGAATTGAAGAAGGAGGGAGTAAGCGAATATTTATCTTGTTTTAGGTATCTAAAATAATATTTTTGCTCATAACTGGACTGAAACTTTATGAATGATCTTAATTCTTCTTGAATATGTTTTCTATTGCCCTGGAGTTTGTTTGACGATCAAATTCGATCAGAATTGAGGCTTTTTTGCAATGGATAATATCAAAATTACCAACAACTTTATTTTTCTCTCTAACTTTCCCATTTTTCAGTCTGATTGCGAATCCTCTCCTCCAGAGCACTGGTCAGAAGTCTTCAACAAAACCGCAGTCCCCGAAGACGATACAGAAACCACCTCGTCCACCGCGTCCAAACACGATGAACCTAAACCGAAGCCAGAAGACCTGAACACAACCGGTCTGTTGGCATCGCTTTTTGGCCATGATCACGATCTAAATGAGTCAACCAGCACCGAGAAGAAGTACGATGTGTATGGCTGTCAAGATATCCCGTCGAATTGGAATACCGGCGTGGTTTATGAAAGCCCCATGGCTCGAGACATACCTCATGACGAAATTTTCTCGGAAGTCCCTGGTCGTCTATCATTGCTGAGCAATGTTACTAAACATAAGGTAAGGTGTTGGTTGTTTTCAGAGTTCGGATTTTGAGATTTTAAAGGTTTTTTTTGCACGGTGCGGTTTGATTTGCACAGTGCGGAATTTTTTGGGCTTGATTTGCACCGTGCGGATTTTTTTGGCTTTGAATTGCACTGTGCGGAATTTTTTGGCTTTGATTTGCACGGTGCAGAATTTTTTGGTCTTCATTTGCACAGTGCGGATTTTTTTGGCTTTGGTTTGCACGGTGCAGAATTTTTTGGCTTTGATTTGCACGGTGCGGAATTTTTGGTTTTGATTTGCACGGTGCGGATTTTTTTGCTTTTGATTTGCACAGTGTGGAATTTTTTGGAATTGTTTTGCACGGTGCGGAATTTTATGAGGTTGATTTGCACGGTGCACCGCGGTGCAACAAAAAAAATTCTCTTTTTTATTCTCGATCTTTTCAGATGACTGTCGCAGAAGTTCGCCGGCGCGTTCTCGGCCCCGAAGCCTTCAACTTCTCACTTCTCGGCGCCCTCCTTCGCCGAGCCAAGATGCCCGAAAAGTCGCAAGCTTTATTCGATGATCTCCAAAAAGTTGGTCTCTCCATCCCGCGCGGACGCCGGCGAAATATCACCGTCTCCCTGCTCTCCGCCCTCACCGAAGCCGAGTCCGAGCAGTTGGTCAATGATTTTGGGCGAGTGAGTGAGGAGAAGTTCCCGGTTCAAGAGTTTGTGGAGTACAGCTATCAACAGACCTGTCAGAAGAACTTGGACAGTCTCAGGATGCGAGCGGTGGAGCTGAATGTGACCAAGAAGGTGCTCACCGAGTTCTTGGGGCTGTTGAAGATGGATCGGTCGGAAATCAGAGACATGGTGAGTTGAAATGCGGTTTTTTGGGAAGTTTTGGGAGTTTAAGGATAGGGGAAGGTAAAATTAGATGGGAAATTGGTTTTTAAAGAGGAGATTGAAACCTCTCTATGTTTACTGAACTATATGGATTATAATAGATCAGAAATTCATTGGATTTTTTTTGGTGTTGAAAGGTGACATAAGATTTTCTGATTTTCATAGGGTATAAGGTAAAATAAGGTGGGAAATGGATTTTACAACTGCTGATTTGGTTGTCTCTTGGATTATGAGAGAGATTATACTCTAATTTAGGATATTTTTTCCAAAATTCATTGGATTTTTTGGATGTGGAAAGGTGACATAAAATTTTTTGATTTTAATAGAGTATAATGTAAAATAAGGTGGGAACCGAGATTTTCAAAGGTAAATTAATTATCTTCTTGGGTTGGAATATAGAAGAGACAATAAAATTTCCGAATTAAAATGGAAATTGATGATTTTTTGAGGCTATGACAAGATGGGACCAAAAAATTGCACTTTAATGACGTTTCAAGCTCAATTTTTCAATTTAACCTTTTCCAATTTCAGAAGCCCACCCCAATCCTCCCGGCGCATATCCAAGACCCTCTGTCGATATACTCTATGCTGACCCACGGCTTCGGAACGCCCGGCCTTCAAGTGGGCGTCAAAATGTTGGGCACGTTCGTGGACAAACAACTCGAACTTCTCACTGCCGATGTTGCCCAAATGGCCGGTCAGATGTCCCAAAATGGATAAATATTTGATGTTTTTGTCGATCTGTTTTTGTTGTCATATTGCATTTGATGCAAACATATATAACTTGCATATCCATCACCAAAACCCCACCGTATTTTGCCTTAATCCGCCCTTTTTCAAAACGTATCTCGATTTCTTCGTTCTCCTTATCAGTTACAACGTACAGTGGCGGATCTGATCCAATGGCGAAAAACGTACCATTTTGCATCCCGGAAGTATCAAAAAATGTAGCAAAATACCTCCTTCTTCAAGTGAAAAACCCTGGTTTCAAAAGTGCACCCGCTCTTTTTGTGAGCGAAACTCTTAAAACCGGAGTTTTTTTTACAGTGGGGGACCTGCTCCAGAGGCAAAAAACGTGCCATTTTGCATCCGGGAAGTATAAAAAATGTCGCAAAATGCCTCCCTCTCCAAGTGAAGAAACTTCCGTTTTGAAAGGTGCACCCGCTCTTTTTGTGGGTGAAGGTTCGCGCCTTTCATAATCGGAGTTTTTTCACTTGGAGAGGGATGCATTTTGCCACATTTTTATACTTCCTGGATGTAAAATGGTACGTTTTTTTGCCACTGGATCAGGTCCCCCACTGTAAAAAACTCCGCTTTCAAGAGCTTCGCTCACAAAAAGAGCGGGTGCACTTTTGAAATTTGAGTTTTTTAACTTGAAGAGGGAGGTATTTTGCCACATTTTTGATACTTCCCGGATGCAAAATGCTACGTTTTTTGCCGCTGGATCAGGTCCGCCGCCGTAATCCCCCGCCCAATTTCACTTGGATTTCTCCCCGAAACTCTCCCTTCCCCCCACCCACCTCTGATGTCGCTCCTACAAAAATTCTCGAGCCAGTGAACTCATGTAACTTTCTCTTCTCCCTCTCGTGGCCTTTACCCATTGTTTTTGCTGCTGGAATCTCTCTCTTTTTTTTTGTCATTTCGACCAAAGCACAACGTGTGTACAGTTCGGGTTGTTTGCGCATTCGTTTTCTCAACTAACCGCTAATCCCATCCCAGTATTAGTGGATTTTTGTAATGATTCGACCTTGTTGTTAAAAAAAACCGTAATAAATCAAAGTAATCGTAATTTTGGAGTGGATTTTTTTAATTTTTTTCGTTTATTCTGGAATTTTTATATTATTTTATTAGGTCTAGAAGTATGACTTTGTCGTTTTTTTATTTCGCGGTTTTCACAGGTTGAGATACAATTTCGCAATTTCTGTTTAGAGCATCTGAAAGAACGCTGAAAACGCTATCTACTGATATATATCTCATATGGTAGGGCTTTATATCACGACTTTTATAAAACTTCCAAGATGACCAACTTCGCCTTAAGAAAGTGCCGTTTGCGGGGAACTTTATTCTGCACGTGTAATTTGAGGAAAAACGTCGATGACGCATCGAACACTCATGATAGCTTACGTTAATCGCGCTTTGTTTAAAAAAATCGGTTGGGAATGGCATCAACGGTTGAAACCCGGAGATTTCCAAACCCACCTAAAAAGTTGGAAGATGGAGAATATTGGTTAGAGCCGACGGCCAGATGCAGTAAAAGTTAGCCGAAAGGCTTAACGTGACGCAGAAAGGAGTTTCACTCAGTTTACATCAACTGGGGATGATCCAAATAGAAGGGACTTGAGTCTCATATGGGTTGACCTAACGCAACATGTAGAATTTGCGAAATTTTGACAGAGAGACGGGAAGAAAGTCATTTCTGTGTCATTTAGTGATCCGAGACGAACAATCAATCGATTTTGACAACACGAAGCGCAAGCGACCGCGTTGTCCAACATTATCGAGAAGAAAGCTTTTCTCTGTATAACATGACATAAACAAGATGCTCTTTACTGAGAGCTCTTGAAAACCGGTAGAACGGTTACTGGCATCCGTTATCAACAATAGCTGATGCAACTGAAGGAATAGCTATGATTAAAGCGGTCGGAAAATTTTTTTTTATTTTGCCGCATGATGACGTCAAACCCCATGTTGAAAAACCGGTCGAAAACACCCTAGAACCGCTGAGGTGGGAGGTGTTCCCGCACCCGCTATACTCTCCGGACACCATACTTTCAGACTAACACTTGTTTCGATCGATGGCACCCGATCTGAGGCCGCAACGCTTCGCTGAATACAAAAATGTCAAAAATTGGCCCGTTGACTAAATCGCCTCAAAACAAAAAACGTTTTCACTGATGGCGTTCAAAAATTGCTCAAATTGTTGGAAAATGTCATAGTCAGTAGTGGTAATAGTAACTAAATAAGCTTTAGTGTAAAGTTTTTTGTTTTGGTTTAAATTATGAGCCGCAAAAAACGACAAAGTCATACTTCTAAACCTAATAGGTATAAAAAATATTTAAAATGACGGTAATCTTAATTTGTGACCCTGTCATAGCAAATTATTCGATCTTTCAACTCAAAAATCATAAATTTTCTCCATTTCCATCAACAATTTATAACAAAAATAATAAAAACCTAACAAGTATAATATACAAACAGTCCTAATTTGTCCTTTCAACAAACCAATGGAGCTTCTCGAAGCTCTCCGGAATCAAAACCACCCTCATTTCCATAGCCTTCATCCTTAAAGTACGCGCGACGCCATAACTAGGGATACACTTGGCCAATTATAAAATAATTCCCGCCGGGACTCAAAGCAAATTTGAAATTATTCGTGTGTACGGTAGAAAAATATTTTTTGTTGGAGGACGAGACATTTTCTTGTTTTGTTGATAGTACTGCAAGGTATTTGGTAAGTCGAGTGTGTGTATTTTGTTTGATTTTGTTGATTTTTGTGTAATAAAGATATAACTTTGTCCATTTATTGTTTATGTGCCGCATTACGGTTTCAAGGCCGAATTATTACCTTTCTGGCGGCTCCGGTTTTAGCTATCGCAACACGGAAGATAATCTCTGCCCAATCGTTGGTCCGGAACAAAGAGGTATGTTGTTTTTGCTAATTTTGAGGTGTGTTTTTGGTTTTAGAACAAAAAGTTACCTGTTTTTCTCTGAAATCTTTGGGAGAATCACTTTTCGGTCAATAAGGGCCTAATTTTTTGTTGTTTTTAATACTAAGGGTGCTTTTCAGTGGATTTCACTGTACCAACCAACGAAGAACAGCATGGTTAACACAGAGAAGGATGGTCCACTGGCAGATGAGGCGTCAGAAAGAAAGGAGAAGGCCCTCAAAACATGCGAAACTAATGGAATAGCCATTGTGAACAAAGGAAATGCCATCAAAAAACTGGAATGGGTATTCGCGGTCATAGATCCGCAATATCAGGACAAGCCCCGCTGACGCGGGCCTTGACGCCGCTGTGCGCGCAAAGGTTGCCCAACGTGAAGTTGACTTGATCGCATGCACTACAGTTGATCGTCCAGGCCACGCTTCGCGTGGCCAACAACGCGCTGACGCGCGTTATACTGCCTCAAGCCCGGCACTTCTGTTAGCTAAGGGCCGCGCGCCAGCGCTACCTTTCATCAGCTAAAGGCCGGGCGCCAGCGCTACACCTCCCGTCAACAAAAGGCCGCGCGCTAGCTCTACGTTTCATCAACTAACTTTGACCAATCAACTGTTCTTAGGACTTTGCCTCGGCCTTCGGCCTCGGCACAGTGCGCTACAACACTCTACAGCAACATTCAGAAGGTTCCGTAACCCACGGCGGCCTTCGGCCGCCGAAGCTTCCAAAAAAAGTCGGTTTGGCTCGGCCTTCGGCCTCGCAAAATCATTTTTTTTTGTCTTACCCCATCGTTATTGAACCTTGCCTCGGCCTTCGGCCTCGGCACAGTGCGCTACAGCGCTCTACAGCAACATTTAGAAGGTTCCGTAACCCACGGCGGCCTTCGGCCGCCGAAGCTTCCAAAAAAAGTCGGTTTGGCTCGGCCTTCGGCCTCGCAAAATCATTTTTTTTGTCTTACTCCATCGTTATTGAACTTTGCCTCGGCCTTCGGCCTCGGCACAGTGCGCTGCAGCACTCTACAACAATATGCAGTAGGTTCCGTGACCGACGGCGGCCTTCGGCCGCCGAAGCTTCCAAAAAAAGTCAGTTTGGCTCGGCCTTCGGCCTCGCCGAGTCGTATTTTAGGAAATGAAAGTGGTTTCTGGACCGTTTTTTCACGCTGATCACGATGGTCCAAGTCTCGATTCACGAAATTTGAATTTAGCGGCCGTATGGTTGATTTTCGGCCGAAATGCCCACTCTTGGCCGAAATTCGGCCGGTGCTCACTGAATTCGAAAGCGATTGGGCTGAAATTTGGCACGATGGAAGCTTATGGAATTTGTCGAAAATTGACCCGAGCCGAATTTTGAATTTTGCACTTTTGCCCTCGGGGCGCATTTAGTTCGCTGAAAAATTTTTATTTTGGTCTGGACGGTCGTATTTTACGTAAAGTCGGAGTTGCGCACATGAATATTACCCAAAATTTGATTCTGCGTCAACTGGTACCAAGATCGTGTCGATAGCTCCACTGGCAGCCGAGTTCTGGAAGGGCGGATCCAGAAAATTTCAACTTTTTGCCTTTGTCGCTAGGCGGGCGGGGTAAGATGGTCGTATGTTGGGAAGTGAAAGCTGTTTCTAGGGCAGTTTGATGTGCTGATTACGGGGCTCATCTCGAAAATCCGAAAAATTTGAAGTCTGAGCCCTCAAGGCCGTTTTTCTGCAAAAAATCCCGAAAATTCGCTACGGTGCGTTCGATGAGCATTCCGGCACCGTATCAGAAGCCGAAAATAAGCACAGAGTAACTTCAGTCTATTGCCGAGACAATGCCGCAGCCCTTTTTTTGAATTTCGATCTAGTTTTTCCGGAATACTTTCCGGAAAATTTGGACTTTTTTGGGAAATTTCAGAAAATCTCGAATAGCTAAAATACGAAATACGACACGGTGACGCAATACATGGTTCTAGGGCATGTCAGGCATGCTGATACAGAATCCGTTGTCAAAATTCAGAAATTCCGTCATCTTGATGGTGAAATCTGGAAAAAACCGAAAAATGTCGAAAATCGCTTATAACTTTCGACCGGTCGATCCCACACTCACGACCTTTAGCCCAAAAGGCTTAAAATTTTGCGTAGATAATGATGGAACTCAGCTTCGTCCCGCTGGATAGCGTTAACACCAGGTACCCTCAGGGCATATATGTGAAAAATTCGAAAATTCGCGCGCTTTTGGCCCCAGTCGATAAGAAAAAATGTAGAAAAGCTAAGGGCGACTCGAAAAATGTGAAAAGTTACAGCCGATCCAAAATCAAAAAATCCCATTTTCAAACGCTCGCAATTCCCGCCAGGATGAAAATTCCAACTAAGTGCTGATGCCAAAAGTCATCGAATCCCTGCACCAGTTGACAAAAAAAAAGTCTCGAAAAAAAGTGCACGTTGAATATTTTTCATTTTAGCAAATTGGGGAGTTTTTGATAATATCAAATTATGTAAATGTATATCTGAATTTCATTTATCGTAATGAACTTGAATGCTCTCTTGGTTTAATTAATTGTCCTTTGATGGTTTACGACGAACAGGTCTCTTGTTCTAACGCTGATTTTCTGGGCCGTGTTAGTTTCCTTTACCCCATTTTGGCCGCCGATGTTTTACGTTTGGCAGTATTGGATTATAAGTCAAATAAGAGGTGTTTCCAAAAATTTTTTGTGTTCACAAAGATAACACGTCAAGCTACTGGAAATCAAGATTAAAACTTTCAATTCATTTAAATCAACGTGTTTATAACAAAAATAGAACAAATAACAACAAATTTACTGTTTTTCAGTCTCAATATTAAAAATAAAATTGGAGCCAAATACATTTTCCATCTTATCCATGTTAAAAATGTCGTCCACCGAATTCCCCATTTCTGTATCATTAACCAGCGTTTTACAGCCTACATCACTTTTCCTTTTTTCACAATGGCTATTCTATTAGTTTCGCATGTTTTGAGGGCCTTCTCCTTTCTTTCTGACGCCTCATCTGCCAGTGGACCATCCTTCTCTGTGTTAACCATGCTGTTCTTCGTTGGTTGGTACAGTGAAATCCACTGAAAAGCACCCTTAGTATTAAAAACAACAAAAAATTAGGCCCTTATTGACCGAAAAGTGATTCTCCCAAAGATTTCAGAGAAAAACAGGTAACTTTTTGTTCTAAAACCAAAAACACACCTCAAAATTAGCAAAAACAACATACCTCTTTGTTCCGGACCAACGATTGGGCAGAGATTATCTTCCGTGTTGCGATAGCTAAAACCGGAGCCGCCAGAAAGGTAATAATTCGGCCTTGAAACCGTAATGCGGCACATAAACAATAAATGGACAAAGTTATATCTTTATTACACAAAAATCAACAAAATCAAACAAAATACACACACTCGACTTACCAAATACCTTGCAGTACTATCAACAAAACAAGAAAATGTCTCGTCCTCCAACAAAAAATATTTTTCTACCGTACACACGAATAATTTCAAATTTGCTTTGGGTCCCGGCGGGAATTATTTTATAATTGGCCAAGTGTATCCCTAGTTATGGCGTCGCGCGTACTTTAATCCTCTTCATTTTCCTTCCTCAAGCTCTTCAAAATCCCTTCCAATTTTTCCAATTCCAACAATTGTGATTGTAGGGCTCTTTCCGATTGTTTGACTTTTCCTTCATGTTTTTTGAGTTGGTTTTCCTCTCCCTTCGTCAAATTTTCCCTTTCTTTCAGGTGGTTCGCATAGTTGCTGTACTTTTTTATTAGTGCCTGCAGTTGTTCGATGCGTTTTTTCGAGCTCCGGAGGCGTTCGTGAAGCTGATTTCGAATCTTGGCGCTGATTTCTGGGTCCTAAAATATTGCATGTGCAAAATATTTGGTCATTTTTCGGGTGCAAAAATCTAAAAATCGCACTGTGCAGTCCAATTTTTTCGCAAATTCCGAGGAAAATCAACAAAAAAATCGGCATTTCAGGAAGCCCAGAAACGATAAATTACGTATTTTAAACACTATATCATCTACCACTTCAAATTTCCAAATTTTTCAATCTTATTTCCGCACAGTACAAAAATCCAAAAATCGCACTGTGCAGCCCAATTTTTTCGCAAACTTCGGGGATTTCTAACAAGAAAATCGGTATTCCAAGAAGCCCAAAAACAATAAATTACGTATTTTAAACATTATATCATCTTAGCACTTCAAATTTTTCAGTCTGTTTTCCGCACAGTGCAAAAATCCAAAAATCGCACTGTGCAGTCCAATTTTTTCGCAAATTCCGGGGATTTCTGATAAAAAATCGGCATTTCAGGAAGCCCAAAAACAATAAATTACGTATTTTAAACACTATATCATCCTGCCACTTCAAATTTCCAAAATTTTCAGTCTTATTTCCGCACAGTGCAAAAATCCAAAAATCGCACTGTGCAGTCCAATTTTTTAGCAAATTTCGGGGATTTCTGACAAAAAATCGGCATTTCAGGAAGCCGAGAAACGATAAATTACGTATTTTAAACACTATATCATCTACCACTTCAAATTTTTCAGTCTCAGCTCCGCACAGTGCAAAAATCTAAAAATCGCACTGTGCAGTCAAGTTTTTTCGCAAATTTCGGGGATTTCTGATAAAAAATCGGTATTCCAAGAAGCCCAGAAACGATAAATTACGTATTTTAAACCTTATATCATCTTACCACTTAAAATTTCCAAATTTTTCAGTCTTATTTCCGCACAGTGCAAAAATCCAAAAATCGCACTGTGCAGTCCAATTTTTTCGCCAACTTCGAGGATTTCTGATAAAAAATCGGCATTTCAAGAAGCCCAGAAACGATAAATTACGTATTTTAAACCTTATATCATCTTACCACTTAAAATTTCCAAATTTTTCAATCTTATTTCCGCACAGTGCAAAAATCTAAAAATCGCACTGTGCAGTCTATTTTTTTCAAATTCGGGGGATTCAAACAAAAAATTGATATTCAAAATAGACCAATCAGAATTTTGGAGGGTATTTGGCATACTAATTCATAATCTGCAGTCACAATTTTTTTTTCAAAAAATCTTCATCTTCACCTACCTCATTATCCAGATCCAAGACCAAAATAATGTCCGTTCCGGGTACTGTAACCACATTTATGTTCTCGCTGACATCTTTCTCCGTCTCCATCTTCCTTAATCTAATATTTCCAGTATTTTCGACGAATTCTCCCAAGTCTTCGATGAACTTTTTATCCAACGTTCTCGACATTACAGTTGCCGAAAGAGGGGTCTTTTCCGAGAAGCCTAGTCTCGCTCTGACCGCCCGAAGGGCGGTGATGATGTTCTGAGCGGTTCGAACGTTACGATCCAGCGAATTAGAAGCAGCGGCATCAAAATCGGAGACGATTTCTTCAAACTAAAAAAAAAACAAAAAAAAAAAAATTTTTTTTCCTCACCTCAATTGCCGCTCTATTTTCCAGGTTTTTCGAGTGATCCAATAGATAATTTGAGACCATTGGCATGAAAGTTGACCACATTTTCAGCGAGATTTCCACACATTCCACTAGAGTCGACCTGATCGCCGCCAATCTCGCCGGATCTTTTTGCCACAGGGCTTTTTTGGTGGATTCCTAAAGAAAAGAGGGTTGCCATCAAAATAAATAGAGGGTCTTACCAAATAAGTGTCACAAATATCGTTGAGAATGAATTGGAAGACGGCTTCGAATGCGGGGTGGGTTTTGGCTTCAGACATGTTGTTGTAAAAGATTTGGGCGGTTCTTTTCAGGCGAGATTTTATCCATTTGTCCTCAAAATTTTTTATTATTGAAAAAAAATTCAAAAAAATTGGATTTTTTCGAAAAAAAATTTCAAAAAAAAAAAAAAAAAAAAAAAAAAAAAAAAAAATCCAAAAAAAATTTGTTTTAATTCATCCCATTCCTTCGCTAACCAAGCCCTAAAAACCCCAAAATTCCATTCACTCACCTCAATCTTCCACTTGGGTTTCGACCTTTCCGCATTGGCCGTACAAACCAAATCAACATACTTGGTCATGTTGGCCAATTTATTTCCAAATTTAAAGCCTTCCTCGGCCAGTGGAATCAAGTCGACTGGAACATCCTTGGCTTGAACGTCTCTTCTCAACAGTACAAATCGAAGGACATCCGGGCCATATTTTTGGATTCCCTTTGGGTAATCTTTGGAGATCAACTTGATGGCGGATGCTGAAATTTTTTGCTTCAAATCAAAGTCAAATTTAGTGAAAGGGCTTCATTAAGTAAAAGGAGGCCATTTGAAATACTTTTTATAAAAAAAAGCGCAAACAAAAATTTTTTTTCAGATCATCAAGTGCAATATAATTTTTTTCCTGCTTTTAATTTTTTTTTTGCCTTCCACGGCAAACTACACCGAAATCTTGTGTAACACCGCAAACATAAAGAATCAAATCCAAAAAAAATTTTTTTTGATTACTTTTTATATTACACTAGGTAGCTGACCCTTCCAGAGCCCAAAAATCTCTCTTTTTCATTTCTCCTCATTTCCCAACTCCCTCAAAAATCTCATCCACTTCATTTTCGAGCTTACCCAACTCTTCTTCCGGCAGATTTGACTCTTTTAGATCCTTAATCATATAATTTAAGCTTGCGCCATTGATCAAAAACAACGGATCGATCACATTGCCCCTGGATTTGCTCATTTTGCGTCCTTCCGAGTCTCTGATCATTCCATGCAGGCTGATTTTGTCAAACGGAAGCTTTCCAGTCAATCCATAGCATAAAATGAGCATTCGCGCCACCCAAAATCCGGTTATGTCATGGCCCGTCTCCATCAAATCGATTGGGGGTTTCTGGCCCACAGCTCTTGTTTTTGGCCAATTTGCGCCCACTACGATGGGAATTAGGGCCGAACTGAACCATGTGTCCAGGACGTCCGGATCTTGGGTCAGCTTTTCCTTCGGGATTCCGCTTTTTTCTTCCGCTTCATCCAGGTCAATGGCCGAAAAATAGTTGCCGGAATCGTCAAAATAAGCCGGAATTCGGTGGCCCCAGACAAGCTGACGACTTAGGCACCAAGGTTCATGATTTTCGAGCCAATCCGACAGGGCAAATCGACCATAATCCGGGTCTATCTTTATCTGAAATTGAACAAAAAAATGTTAATGGATCGAAAAAATTGCACAGTGCAAGCGCTGTTTTCGCTGACTTTTGGGGCGATGCACGGTGCAAATTGTTTTTTTCCAAATTATCGCACAAAATGCACTTGAATTTTTGTCGCAAACGCACAGTGCATTTTTCCCTTTTCGCACCGTGCAAACCTCAAAAAAGCGGATTGCACTGTGCACATTTTTGATCCAGTGGCAAAAAACGTACCATTTTGCATCCAGGAAGTATCAAAAATGTGGCAAAATGCTTCCCTCTCCAAGTGAAAAAACTTCGTTTTGAAGGGCGCTTTCCCTCGCGAAAAGAGCGGGTGCGCTTTTGAAAGTTTTTTTTTTCACTTGGAGAGGGAAGTATTTTGCCACATTTTTTATACTTCCCGGAGGCAAAATGGTACGTTTTTTGCCACTGGATCAAGTCCCCCACTGTAGTTGAAGAGGGAGGTATTTTGCCACATTTTTGATACTTCCCGAATGCAAAATGATACGTTTTTTGGACCTGATCAAATGGCGAAAAACGAGTGATACCCTATTCGCGGACATCTCTATTCGCGGACACCCAGTTCGCGGACATTCCCAACTCGCGGACACCCTATTCGCGGACATTCCCAGTTCGCGGACACCCTGTTCGCGGACGCCCTATTCGCGGACGTTTTTATAAATATATAAAATAGGCCCTGTATTTAGGGTTTTAGTCAAACCTCAGGCTAATAGTTTTGAAAATTCGTAGTGACAATTACGTAATAAGTAAATTTCAAAAATTTTGAGTAAATATCTTACATAGGGGTAATCGATAGTGCTGATTTCGAAAATCATATCCATTTTTATTTCGTCGTTAGTTATTTCTTACGTAGTACCGTGTAGTACTTAGTTTTTGAATTCTTTCGATGTGCAGTGTTTTATAAAAAAATGAATGGAAGAAATTTTTTATCAGATGTCATGGATAATATAATTTTAATGTGATACATAGAGTTCGTGGTGTTTTCTGTGCTTTCTGGTGGTATTTTTATACTTTTCATGACCTTATTGAGACCTTAGACCGTTTAGATAGCAGGTTTTCGTGCAATAGACCACTTTTTCCATTTCTGCCGACATCAAAATAACTAAAAAACAAAGAAAATTATTTTAAACGCATTAAAAGCTGGAGAAAGCGATCAATCCATATATCATCCGAATGAGAAGAATTTTTTCAACGTTTTGAGGCCATATTTATGTCTCAGCTCCATCTGAACCTTCAGAAATTACCTAAAACAATATCCGGCTAGCATCAGAAAATCCAAATAAAATCAGTAAAACCTGAAACTTTGTGGCATAAATTATACATATTCTGATTCAGAAATTTCCAGACAAAATTTGAGATGCAAAATCAAAAAATACGATTTTTTGAAATTTATGACAAAAATTTGTAAAATATGACATTGATGACACAGAGCCCTGAAATTTTGCACAAACATATCGTACCACATGCCAAACGACAATAGAAAATTTCAGAGCTGTACCTACAGTCCCTCAAAAGTTATGAGCCGTTTTCTGTTCCAAAAACTCTGGGGCCTGTTTCATCAACGAAAAATAAATAAAATAAACGAAAGGGAAAGCGAGAGAACACCCAAAACACGTTCCGAAGCGAGAGAGTCGCGACAGATTAGTAGAGACCATCTATAGAGCGGCGCATTTATCACAGCGATCGGAGTGACTTTTTACGTCCAAAACGGGGGGTTCTCAGCAGTAATCAGTGGATAACTCGGCTCTCGGTGGTCTTAGAGTCGCCCTTCCAAAAACCAAATAAAGCTATTTCCTAGAGCTACGTGATATCCAAATTTCATATTTGTACTTTAAAAAATGAACTCAGTAGACACCTAGTAGATCGTGGTATTCAACTTTTTTGACGTTTTTTTCTGAAAAACGTTATTTTTTAGTCAATTTTTAACATAATGGGATAAAATTGGTACCAGTCGATAGCCAAACGTTTACTCTACAAAACTTTTTTAGAGGGGCGGTTTACTTCAAAAAATGAACTCGGTAGACACCTAGTAGATCACAGTATTTACGCTTTTTTTACGTTTTTTCGGGAAAAACCTTTGTTTTTCACTCAGTCTTTAACATAATGGGATAAAATTAGTACCAGTCGATAGCCCAACGTCTAATCTATAAAAAATTTTTAGAGGGGCGGCTTCTTTTGCCCTGTGGCCTGCGAAACGTTCAATTTCGTGAGACGATGTCTTCTATTTGCGTAAAAAGTCCTTCGATCGTTTCCGAAAAAACCAAAAGAGAGGAAAAGCGCCCTCGAAACGCGATGGTTTTTTGTGTCAAAAACGGTGGTTCATGACAGTAAACATAGATGTTTCGCAGGCCACAGGGCAAAGGAAGCCGCCCCTCTAAAAAATTTTTATAGATTAGACGTTGGGCTATCGACTGGTACTAATTTTATCCCATTATGTTAAAGACTGAGTGAAAAACAAAGGTGTTTCCCAAGAAAAACGTAAAAAAAGCGTAAATACTGTGATCTACTAGGTGTCTACCGAGTTTATTTTTTGAAGTAAACCGCCGCTCTAAAAAAGTTTTGTAGACTAAACGTTTGGCTATCGACTGGTACCAATTTTATCTCATTATGTTAAAAATTGACTGAAAAAATAACGTTTTTCAGAAAAAAACGTCAAAAAAGTTGAATACCACGATCTACTAGGTGTCTACTGAGTTCATTTTTTGAAGTATAAATATGAAATTTGGATATCGCGTAGCTCTAGGAAATAGCTTTATTTGGTTTTTTGAAGGGTGATTCTACGACCACCGAGAGCCGAGTTATCCACTGATTACTGTAGAGAACCCCCCGTTTTGGACGTAAAAAGTCACTCCGATCGCTCTGATAAATGCGCCGCTCTATAGATGGGTCTCTACTAATCCGTCGCGACTCTCTCGCTTCGAAACGTGTTTTGGGTGTTCTCTCGCTTTCTCTTTCGTTTATTTTATTTATTTTTCGTTGATGAAACAGGCCCCTGATTTCCAACTCCAAAAACCGGACTTTTATTGCTAGTGTTTACTGAACCCTTTCTGGGAACCATAACTTTCGCCAGAAACCACCAAATTTTGATTTTTAAAAATTATTTCTGCTAAATCGAAACTTGCGCGTCTCGTCGACTTATTGCTTTACTCATATTCGCAGTATATAAGCCAAAACTTTCTTACTGAACGAAATGTAAAAATAATATCGGCTTTCTGGACGAAATGTCAACGAAATATTGGAACGATTTTCCGGCTTTCTTCGAAGGTTTTTTAGCAAACTAACAAAATCACGAGGATCGCAAGGGTCAAATTAGGAGATTTACTTTTTAAAAATCAAAATTTGGTCGTTTCTGGCCAAAGTTATGGTTCCCAGAAAGGGTTCAGTAAACACTATAGCAATAAAAGTCCGTTTTTTGGAGTTGGAAATCGGAGTTTTTGGAACAGAAAACGGCTCATAACTTTTGAGGGATTGTATGTAAAGGTCTGAAATTTTCTACACTCGTTTGGCATGTGATACGACATGTTTGTGCAAAATTTCAGGGCTCTATGTCATCAATGTCATATTTTACAAATTTTTGTCATAAATTTCAAAAAATCGTATTTTTTGATTTTGCATCTCAAATTTTGTCTGGAAATTTCTGAATCAGAATATGTATAATTTATGCCACAAAGTTTCAGGTTTTACTGATTTTATTTGGATTTTCTGGGGCCTGTTTCACGAACGCAAAAACTCATATTTCTAAAGAAAATAGAAATATGAGTGAGCGAGGGAACAAAGGAAATGCATGTGAAACGGGAGAGACGGCAGAAAAATGAGGATTTCGCCACTTCTCAATCGGAGTGACTTTTTACGTCCAAAATCAGGGTTGGCGGCAGTGTTTCGGTCATAACTTTTCCCTCCATGGGCGTAGAATCACCCTTCAAAATTTCGAATAATGCTAACTGTTTGGACTGTCATGTGTGCAAGTTTCGTTGCATTGTTGCAAAAACTCGCTCGAAAATAGCAGTAGGAATGAGCATATTTCTATTTTCTATAAAATTTTTGCAATTCTAGCTTAATTCCCTCATAACATCGCCCAAAATTGTCGGATCGACACCATTTAAAAAAAATCATGTAGACCTGAGTCCGCGGTTTACAGTAATGCAATTTTTTAGGATGTTTGGCGATCTACGGCACGAACAAATTTATAGTAGTGCAGCAGTTTGCAACATTTTTCCATTTTTTCAGAATAAAAATAGGTTTTTGTTCCAAATAATAAAATATTAGTATAAAATTTTATATAATTGTAAAGAAAATTGTCTTGGCTACCTCATTTTTTTAGAGGGGCGTCTATATCTCACCAACTGATAAAGTTATGGATGATTTAGTCCAGCCGCATCCCATTTTTTACCGTAAAACTTCTCTCTTGTTTTGATTTGAGGGCTCTTTCGAAAGATTTTTTGTGATGAAAATCGAGGGATTGTCAAAGTAAATCAGTTATTACTCAGCCAAAAAATTACTTACAGTTGGCCCTCTAAAAATGTTTTGTAGAGAATTAAATTGTCTATCGACTGACATAAATTAGAATTTTTTACTGTTTCAATTAACGCGAAAAAAGGCCTTTTAGCGTTATAAAGTAGAAGAATTCAACACTACAACGCCTATGGAAACTTTGTCATTGGCGGTAGAGCAAAAATTTTTATAGATCTACATAGCCCGAAGTCTCAGCATTATTTGAATTTTTGGAGGGTGCTTGTAGGCCCAAGTAGAGGAAAGTTATGGCTCAAATACTACCGCCAACCCGTAATTTTGGACGTAAAAAGTCACTCCGATTGAGAATTGGCGCAATCCTCATTTTCCTGCCGTCTCTCCCGTTTCGCATGCATTTCCTCTGTTCCCTCGCTCACTCATATTTCTATTTTCTTTATTTTGCGTTCGTGAAACAGGCCCCTGATGCTAGCCGGATATTGTTTTAGGTAATTTCTGAAGTTTCAGATGGAGGTGAGACACAAGTATGGTCTCAAAACGTTGAAAAAATTCTTCTGATTCAGGTGATATATGGATTGATCCATTTCTCCCGCTTTTAATTCGTTTAAAATAATTTTCTTTGTTTTTTAGTTATGTTGATGTCGGCAGAAATGTAAAAAGTGATTTATTGCACGAAGACCTACTGTCTAAACTTTCTAAGGTCTCAATCAGGTCATGAAAAGTATAAAAATACCACCAGAAAGCACAGAAAACACCATCGCTTACCCCTGTGTCCGATGTACACTCAAAATTTGAAAACGTTACTTATTACGTAATTGCGGCTATGAATTTTCAAAATTTTCAGCCCAAGTTGTGTCAACCATTCCAAACAGAGATTTATCTAAATGTCCGAACAACATACACCTGGAATTTTTATGTCCGCGAACAGTCCATCTAAATATTTATGTCCGCGAATAGGGTGTCCGCGAGTTGGGCGTCCGCGAATAGGGCAACCCGTGTCCGCGAGTTGGGTGTCCGCGAATAGAGATGTCCGCGAAGTGTCCGACACCCCGAAAAACGTACCACTTTGCATCCGGAAAGTATTACAAACGTAGCAGAATACCTCCGTCTTCAAGTTAAAAAACTCAAATTCAAAATCGCTTCTTGTGAGCGAAACTCTTGAAACCGGAGTTTTTTTACAGTGGGGGACCTTATCCATTAGCAAAAAACGTACCATTTTGCACCGGGAAGTATCAAAAATGTGGCAAAATGCTTCCCTCTCCAAGTGAAAAAACTTCGTTTTGAAGGGCGCCCCTTCCCTTCACAAAAAGAGCGGGCTTTTGAAATCGGAGTTTTTTCACTTGGAGAGGGAAGCATTTTGCCACATTTTTCATACTTCCCGGATGCAAAATGGTACGTTCTTTGCCAACAGATCAGCTCTCCCACCGTAGTAAACAACTTTATCGGAATTTTCAAAATTACCTCTCCCTTCTCTAGCCTCTCCAGAACATTCGTATTCAGCTCCTTCGTGCGCAGGAACCATTGGTCCATCAACCGGCCCTCACAAAGATCGCCGGATCTGCTACAAATCGGCAACACGGTCTTTTCCACCTTTTCCTCTCCGCCGAACGCCTCAATTCGAGTCAGGAATTTGACGACCTTCTCTTTGGCGTCAAATCGATCCAATCCTTCGAACTTGCCAGCAAATTTTGTCAAATTCCCGGCATCGTCGGTCACCGGGATTAGCCTCATTTTTCTCTTGAATTCCTCCGCCGAATCGGAGTAAATCCGGTAGTCAACCGGACTACAGGCCGGTGTAACTTTTAGGACGCCCGTTCCGAGGTCTGGATCGACTAATTCGCTGGGGATCACGGGAATTTGCTCCTCGGACATTGGATTTTTGACAAATCTGCCGATAAAACCGAAAAATCGCGGGTCTTTTGGGTTCACAGCCAAGGCAGTGTCAGCAAATACGCTTTCAGGCCGTGTGGTAGCCACTTCCAGATATTCTGGATCACTAAAAACAAGAAATGAAAAAAATTTATATTGTAGTAGATATCTGCAAAATTTTTGCTATAACATAAAAAAATAGTTCGAAATCAGCGCAAACTTTCTAGTTTATGCTCAAAACTCACCCATGTCTTCGATCCACCAGCTTATATCGGACTTTATACATCACTCCGACCTTCACCTTCCTCATTCCGCCTTTTGGATTCGGGATTGTCACGCTACCCCCAACCGGCGTCAAATCCACCTCTTCATTTGATATGGCCGACCTCAACGATGGACACCAGTTTATAATCCGCTTGTCTCGATAAATTAGACCATCTTTTTCCAACTGAACAAAGGCTGTGTTGACTGCAGTCTTGAACTTGTTATTCATGGTGTAGAAGGGGCGTGACCAATCCAAGGTGGTGCCTAACTGTCGTAATTGGTTGGAAATTTCCTTTTCTCTGCTGAAATAAATGCTCATGAATTTTGCAGTTTGTTTCAAAAGGTTATAAATATTTTGCCGCAACCTATAGATGCCTAAAATAATAATAGACAGCACTACATGAAAATAGCGCAAAAACAGATTGCCATCTGACTGATTAGAAGAAACATAAACCAATCTACCCAATAAAGGAAACTTTCCGACAGAAAATCAAGTTTTAGAGACAAAGATTGGCAAAAGTGTTATCCATGACGTCTAAATTAAGATCAGGTCAGAATCGCTCAAACTCTCTCTGAGCCACGTCGCAACCAACCTAAACACCAAGAAAGCAACTCAAATTAACTCACACTTCCTTCCAATCCAAGCAATGCTCCAGAAAATCGTCACTACTCAGCTCATGCCGTCGAACCCTCCTGGTCTTCCACAACATTTTCTCCACCGCCGTTTGAGTCGCAATTCCAGCATGATCGAATCCCGGGATCCACTCCACATTCCGGTCGTTCAGCCGCTGAAACCTGCAGATCGCATCTTCGACGGTTACGGTAAGCGCATGGCCAATGTGAAGGACACCGGTCACATTCGGCGGAGGTAGAACCATTTTAAAGACCTCTCCTTTGCCATTCCTCTCGGATGTTCCATTGTGATACTTGTGTTTGTAGTAATCTCGGACCTCGTCCCACGAGAATTTAGTGGAAACACTAAATTTTGAAAAAAATTTTTTAGATAAAGCAATTATATTGCCTTAGCCTACCTGGAAGCTCTGGATTGAATAAAAAGTCTGCGAGATAACATGTTTATGGGCTAAATTGAACTTGAAAAGCGAGAAACATCAAGAACATTGCTAAAACTTTCTAGAAATTCATTTGCAAAATATTTTTTCGAGCTAAAACAAAATGCCAAGAATTTTTGGCATTCATTGTTTTCGTTGTAAAACCGCTCGTCAAAACTGCAGTTGTCGACAAAAACGATTTGCACTAATTTTCTAAAGCTTTGTAGAGCCAAGCAATGCATAAAAAATCTTTATTCCAAAACTTTATTAACATCCTTTGACCTTGTTTTTATTCCTCCCTCCGAAATTCACGTATTTCTCGGCAAAAAGTTTCGCCGCCAAGGCCAAGAACCCGCAAACGAGGGCAAAATGAACTGGCAGGGCGTAGAGGTTGGTTTCACACGGCATTTCATCCGCAATGTACGCAAACAGACTGGTCATACTGCCCAAGACGATAATGCATTGAATGATTTGAAGGGCGGCCACATATCGTCCAGCCGCACGTGCTGGCGGCCAAATATCCGTCGTGCTGTGGTAGGCGTGCATCAAGAAATTTGTGATGCTGTTGAGGAAGGGGGAAATCCGGAAAATTGAGCCTAAAAAGTTGAAAAAATCAATGTTGTACTAGAACCTAGGGTCATCAAAACTAAAAATCAAATTTCTCAAAGATAGGCGCTCGGATTTTAATGAAATTTTTTACGTGACGTTAGTTTAGTTCACTTTATAATTTCAAAAAATTTTAGCTTGTTTTTTTTTGGGCCTAGAAATCTTCGTGGCCCATCAAAAATGTGACATAAAGAATTTTGATAAAACTTTAAGAATCCTAACACTAATCGTTGGCTAATTCTCTCAAAATCATCTTGAGAATTCAACAAGCAAAAAAAAAAAAAAAAAAAATTCTGCTCACCAGCCGTATAAAAACTGTAAAGTCCCCATAAAGGTAGCACCATGCGATAAAGATGGTGAAGAATTGTGGGTCTCGTCCCTCTCGCGGACATTAAGACAACATCTCCCATTCTGAATATGCTCGAAATGCAGTAGACATAGATTCCATAGCCACTGAACTTGTCTGTGTAGAGGTTCCCAACCTTGCAGACCGTGAAGTACCAACCTGAAAATGAAAAAAAAATATGGCAGAATTAACGTCTGTCGGGAAAATAATGAGCTGTCGCATTGAAAGTCGCATCGCCCCCGAGAAAATGAATTGTGTCGCGGCAAAATCAAATTGCCTTTCATTTTGTCAGCGATGCAATCAGCGCAGCGACATTATGCTCATTATTTTCCCGACGCACTGATATCGAAACACTGTCAAATTAACAAGGGAAGTATCCCAAGTAGCGACGCTCAGATTTTTTAAAAATTTTGCAAACAAGTCGGGCATGTACTAAGTATCAATTCCTGAAAGTTTTAGCTCGCGCTTTGCGGGCGCCGCCGAGATATTCAACGATTTTTGCCGTCGAGAGAGCACACTAAACAGAGAGAAAAACACTTTTGGCCATAACTTCGCTAGTTTCGTATGGAAAAAAAATGATTTTTTGTGGAAACATTACCCTCTGTAGTAGAAAGAGGCATTAAGCTTTTCATGCCGGAATTCGGCAAAAAGTGTCAAATTTTCGGCGACTTTCGATCTAAAAATCTCGGTTGTTTCTGCAAAGCGCGAACTAGGATTCTCGCATATATCCTAGAAAAAATTATTCTAAATTTATGATAAGTTTCATCAAAATCTGAGCATCGCATTTGAGGTACTTCCCCTCTAAGATAGTTTTCGCTTACCATTCCCCAGAGCCTCTTGGAATTCGGGAAGCATCAAAACGACGACATAAAATGCGAGTGAGGCGTTCATTCCGTTCCAGAAGATTGTCAAATACTCCAACCAATCGGGGATACAAGCATAAGTGCGGCTTCTGCGTGTCATTTTCCACGCGATCAGAGCGTAGAAAACTTCGATAAAGAGCAGGTAGGCTCGCAATGACAGTAGATAGTCGTATTTGGCGACCGTATTGTGTCTGCCGTAGTAGTGACGGGGGAGCTGCTCGACCGACCACATGGCTTGCACGAGAAATGGAAATTGGAAGAGAGAGGAGCGGTTTTTTGTTTTGGTTATGCAAATTTGAATTTGAAAAAATGCGATTTTTGTTGATTTTTGCGAAATTTATTTTGAGTTATTCAAATTTCAAAGGTCAAAAACTTCAACGTTTTTTGATGAAAAGACTTACATACAGTGGCGGACCTGGTCCAGTCGCAAAAAAAGTACCACTTTGCATCCCGGAAGTATTAAAAATGTGGCAAAATGCTTCCCTCTCCAAGAGTAGGACCTAGGCCAGCACCATGACCAACAATCACAAGTTCAAACACATTTGGAGCCCGTCAACACCTTTGGAGCCAGCGGAACCTCAAGAGCAACTCGCATGGATACCCGGAAATGGTCTCACCTCGGAAACACTTATTGGCATTCTGCAGCAACTACAATAGGATCCACGAAGAAGAAGGAATTGAGATATTAGACAAAAGGATAGATGGAAATATAGGACAGGAATTGGTCAGAGGTTGGAGACGGCCAGAAGGAGGACAGAAGAAGGACGCGCGAGGGCGTGAGCCCGAGTACTATCTGTTTGTTACAGTTTGGTCTTGGTTTATTGTTGACTTATTTACCGTTGCTCGTATTTTCCCCAATTGTATCGTTTAGTTTGGATAAATCTGTCAATTATACGTGTTTGGCGAGTCGTTTCTAGGAGATCCTCGGATCTCATATCCTCACGAACTACCCCAAATAGTTCTAATTGGCGACCACGTGCACTCCACAATCTTCGGCGACGTTCGATTCGGTTTTGCGTTGGATTTTGAGGTGATTTTCCCCTATTTTTCTCTTGAATTTTAGGTACGAACTTCTCTTGACAGTTCGAAAGATATTTGAACCTCTATTGACAGTTCAAATCGATTTGCGAGCTTCTATTGATAGCTTGTAGGAACTCCGAACTTCTATTGATCGTTTCGGATTTCTTCTGAGAAACTCTATTTGATCGTTTCGAATTTCCTCTGAGAACCTCTATCGAAGAGTTCCAGCGACCATCGGCTGTCCTCTCTTGGAAAGTGACCGATCGTCGATTTGAAGCGCTATCGTGCTTGTTTTTCTGGGAATTTATCGAGTCCCCGAAATTGTGTTGAATTCCTTATCCCTCTGAAGGATTCTCCACGTCAAAGAGAATATTTATCGCATATTCTTGCCATATCGGAGCCTTTTGTTCAAGGAAATCCCGATTTTTTCAAGTAAAATTCGATCCGGATATTATACTTGATTTTCGAAGGAAATTGTGTCTTCATCCTGTTGTTTATCTCAATTGCCGATTAGTGAACCTGTTTTAGCGAATAGATTGAATCGCAAAGGTGTATTTGAGAAGTTCCGAACTATTTGAAGAGTTTACGGATTTTTGGGTATTAATTTAGGTAATACTTGACGAACTTTGCGTTATATTGCGCGTTTTTGTGCCCCGTTGTTTTGAGATACAGTGCCCGTTCCTGCCGGTTAGAATAGCAGAGTCTGTTTCTTGTTTATTTGCTGATTATCTCGTTGATTTGGGCAATTTTTTCGTTGATTACCTTGGCTGATATCACTTTTTCGTGAATTCCATTGATTTTGATTAGAATTTTGATAGTATTGTTGCGGTTCTATCCGGTTTATCCTGCTGAAGATAAACTATTCGTGTGTGAATTTGTTTCATTGATTTTTAAATTGATTTTTACAGGAGAATTTGAGACAGATCCTTGAAAGACCTAGTTTAATATCGAAACCGAAGAAAATTGTTGATAAGTTCCTTTTACTTGTGTGTTCCACCTTTAGATTGAATAATTCGAGGCATTCACAGAAATTCGCGGCTTCCGACATTAATTTAGTTGATTTGTTACCTAAAATTTGAAAAAAACTTTCTAAAAATGCCGAACTTCACGCTAATTTCTCCTCCTACTCCTTCCTTGCGTCCTGAAGACTTTCATCCTTATGATTTGCGGGTAGAAAGAACTGAATTCTACCAAGAAAGCACGAAAAAAGCATTGTCAGACATAAGCATCACAATTACATTAACAGAAACACAAATTTTTTCTCTGAAAATGGGCCAAATAGTTCTAATCAAGTGAAAAAGCTGCGTTTTTGAAAGGCGCGCCCTTTCCCTTACAAAAAAGCGTTTTGAAATCGGAGTTTTTTCCGCTTGGAGAGGGAAAGCATTTTGCCACATTTTTGATGCTTCCCGGATGCAAAATGGTACGTTTTTTGCGGCTGGACAAGGTCAGTCACTGTATCAGTCTGTAGGGAAAATAATGAACATTTTTTTGCATCGAAAATCGCATCGCATAGAAAATGAATTGTGCCGCGGCAAAGCCAGCTGCTTTTCACTAGCGATGCGACCGGTGCAGCAAAATTTCTTTCATTATTTTCCCGACAGACTGATATGAGAAATAGTGAATCGCCCATCATTGCTTTGTGACGGTAGCCGCAGAATTTGACACGCGACTGCCCGTTTTTCGACGAGGTGAAGCGTTTTGCTGCAAAGACCTGTCAATATTTTCCCGACAGACTGATATTTGTGTTTCTTTTGTCGAAATACCTGATGATTTCTTGCTCGTAAGTTGGCCAAAATTCGCAATTTGTTGCGCCCACTTTCCCGTCGACATAGATCTTTGATTTTCAAAGCTCGTATTCCTGTAACATCACCGTGAAAACTACACCTACACTTTACTTAGAATCAATAGTGTAGACAGTATACGCTGTAGCCTAGTCATGTTGCATGGGTCCCTAGAGGATGACTGGCATTATCATTTTGAGCGACTTTGTGTTCTTTGAGTTCAATAAGAGTTTCGCTGAAGAATAGAGTGGGGTTGAAGAGGTTGATTATTATTTACATGTAATTGGAGGAAGCAAGCCTTTCATGTGGCCTATAATAAACATTTATCATCGAGAGTAAGAGTTCAGCGACTTGCTTACACACAAACATGGTTCCCGGGCCGGGCTCTGGGAAGTTTGAAAATGGGCCGAGCCTACTTTTTAGCGGCCTAGGGCTCAAGTTTGCTGCCGACATTAACCGACTAGAACTACAATTTTCTAATCGACGTAGTACACTGAAAGAAAAAACATCAAATTCAAATTCATCAAAATAAAACATCACGCATTTATGATGTCCACGACATCAAAAGCTGGAGATTTTGATGTTTTCATCAAAAAAACTTTTTTGATGTTTGGGTTTATCAAATTCCAATTTGCCAATTGAACTCAAAAGGAAGGGCACACATGTGCGTACGCACAACAGAGAAAAAGGAAATCAGTCGAATTTCACTCTGTCGAATTTTCATAAAGTCGGTTGTTACATGATAAGATGCCTCATAAATTGTCGATTTCTTGTAAAGGTCGTGATTGTCAGGATTGTACATAGATCAGGTAAGCGAGTTTTGCTGTTGTTTTCTTTTATTTTTAGATCACTTATTTGGGCGACAATGATAAACAGATGCTCTAAATCGCAACGAAGACTGAGGTAAGCTTGGTCTCTGAATTATTTAATTCTTTGGAATTCAGATTATTTTTTTTTCATATTGCTGGACATGTTATGCTTATCCGCCTTCGCTGGCTTGGACCTGAGCTTTGTGTATGCTGGACGAAGAGCATACCGCCTTCCCGTACATTTATCCAGTCCGCAAAAGCGTTTTTGACAACAAAATAGTCATACCGGAGGAACCAAGCGTTAATCGGACCTAAATTGTGAGTTTTTTTATATTGTACTAGATGTTTGGGCATACGTGATGGAAAATTTCGAAAATTCGCAAAATTTTCTGAAATTTTGTCCAAAGATTTTTTAAATACGGCGTCGCGACACTTGCGGGCAACCACTTTGCGGGCAACCAGTTTGCGGGCAAATTTTTTGCGGGCAGCCACTTTGCGGGCAAAATTTGGAGGGTCACATTTGCGGGCAGCTGAAACATTTGCGGGCAGCTGAGACACTTGCGGGCAGCCTGGGACACTTGCGGGCAACCGACACTTGCGGGCAGCCGACATTTGCGGGCAACCGGCACCTGAGGGTAACAGGGTGGAGGTGGAAATATTACTATGATATTTTGGAAATTTGCCGACATTTGCGGGCAACCGACACTTGCGGGCAGCCGACATTTGCGGGCAACAGGAAAAAACAATCACACAGAGTGTATTGGAACTTTTAGAACTGTTGCCCGCAAATGTCGGCTGCCCGCAAGTGTCGGTTGCCCGCAAATGTCGGAAAACTTCCAAAATATCGCAGTAATTTTTCCACCTCCACCTTGTTATCCCCAAGTGCCGGTTGCCCGCAAATGTCGGCTGCCCGCAAATGTCGGCAAATTTCCACAATATCATAGTAGTTTTTCCACGTCTACCCTGTTACCTCCATAATCAGGTGTCGGTTGCCCGCAAATGTCGGCTGCCCGCAAATCTTCCAGGCTGCCCGCAACTGTCGACCCTGCCCGCAAATGTCCCAGGCTGCCCGCAAATGCCGGTGCTGGCCGCAAATGTCGGCTGCCCGCAAAGTGGCTGCCCGCAAAAAATTTGCCCGCAAACTGGTTGCCCGCAAAGTGGTTGCCCGCAAGTGTGCGCCCGCCTTAAATACGGTCTATGGAGCTCCCTGATCCAGTTTCGATTAGATCTTTAAATATTTTGGGAATCGTCTTGGTATCTTGGTGATGGTGAGAAAATAAAATGTTTACAAAAGCGTCCAATTTGGAGTCTAAAATGTAAATTTAGCTCCCGGTGTCCCATGTTTTGCGAAGAAAAGCAGGTGGATGTCGACTTTTCCGCCAAAGACCTGCTTCATCACCCCGTGACGATCTTCATCATCAGTACTAACAGCCAATAGTCGAAGAGTTGAAGTGATGTTTTTTCGGTAAGGTGAGTTGCGCTTGGTGATAGTCAAAATAATGTTGTTTATTTGTAGAGCTGGGCCGTCCAGAAGCTGGATCACCAATGGAAAGACAGTATTTGAGCGATCAGAAGCCAGAATTCATCAAACAGGTGAGTTATCTATATTGTAGTAGGTTTGATTTTTAGGCCATGCGATGCGGATGCCCGACGGTAATGATGGTGGTAATGACTTGTTCCACCTCGACGCAATCAACCCGACCTTTTCTTCCAATCGTCGTCTTGGATCAGCGCAAGAAACGGCCGTTCCATGGAGTTAAAAGCAGTCAAAGGTTTGCTATGACTGCTATTTTACCTAAATTGTGTTTTTACAAACGGTTTATTCGAATAAATTGTGTAAATAGTAGTATTTGTGTTTTTGATAAATTATCCATCACAAATATTTGATTTTCCAAAAATTTTTGATGTGCCCCACATCAAAAAAATAATATCGTATTTTTTTTTCTTTTTGATGAAACGAAACATCAAAAAACTTTTTTTGATGTTTTCATCAAAATCTAATAGACTGATGAAAAACATCAAAAATATATGATGTTTTTTCTTTCAGTGTATGATAGAAATTTTTGTTGAAATCTTCAACCTCTAGCTACTAACGCAGTACAAAAAATGCACTTTGAATGGATCAAATAGGTCACTTTAATGTTCATGTAACAGCTGGATTTTGAAGTTTTCAAGCTGAACAACCAACGCAACCCCAATTAAAACACTCACAATAGTTTCCTAGGCGGCTTAAAAAAGATTGAAGTTTTTTGCGGCTGTTCAAATAGCTGTAACACGTTTCTGTTGGGTGTTCCAAAGCAAGGCCTTCTGATTAAACAAAACCTCGCTACTATTTAACCCACGGAAGTCTTTGTTACAGCATCAGTGTCTTCATCTTCTCAACAATGAAGTATTTTGTTCTTCTCTGCCTCTTGGGTTTGGCGTTGGCCGACGATACCGGCAAAACGACCAGATATTGGGATTGTTGTAAGCCTTCGTGCGCATGGCCCGGAAAGGCCCAACTCAAACAAGGCCCCAGCAAGTACTGCGACGTGAATGACAAGCCGTTGGCCGATGATGGCAACACTCAGTCCGGCTGCAACGGTGGCAGCGCGTACGCCTGCTCCACGGACCAGCCTTGGGCCGTCAACGACAGTCTCAGCTACGGATTCGCGGCCGTGAAGCTGCAAGGAGGCCAAGAGTCGGACTGGTGTTGCGCCTGCTACGAACTGACCTTCACCGACGGGCCCGTTGCCGGCAAAAAGTTCGTCGTGCAGGCCACCAACACCGGCGGCGACTTGGGCTCCAACCACTTCGACTTGATGATCCCCGGCGGCGGTGTCGGCATCTTCAACGGCTGCCAAGCCCAATGGAAGTCGCCCGCCGACGGATGGGGACAGCGCTACGGTGGTGTGAGCTCCGCATCCGACTGCTCTTCACTTCCGGAGGCTCTGCAGCCCGGCTGCAACTGGCGCTTCGACTGGTTCCAGAACGCCGACAACCCAGGCATGACCTTCAAGAGAGTGCCCTGCCCCACCGAGATCACTGACAAGAGCGGTTGCATTCGCTCTGATGACCAATAAGGAAGCAGATCAATCTTTAATTTATTTCATGGCTGGTGTTATTTTACTGAGTTTTTTGGAAGAATTGCGCAAATAAATTATTTTCTTGGTGGTAAATAGTGTCTTTTGATGTACTAGTTCGTTTTCAAAGTCACTGGAGTGATTTCATTGCCCGAAAAAAGATTACTCTTCATCGTGCAATAGGCTGTTTGGCCTCACACCTTGCCTTTTTCAGCATAATGCAAACGCCAAAAATAAATCCAGGGACCTTAAAGACGGACTATAGTATACCCTACAAACGGACTATATAGTGTGGGATCTCAGCCTTAATTCCCTTGTTTCTCATGAGCTTTTTTCCAGTCCGTTCTCGAGTCAAGTCCATCCCTCGGTCGCATGCTTTGGAGACGAAAGCGGAAACAACGTCAAAACTTGATCACTTACGTATGTAATCTCCCAATTTTGCTTTACTCATCATTGCATCATCCTGCAAAAATGCCAGACCCCCGGAAATTTGTGTTCTATTCTACATAGTTACATACTATCCCCGAGAGGATCCAGCATACCTTCTGCTTTAGACCCATAGTGCAGGAAATACTCGTTGATACTGACGGTCATGTGGCGTGGGTCCCAAGGGGGTCGCCGACGTTGTCATTTTTAGCGACTCTGTGTTCTTTGAGTCTAATAAACGTTACGTTAAATGATGGGGGTTGCAAGAGCTGGAAATTGTGAGGGGGAGGGAATAAGAGGTCTTTGACAGTCCAGGATATCATCATGTCATCAAAATACTTTAAATTTTGCGGATGTAGACTATATATTATTTCCTCAAAGTTTTGGCTTGCGCTTTGAAGGCGAAGCTGAGATATGCAACGATCTTTGTGGCCGAGAGAAGAACTCAAGAAAAATTTGGAACGTTGTCTTCCGGCCAGCAAGGGTTTGCCTCGACTAGCCTCGAAAAAACAGCCAAAGATTTTCTCTAAAGTTCATCATGTGAGGAAACGCCACTTTGGTTAAACCTTTGTCAGTGAATATCTTCAACATTGGCTGGATTGACGTGTGAGGACCTTTAGCGCCGAGTACTACACTACTCCACAACAGTACACAACAATACACATTTTTTATGCATAAGAGGTAAAAGACGTACACAACGGTCGCCCTTTACTTACAATACAAATGAGAACACTTAAAATAACATTTGCATCAAAAGTGTTGGACATTTTATCACACATACATAAAATTTTTAACAATCGAGTTTGCAACGTTTTAGTTGTTATGTTTCTGCAAAAGAAGCTTTAGAAAGGTCTCCATCTCTCTGATGGAGATGTAGTTTGAGCGCCTAGGTCTTGTATTTTTGTATTTCGGGTCATCTAGCTGGCCACTTGCTGTTATAATTGTCATGACTTTTGTATTCTTGCCAAAATTATGAGTTTGAATGTTTTCCAGATTGAAAAGATACCATCCTCTTCGTCTTTCTGGGGATATATTTATTTTTATCCTAGTCTTTACTTTCCGATAGATTTTTCTAAGTACTTCTATGGGGTATGGAGTTACAGCTCGAGACATCAAAAAAAACCGCAAAATTTTTCTGATTCAGAATATGTAAAAGTTAGCTGCCTAATTTTGGTCTGTTAGGGTGAAAAAACCCTCAGAAGTTTTTTCGGAACATCACGCAAATGCCTTTATTTTATATTGTAATACTAATTAAGGTGTAGTATTAATCAAATTTGATATTTGTATGGCTTGTCAATATACCAGGGTTTCCTTTAGCTCAAAATAAAGCGTTCGATTTGGCAAAAACGTGGTCAAAAAGGCATTTGCGCGGTGTTGCGAGAAGAGTTCTGAGTGGTTTTTTCACCCCTACAAACCAAAATTAGGCATATACAGGGTCTTACAAAAAACGTGAAGGAAAGCGGAAGGCTATAACTGGTGATTTTCAACCGAAAAAGTCCGAAATTTCTCGATCATTTTCAACCGAAAAAACCTGGTTTTCGGGGTAGAGATGCCTCTACTTGAGAAGGTCGTAGCGACCTCAGTTTGCACTTTAAAAGCTTGTTACTTTGTAGACAAAAACTAATGTCTTTTGAAAATACATATTTCAAATACGAAGTTTCTGCGCCGCCTCCGCCGGAAGTTATAGCCTTCCGCTTTCCTTCACGTTTTTTGTAAGACCCTGTAGTCAAACTCTTTTTCTTTCTGACCGCTCTCCGCGTTTTGCGTACTCTCTCGCCGGCAAAAATCGTTCAAAATATCGCTTCTGCTCCAGCAAAGCGCGAGCAAAGATTTTCGTAAATTAATTTCCAGCCCACCCTCAACGTATGCCCAAAATTTCGCGGAAATCCGTGGGATCGCACTTGTGACACCTTCCTTGTTAATTTTAATCGCGGTCCCATCAGATCCCATTCTCCGAAGCAAGTACACCTATTATGTTCAACGCTCCACCACTAATGGCGCAATAAAGAGTGCACTCGGTATGACTTATACCCTATTAAAGCATTATGCTCCCAGCAGTATGTTAAAAGCCTATTCTGCATTCTTTTTTTATGGCTTGGCCGACACTGGAGCAGCTCTACATCTTTCTGGTGGAGTTTGAGGCCGTTCTCTGCATTTGCGCATGGATCTACATATTCTTTGTGTTCATGCCGTTCGTTTGGAAATCCAAGCTGTTCCATGTCAATTATAAAATATTGTTGGTAAGTCGATTTTTGAGGGGGCTTATTTAGAGCAAAATTACAGTTTTTAAAATTGAAAAAAGAGCAAGTTTAGTAATAAGGGGAAGCGCTTCAAAAATCAATTTTTTCGTATAACAAGGGCTCGGCAAAACCTCGTCCCGTGGTTTCTTCTTGAAACATATACCATTTGAAAGAGCGCAAAAAACTGGTCTAGGATCACTTTCAATTAGCTGCTAAGATTCACTTACGTGCTAGCTAGCGAACTTTTTTTAGTTCTAAGCCAGTCTCACCCTTCTTTCAAGGAAACAAAAGGAATCGATTTCAAAAGCACGGCGAAGCAGTGGTTCGGTGGCCTAGTGGGGTAAGGCGCTCTACAAGGAGGGCCTGCGGGCCAGGTTCGAATCCTCTTTTGAATTTTTGGATTTTTTTGGCTATTATGGAATGAAGAAGGCTAGCATGTAGTCTTTGATTTTAATTTGATTTTTGGGGTACCCTAGATTTTTTTTACTAGAAAAATCGACAGGTTTTTAAATTTTTTGTGATATAGGTGTCTTTGACCCTGCAGTCGGTATCCAAGATGGTTGAAACTTTCAACGGCTTTAATATTTTTTGCCAGGAATGCCCATGTACGGACAGTACGTGAAAAACGAGCCTGAAAACGGTATACATGTTTGAAACCTCCTAGTATGTCTCGGGTGACAAGACCTAAAACATCGCCTAATCACTCGTTGAGGGCATCGACCTGAGAGTTTCAAGCTCGGAAAAAACTTTATGTTTTTTGATCTTGATTGAAGCCTCCAATTTCATAGGTGACTAATATTTGTATGAAAAGTGATTATTCGATCTCGTTGGCATCTCAGAAGAAAAGGTTCCCAAAGTCTAATTGGGAATTTTTAAAAAAAGTTCGCTAGCTAGCACGTAAGTGAATCTTAGCAGCTAATTGAAGGTGATCCTAGACCAGTTTTCTGCGCTCTTTCAAGTGGTATATGTTTCAAGAAGAAACCAGGGGACGAGGTTTTGCCGAGCCTTTGTAAGGAAAATAAATGAGAATGTTTAAACTTGCTTATTTCTACCGAGCAGAGAAATTTTTCTACAAAAAATTTTATTTTTTGATAAAAAATTTCGTCAGGAAAGATCGTTGAACATCTGCCACGAAATTTGGTAACGTTTGAGCTAAAAGTTCCAGAATTTGGTGTGTAGTAATGATCAAATTTCTTCACCAAGGCTTCAAATGTCTCGAAGAAAATGCAACTACAGTGACGGACCTGATCAAGCGGCAAAAAACGTATCATTTTGCATCCGGGAAGTATCAAAGGACGTTGCAAAATACCTCCCTCTCAAGGTGAAAAAACTCCGGTTTAGAAAGCGGGTCCCTCTTTTTGTGAGGGGAAGGGCGCGCGGGCCCTTTAAAACAGAATTTTTTTTAGTTGGAGGGAGGCATTTTGCTACGTTTTTTCATACTTCTGAGATGCAAAATATATATAGTTCGTCGGTAAAGTTGGGATTTTTGGCGCTTGCACTGTGCTAAAAAAACCAGGGTGCGAGCGACAGCCCAAAAAGGGAATGTATTCATAAATTGCACAGTGCAAAATAAACATTAGTTTTCGCCCAGTGCATGTCGCAAAAATCACTCCAGCGACTTGCCGAACCCTCTAACATGTATACAACCCCAATTTCCAGACGATCCTTGGCGTTCAGCTCAACATCGACGACACTTTTCGTCTACTCTACCTCTTCGTGTACCTCAAAATCCAGAACGGATTGATCATCTACGATCCGGCGCTGGACGTGGGCTATGGGCTTCCAATGTGGGTGAAATCCATTCACATCAGCGGGCTGGACATGGCCGTGCTGACGGGAGTTGTCTTGGGACTAGAGCGAATCGTTGCGACCTACTTTGCGGACCGCAACTACTCCGCGCAGAAGCCGACCTTCGGAATTCTGCTTGCTGTTTTCGACGTTGTCGCCGCCAATGGGCATAGCTACTTTTTGGCATGGTATCAGTATCATACGATTTCGAAGGAATGCCGGATCCGGCCGCTGATGGAGGCCGATGCCTCGGAATTTCGATTTGGTTTCCAAAAGGGAATCATCTGTTGTATTATGGGATGCATTGTAAGTGGAAGCTTTATTACTTGTTTCTTTATCAGTTTGTCGGGAAAATAATGAGCACTCTGTCGCAGGGAGAATCGCATCGCGATTTTCTTAACGGTAGCGAGCATTCTGGTGACAAAATTTATATATTCTGAAAGGAAATTGGTTACTCTTTTTGCCGGTATATCTTCTGGTTAGCCGTACACGTACAAAAACGTGATAACCACTTTTTATTTTTTCATTTTTTGGACACCGATCGGCGGCGAAAAAAGTTTGGAATGTCGCGGCAAAATCAAATTGCTTTTCACTTCAGCAAGGGGCAATTGGCGCAGCGATATTGCGCTTATTATTTTCCCGACAGACTGATTAACAGTTTAACGGTTTTTTTACCGTAGAATTTTAAAGTTCCTACAAAAACTCAATTTTTTCTATTCGAAACTAGCGAAGATACCGCCAAAAAGTCTTTCTATCTCTAACCACTCTCCGCATTTCGCATACTCTTTCGGCGGCAAAGAATGAGTTTTTCAGATGCCTGGGGCCAATACGCCAACCGAAAGTTAGCTGAAAATGATAGGGCGCAGCTCGGAAAATAGCCAAATCATTGAGTGGGCTCAGCGAGCAGCTCGGGCGCAGCTCGAAACCAAGCTGAGACATAGCTTCGACGAACTCCGCAAGTTTATTTTACGAGCTGCGCCCTAGCCTTTTCAGCAAACTTTTAGGTAGCGCACTGGTCCTGTAATAATTAATACTACAGTAGTCGAACAATAGCCAAGATACGAAACAATTTTTTTTGCGTTTTCAGGCTTTCGCCGGGATTTATGTCTGGGGAAAGCGCCGCGTCCACCACAACTACACCTACACATTGGACGTGAAATTCCAAATCAACCACAACATGTCCACCGTTCGCACACTGTACATCGTAATGGCGGGTTATTTGGTGTGTGTGGGACTGGGCCAGGTCTGGTTTATTGTGTGGTCGCCCTACACCAACACCAGGTCCTGTACGGATGCGGATTACCAGCTGATCGTGTTGTTTGGACACTACTGGATCAACCTTTACTACTACTTTTATATCTACGGAATTGTGAATTGGAGCAGTCAGAAGACGCGCCGCGGCCGACGCGTTCTCCCAATCAGCGAGGCGGACCATTTGAAGGCAATTCAAAGCACTTGGCAGCTGGAGCCGGCGTCCACGAAGAAAGGGTTCGCATTGAGAGAACTGGTCAAGGAGGTGGTCAAATCTTTGAGCGAACTTTTTATTTGATTTGTTGACTTTTCAATGGGAGAATTCTCAAAGTGAAGCGGTTAGATTTTGGTTAAAATTTGATCATTTCAAGGACAACGCAATGGCTGCCCCTAAATTAATACCATTCTGCCCCCAAATTCTCCCATTCTGCCCCCAAACACATGCCCCCAAATAGGAGGTTGGAAGGTGCCCCCAAAATATTCCCATTATGCCCCCAAATACAAAAATTAGTGTAGGGTTATATTTTATGGTGGTAGTCACACCTCGGGCTAAAAAATTAGAAAATTCGTAGTGGTGGCGATTGCGTAATAAGTAAAAATTCTAAGATTATGACTAAATGTCTGATGTAGGGGTAATCGGTGGCGCTGATTTCGAAAATGATATTCATTTTTTATGATTCTTACAATTTCGCTTAAGTAGTACTGTAAAGTAGTAATTTTTTATTTTTTCATCGAATAGTGGACTTATAGGTAGTTGATGGCGCTGATTTCGAATATTATATTTATTTTTATGATTCTTACAATTTCGGTTAAGTAGTACTGTAAAGTAGTAATTTTTGATTTTTTTCATCGAATAGTGGACGTATAGGTAGTTGATGGCGCTTATTTCGAAAATGATATTCATTTTTAATGATTCTTACAATTTTGCTTAAGTAGTACTGTAAAGTAGTAATTTTTGAAAATTTTAGATGAGATGTCGAGTTATAGGTAATCGAGGATGCTGATTTTGAAAATGATATTCATTTTTCATGATTTTAACTTTTTTCTTAAGTAGTAGTGTAAAGTAGTAATTTTTTGAAAATTTTAGATGAGATGTCGATTTATTAATCGACACCGCGGATTTCGAAAACAGTACCAGTTTTTTTATGATTATAACTTTTTTCTTAAATAGTACTGTAAAGTAGTAATTTTTGAGATTTTTTGAATTGGTAGGGTTTATGGGTGCCGATTCCAGAATAAGATTCCTGATGAGTTGTGCTGTAAAGTTGTGATTTTTTTGTTTTTATTTTATTATTTTTTGATGAATAGTTAGTTAAGTGCAAGGTACGTGTTATTGTTGATTCAAAAACTGTGTTCATCTTCTGTAGTTTTTATTCATCTACAATCTGTTGGCAGAAGAATTTTTGCTCAGAATTTTCTGTCAAACCTGGCATAGCGGCAGGCTATCCCAAGCCAAACAAATTTTATAGCAGAAAATTTCTGTCAAACCCCGCCCATTTTGGCGCGCTCGATGAAGATCAGAAGCAATACCGTTGATGACTCGAAGTAATAATAATCGCATGAGAAACAACCCTGTTGGATAATTGTTCAGTCTAGCATTTATCACAAAAAAAATTTAAAATATTTTGCAAATATTTTCAACTCCTTCAGGCCCGTGTGATATCACCTAAAACAATATCTGCCTAATTGCAATAAATCGATAGAGAAAACGTTGAAACAGCAAATAACTTGCGTAAATTTAACCTATTCTTGTACGGACAACGTCACAAAATAGTACGGTTGTTTTTTTTTTCTTTTTATGACAAAAAATTTTTGAAATATAACTATGTTGTCTAAAGAGAAGTATTTTTATATTTCAAAAAGTTTTTGTGGTAATTTAAGTTCTTTGTGCAACGTCCTGTTATTATCCAACAGGATTGTTTCTCATGCGATTATTACTTCGAGTCATCAACGGTATTGCTTCTGCCCTTCATCGAGCGCGCCAAAATGGGCGGGGTTTGACAGAAATTTTTCTGCTATAAAATTTGTTTGGCTTGGGATAGCCTGCCGCTATGCCAGGTTTGACAGAAAATTCTGAGCAAAAATTCTTCTGCCAACAGATTGCAGATGAATAAAAACTACAGAAGATGAACACAGTTTTTGAATCAACAATAACACGTACCTTAACTAACTATTCATCAAAAAAATAAAATAAAAACAAAGAAGTCACAACTTTACAGCACAACTCATCAGGAATTTTATTCTGGATTCAGCATCCATAAACCCTACCAATTCAAAAAATCTCAAAAATTACTTCTTTACAGTACTATTTAAGAAAAAAGTTACAATCATAAAAAAACTGGTATTTTTTTCGAAATCCGCGGTGTCGATTAATAAATCGACATCTCCTCTAAAATTTTCAAAAGTTACTACTTTACACTACTACTTAAAACGCGTTTTACTACAAATCGTAGATTGGCCCGGACATTGTTGAGTCGATGTCTCAGAATTCAACCAAAATTGGTTAACCGAATCACCAATCGGTATGGAGCAATCGCTTGATTTTTTTTTGCCCATAGTCGTTATATGGTGGATTACTGTAACTTTCTTTCTGAGAAAAGAGTTGCCTTTTCTGCAGATATGGTGCGGTATTTTAGTGAGACCGAACCACCACTTTATGTTTTCGACCATGTAGAACATTTTTGTAATTATGGCCAAAAGCTCAGAATTACATCTAAGCAATGTTTCGCTTGCGGTAACATACCATTTCGGGCATAAAATTGGCTACTGTAACCAGATGCACTTTTAAATACGGTAAAAAGAAACTTCAACCTTCATCCAATAACCCACAAAAATTTCAAAAAAATCAAATATACAACTTTTGAGAAAATGGGCATTCAATGTCTCATGTACAAGGTCATCTGGGCCCGAAAAAATCTGGCATTCTTGGGATTCCAACGGGATGCACTTTTTCAGAGTTTCTAATACATTCTGAGGCTGATTAAAGATTATATGGCAAGTTTCAGGAGAAAAAAATATACAACTTTCGAGAAATTGACCAAAATACCTTATTTTAGGTCATCAGAACGTCGAAAAAATCTGGCATTCTTGGGATTCCAACGGGATGCACTTTTTCAGAGCTTCTAATACATTCTGAGGCTGATTAAAGATTATATGGCAAGTTTCAGGAGAAAAAAATATACAACTTTCGAGAAATTGACCAAAATACCTTATTTTAGGTCATCAGAACGTCGAAAAAATCTGGCATTCTTGGGATTCCAACGGGATGCACTTTTTCAGAGCTTCTAATACATTCTGAGGCTGATTAAAGATTATATGGCAAGTTTCAGGAGAAAAAATATACAACTTTCTAGAAATTGACCAAAATACCTTATTTTAGGTCATCAGAACGTCGAAAAAATCTGGCATTCTTGGGATTCCAACGGGATGCACTTTTTCAGAGTTTCTAATACATTCTGAGGCTGATTAAAGATTATATGGCAAGTTTCAGGAGAAAAAAATATACAACTTTCGAGAAATTGACCAAAATACCTTATTTTAGGTCATCAGAACGTCGAAAAAATCTGGCATTCTTGGGATTCCAACGGGATGCACTTTTTCAGAGCTTCTAATACATTCTGAGGCTGATTAAAGATTATATGGCAAGTTTCAGGAGAAAAAATATACAACTTTCGAGAAATTGACCAAAATACCTTATTTTAGGTCATCAGAACGTCGAAAAAATCTGGCATTCTTGGGATTCCAACGGGATGCACTTTTTCAGAGTTTCTAATACATTCTGAGGCCGAATAAAGATTAGAGGCTATCAAAAAGTGCTACAACCTCAAATCCCAAGAATGCCAGTTTTTCGGGGTTCTGAATGCCCATTTTCTCAAAAGTTGTATATTTGATTGTTTTGAAATTTTTATGGGTTATTGGATGAAGGTTGAAGTTTCTTTTTACCGTATTTAAAAGTGCATCTGGTTACAGTAGCCAATTTTATGCCCGAAATGGTATGTTACCGCAAGCGAAACATTGCTTAGATGTAATTCTGAGCTTTTGGCCATAATTACAAAAATGTTCTACATGGTCGAAAACATACACCTGAACTCGATTTGTGCTAAAATAGAGCTTCGTTTTCTTGATTAGGCCATATCTCCTTTTTTTTTAAAATGCTACAGTATGCCGTCATACGGTAATTTTGGGCAAAAAGAAAGAAAGCGAATATTTTACCTGCCATGATGATCAAGTTGACCGATTTTGATTAAATTCTGAGATACCGATTTTAACAATGTCCGCCCTCTGTTAGGCTAAACTCCAAAGTGTGGCAAAACGCGTTTTAAGAAAAAAGTTATAATCATGAAAAATGAATATCATTTTCAAAATCAGCATCCTCGATTACCTATAACTCGACATCTCAGCTAAAATTTTCAAAAATTACTACTTTACACTACTACTTAAGAAAAAAGTTAAAACCATGAAAGATGAATATAATTTTCAAAATCAGCATCCTCGATTACCTATAACTCGACATCTCATCTAAAATTTTCAAAAATTACTACTTTACAGTACTACTTAAGCAAAATTGTAAGAATCATTAAAAATGAATATCATTTTCGAAATAAGCGCCATCAACTACCTATAAGTCCACTATTCGATGAAAAAATAAAAAATTACTACTTTACAGTACTACTTAACCAAAATTGTAAGAATCATAAAAATAAATATAATATTCGAAATCAGCGCCATCAACTACCTATAAGTCCACTATTCGATGAAAAAAAAAAAAAATTACTACTTTACAGTACTACTTAAGCGAAATTGTAAGAATCATAAAAAATGAATATCATTTTCGAAATCAGCGCCATCAACTACCTATAAGTCCACTATTCGATGAAAAAATAAAAAATTACTACTTTACAGTACTACTTAAGCGAAATTGTAAGAATCATAAAAATAAATATAATATTCGAAATCAGCGCCATCAACTACCTATAAGTCCACTATTCGATGAAAAAATAAAAAATTACTACTTTACAGTACTACTTAAGCGAAATTGTAAGAATCATAAAAAATGAATATCATTTTCGAAATCAGCGCCACCGATTACCCCTACATCAGACATTTAGTCATAGTCTTAGAAATTTTACTTATTACGCAATCGCCACTACGAATTTTCAAATTTTTTAGCCCGAGGTGTGACTACCACCATAAAATATAACCCTACACTAATTTTTGTATTTGGGGGCATAATGGGAATATTTTGGGGGCACCTTCCAACCTCCTATTTGGGGGCATGTGTTTGGGGGCAGAATGGGAGAATTTGGGGGCAGAATGGTATTATTTTGGGGGCAGCTTCACAATTATCCTCATTTCAATCCCGACTTTTCGGCTCATTGTCAGCGATAGTTCGGGTCAATACAAAATCGATCGATACGGGGCGCAGGGCAGGTGGATACCCAAAAAAGTTGTAGAAAGTGCCTACCAAGCCTGGCAAATCCGTTGGATGGTCGGCGGACGCTCTGCGGAAGCTCGGCGGAGACTTGGCGAAGAGTTGCGAAATGACCACTGCACGGCAACCCGAAATAGAAGAAACTTTTTTCCCGCCCAGTTTTGAGCTTCGTCCAAACGAAATGCCAAAATTGACAAATGAAATAAATAATTCCGAGAAAAAAATTTTCGGTCGGAAAATCCCACGAAAAATTCTCTTGTGACATTTTGTTTGATTTCAACCGATACAAAATGGGCGAAGCGTCGAAAGGAGACAGGAAACACTTCGGGTTGCCGTGCACTGTTTCTAATTTTAGCTATTACTGACGTTAGTTTTCTTTACTCTGAGTAACATATAAAAGACCAAAATTTGCATCAAAAAACGAAGATCCTTAACTTTTATCGATAAATATTATTGATGCCAGAGTACATGTAAAATACCGCAAAATAGGTGATAAGCTATCCTAGGACCGATCAATCTTGTTATTTCTACTAACTAAGCCTTCTCTTAGCCTCCCTTATGCATATAACGACGACACGATCCATAATATTGCTGACCCGAACTGTTGCTGACTCGAAAAGTGGTAGCGCCAAAATATTCTGCTATCTTTGCGCACTAAGGCCATCGAAAAATGAGTAGAGACAGGGAAATAAAAACGGTTGCATTAATCATGCTGCCTCTCCTCATTTTTCAGGCTCTGTCGTCGCCAAAGATCGCTGAATATCTTCTGCTGCGCCTGCAAACCGCGAACTAAAATTTTGTCAAATTTTCACGTTGCACTATATAGAAAAAACACTAAAAATTTGCAAAAAATCAGTATGCTACACCTTGAGAACTCTCCATATTATTGCTTTGAGACAATACTTCAAATTTAATTGAAATAAACACATTGTTGTTGCTCAAAAAATCATATTGCTAATGAATTTTTGATGACTTTTATCAAGTTTTTACGAGAGTGTCGCCCCGCTCCAATCCATCAACACAATGTCGACGTGATTCATTTGTTGATGAGATCAATTTTTTCCCCGCATTACTTCCATTAGGAACAACTTTACAGCAAACCGCTGTCAACAAGCCAAAAAAAAGAGAGTTGGGTGGGGTGTAACGAAGGGAATTTTGAAAATACGGAGTACGCCCTGGAATTTACAGGGCTAGTTCTTTATTTGGACGATCTCTTCGACCAAAAAAATTGGCAAAGTTTGAAGTTTTTTTTGTTTTTTACAAAGAGCAGTCCTCGAGAACCAAGCTTCAAATATGGTTCTCTGCCTTCTTGATGTGTCTTCAATTCATTGAGATTTTAGTCCTTGCTGAGGAGACACGGCCGAGATATTCGTCGATCTATGCACGTCAAACTGAGGAGCCCGGTGACCGAAATAGACCCTTCGCTATCGGTTTTTAACACTTTGTCTTGATTTCGCAGAGAAGACAGAGAAAAGACGCGCAAAAGCGTACTCTCTCGCCCCAAAAATTCCCCACTTCATCGTCGACAAAACGTTTTTTCGCGTCTTTTTTGGCCAGTTGCCAATCCATTCATCTGACTGTTTTAGCTTATCTCAAGTTTGACGTGCCATGAGGAAGTGAAGCCAGGAACATAAAAATGAGTTTTTCTGTTGCGCGTGAAAAGTTTTGAAGATTTCTTGCAGCACTTTACTCTCTATTTATCCTATCAGTCTGTCGGGAAAATAATGAGCACACTGTAGCTGCGCTAATCGCGTCGCTGAAGTGAAAAGCAATCTGATTCTGTCGCGACACAATTAATTTTCTCGCGATTTTTGAAGCGTCAGACTGCTCATTACTTTCCCGACAGACTGATAAAATTTTAAATTTTTTTTCAAAATTTGTCCTTCTTTTCCTTGAGTACCTTTTTTCATTGTCTTTTCAGTTCTTTACGAGGATTTTCGATCACCTTTTTGCCACAAAAAAGCCTTACGTTGCCCTTTTTCGAATTGATTTTTTCCCAATTCTATCGAAAAATCGTTCCCGACGGAAACAAATCATCTCCCATCGACGGGTTTAAAACCCCTCCCGCGACCTTCATTAACACATTTCCCCACCCCGCAGGCGAGATTCGAAGACGAAACGGTTTATTCGCCTCTGCGCGGCCCCCTTCTCTTTTCTCCAACTAATGATAGGAAAACGCCCAGAATCCCATTCCTAATTCGACGTCAGGGCGTTTAATGTGATGGAATTTTCTCCTTTCCCCTTCGCGTTGTCTAGATCTGCGGGCGGTGGCTTACATAGGGTTTTGTTTTTATTTTATTGCCAACTTTCGGGTTTAGTCATCAACGGAACGGTGGAGGTCGGAGGCATCGAACGAATCGGGGGAAAGGAAGCGGGGATGCGATGGAATTCTAATTGGAGATGCAAGTAGAAAGGGAAAACAAGATTTCCAAGAAGCTGTTTGTAGTTTTGGAGCATTATTTTGCAAAAGTATCAGAGAATTGCTTGCTTTTGCAATTTTTTTTGAATGACAACAAAGAGATCTTACAAGAGAAGTAGCCCGAGTTCTTTGATGAAGCTAAATTGTCATAAATTCTGTCTATAATTCCTAGCTGGCGCTAAGAAATGACCGAGATTTTTAAGTTGAAAAAAGGTTTCAATTTTCTGCAAATTTCAATCTGAAAGTTTGCATGTTTATTTCAACCGTAGCGGGCTTTGTTACCATAAAAAAATCATTTTTTTCCATAGGAAAATGAAGATAGGAAAGAATTTTATCTCTGACCGCCCTCGCTGTTTCGCGTACCCTCTCGGCCGTAAAAATCGTTGAATATTTTGGTTGCTCCTGCAAAGCGCTATCTGAAATTTTCAGCAATTGATAAGTGGGTGTTAATTTAAAGAAAATATGGGTGTCTCTCTTCTGCCCCTTCAGCAATATGGGTTTATGGTCGTTGGTATTTTTCGAGACCATTTTATTTCAAAATCAGCCCTTTTTACGGTTGCATACACCATTATAATACGCCTTGATGGACTATTCTCTTCGTATTTTACTCGATCTTTCTCAAAATACGATTTGTCATCATTTCCTTGGCCAAGTCAATAAAATTTTTTACGAAACTTTTTTATCTTGTTGCAATTTACGACCTATTATTAACATATTGAACAACGATAATATGTGTTTACCACCGCCTCTCGTTTATATACGCAGCCGTTATTTGCAGAATGACGACGGAAGAATACGAGTACCGGAGCACAATAACCCCGCGCGCCTCCTTCAACCGCGCCTCCGGCCAGTTCGGGAGCGACATCAACCTGGGACCGGGTAAGCCGCGATGCCCAAGTCTAAATGGTTTCTTGTAGCGTCGGGGAATCGCACAATTCGCGTCGTCACCGAGACCGTCACCAAGAATATTGGCAGCGGCGTTTCCTCGCTGGGGTCGGGGCCGGCGTCGGCCGTACGCGAGAATAAGGAAAGGGAGAGGAAACAGTTGAGCGAGCTCAATGACTTGTTGGCCAGCTACATCGAGAAGGTCCGCTTCTTGGAGGCGCAGAACCGCAAGTTGGGAATGGATATTGAGAACATCAAGAAGATCGCAAATCGAGGACCAACCACCATCAAGACCATGTATGAGGTCGAGATTAGAGTAAGTTCGGGGCAGAAACCCACGACATTTCTAACTCAAAATTTAAAAATTTGATATCGTTTTTTTGATATTTTTTTCAACCCTTGAAAAAATTCGGTCTGTCGGGAAAATAATGAGCATAATGTCGGTCCGTTGATCGCGTCGCTGAAGTGAAAAGCAATTTGATTTTGCGGCGATACAATTCATTTTTTCGGCGGTGATGCGATTTTTGATGCGACTTGCACTCATAATTTTCCCGACAGTCTGATATTATCGTTTATACGGGGAACATTTTTTATACTAAATATCATTTTTTCAATGGCGAAATTTGCAAAGATGCGGCCACAAAGCTTATCTGTTATGTTTACATTCTATTTTTCATAGCCTATTGCTGGCAAACGTCATCTTTGATATTTTCAAGTCATCATATAATATTTTAGTAGCTCGCAAACCGCAAGTTACCAGTCTGTCGGGAAAATAATGATCATGATTTCGCTGTGCCGATCGCATCGCTGAAGCAAAAATCAATTTGATTTTGCCGCGACACAGCTCATTTTCTCGGCGGAGGTGCGATTTTCGTTGCAACAGTATGCTTATTATTTTCCCGACAGACTGATAAAGCCTTGGATAATGAAAATTTGGCCTCTGCAGAGACATGCGATCAAAATTTTAACTACAGGGTGGGGCATTTGTGGCCCGATTTGAATTGGCTATAACTTCTTTAGTTTTGGCTAAATCTTAAAATTCTTTTTTTCCCTGAATCCTCAGACAACCCCATTTTGTTTGATACCAAATATGTTATACATAGGTAAGTGTCATCCGCAGTTATTGGATTTGACCAAAAACTAAAGAAGTTATAGTCAATTCAAGTCGGGCCGCAAAGATGCCCCACCCTGTATTAAAATTTGGGCTCTCAGGTTGATTCCCTGTTTTTTGGTTAATTACAAATTTAACTACTCATCCCAAAACTACTCCAAATTCCTTACAAAATTCCGAAAACTTCCGCTCCACAAAAAAAAACTCGTTTTCTTCTGTCTAATTAAAGCGCCATGTAACATTTCCGTTAATTGCAAAAGCTTCTAATTGAACCCCAAAATTCTTTTTTGGTAGTGAAGGAGAAATAAAAATAAATGAAGGGGGAAATTGTATTATATATTATAATATTTATTTATGCCAACAAAATTTTCGAATTATGAGGCTTTTTTTTGCAAAAAATTTAACGCCAAAATACTCCAGGCTTTCTGATTTGGGGTTGCCGCAATTTTGTGCAACTTCAGCCGCATTTTTTGTGAATGCGACATCTCAGAGATTTTGAGTCTGTCGGGAAAATAATGAGCTCTATTATTTCGCTGTGCCAATCTCGTCGCTGAGTTGAAAAGAAACTTGATTTTGGCTCTACAAAACTTGTTTTGATGCGATTTTTGATGCGACAGAGTGCCCATTATTTTTCCGACAAACTGATAACTTGCTGTTTGTAGAAGATATGGAGATTTTTTGATCAAAAGTTGAATGAAAATCCTCAAAAAATCATCAAAAACTAGTTGCAAAAAAAAAAAAAAAATTTCCCTCCTTTGCAGTCCGCTCAAAAAATCATCGACGATGCTGGCAACGAGAAGCGTCATACCGAAGAGGACTTGCGCCGACTTCAAGACCAAGTCAACGAGCTGCGTCGCAAGTTCGAGCAAGCCGTTAGGGATCGGGCCGCCGACAGACAAAAGATCGACGATCTGTTGGTCGAGCTGTCCAACTTGGAGGCCGAAATCAACCTCCTGAAGCGTCGTATCGCCCTGCTTGAGGACGAGCTGAAACGTCTTCGCGCCGAGAACCAACGGCTACAAAACGAGATCCGCCGCGTTCAAACCAAGATCGATCAGGAGCGCCTGACCAAGCTGGACTACCAGAACAAGGTGAAGACTCTGCTCGAGGAGATCGAGTATCTGCGCCGCGCGAATGAGCAGGAAATTAAGGACCTGCAAGACCAGATCGGAAGGGATACCACGAACGAGAATCGCGCCTACTTTGGAAATGAGTTGGCCAACGCGATCCGCGACATTCGCAAGGAAATTGAGGACGCTGACAACGCCTTCAAGAACGATATGGATTCGTGGTATCGCAAGACGATCCAAGAGTTCGAAACTCAAGCCGCTCGCAACGACATGGAGCAAGGACATCTCAAGGATGAGTTGAAGCGGCTGAAGCAACAGTTGAATGATTTGAGAAACAAAATCGCGGATGCGGAAGGCCGCAATGCCTTCTTGCAAAAGCAGTTGGAAGATCTGAACAACCAGATCGAGGACGATCAACGAGGATACGAAGACGCTCTTAACGCCAAGGACAACGAGTTGAGGAAGCTCCGAGAAGAGTGTCAAGCCTTGATGGTGGAGTTGCAAATGCTCTTGGATGCTAAGCAAACCCTTGACGCTGAAATCGCAATCTACCGTAAGATGCTGGAAGGAGAGGGCGATGGGCCAGGCCTTCGTCAACTCGTCGAACAAGTGGTCAGGACCACCGGCATTAACGAAGTCGCCGACACCGAGACTATGCGCGTGGTGAAGGGCGAGACGAGCAGTCATCAGTCCTACTCCAGAGCCGCCAAAGGCAACGTCTCGATTCAGGAGACTTCGCCCGACGGAAAGTTCGTCATCGTGGAGAACACCCATCGCAGCAAGGAGGAGAATGTCAGCGAATGGAAGCTGAAGAGAAAGATTGACGGCAAACGAGAGATTGTGTACACCTTCCCCAAGGACTTTGTGCTTCTTCCCGGAAGAAGTGTGAAGATCTGGGCCCGCAACCAGGGCGGCATCCACAACCCTCCCGCTCAACTCATCTTCGATGGAGAAGACACCTTCGGCGTTGGCGCCAACATCCAAACCATCTTGTATAACGCGCAAGGAGAGGTGGGAAATTTTTGGCAAAACAAGAAATAGAAGTGGCTATCAGTCTGTCGGGAAAATAATGAGCATTCTGCCGCAGCGAAAATTGCATAGCCGCCAAGAAAATGAGTTGTGTTGCGGCAAAATCAAGTTGCTTTTCGCTGTAGCGATGCAAGCGAAATTATGCTCATTATTTTCCCGACAGACTCATAGCCCCTTCTATGAAGGGTCAAAAACATAATGTATAAACTTATCTTTAGGAGCGCGCCACCCTCAACCAACGCCAATCCCAGACCAGTCAGACGCATCAAGCCCAGTAATCCGCCTCGGTTGTACCATTGTCAGTCGAATGACAAGCTATTTTCTCACATGAAACTGCCCGTTAACCCATTCAGCAAACCATTTCTCGAGACTTTGATCAGAACCTATTTCTCTTTCCATATTACCTTGTAGTTACAAGTGTTTTGGCAAAATAAAACTTTGTTTTTGCAAAAACAAAAAAAATTGGGATAACTAAATCTATCTTTTTAGCGCCTTCTGTCCCGCTTTTATTAACAGCCGGGAACTTATTTTTCCTAAAATTTGGGAAAAATTTCACACCTTTCAAGGCCACAAATCCATAAACAACTCGTGCAAAGAATGCGTAATTGCTTTGCAATTCCCGGAAACTGTCGGTGGAACCTGCTCATGGATTTGTGGGGCTCTCAGCGTTTGTGCAAATAGCCCAGCGCTGTGATCCACACGTTTCACGACTCACAACACCCGAAAATAAATTTGAATCTTGTGTTAGAGTTTGTCGTCGACCCATAAACTACACGGCCATATGATATAAAGGTTGAACCAAATCTGCAAAATTCACGCCATTCTTTCGGATTTCCGTTTCCAAAATGTCTCTAATCATTGTGTTTACCATATCCTGCCTGATAATTTCCGCTGACGCTGCCACATCCTCCACAGCTGTCGACACAACAACCGAAGACGCAACAACCGCAGGCGCTGCTGCGTCCGGCGCGACCGGCAGCGCTGCTGGCACTTGCGCCGACGCCGCAACCAACTGCGCTCAAATGGCGCATCTGTGCGCAAATCCCGTGTACATACAGATCATGCAACAGCATTGTGCTCAGACCTGTCAAGCCTGCAGCAACCTGTGCAATGACGCTAGCCCCAGGTGAGTTATGTTTTCAAAATCGAGAATCATGCAGTTAGCCTGTCGGGAAAATAATGAGCACTCTGTCGCTTCGAAATCGCATAGCCTCCGAAAAAATTAGTTGTGTTGCGAGAAAATCAAATTGCTTTTCACTTCAGCGACGCGACCGGCGCAGCGACATCGGCTCGTTATTCTCTGGGCATACTGGTAGCGCTTGTTTGAATGCTTTGCGGGCAGCTTGAACAACCACAGAGATTCTGCAGACATGTTGTGAAATCAGCCAAAATTTGCTTACAAATGGAGATTCAAACGATGGGCTTGACGATTAGACGTTGCGGATTAAGTTTCCGGATGTATAAGTGGCTTGAATAGTTATCATACGCTTATACAGGCATTTGTTTACCATTTTTTAAAAACGAACTCCCATAACTTTGAAAACAGTGGATAAATTTAATAGATTTTTGTGTACTTATCAGTACCAGGGAGTTGCCAATGTAAAATTTCTATCGTACTACGTAGATTACGTAATTATAATCAAAGATGCCGGCTTCCCGCAAAGTGTAAGTGTTGCGACACCGACATCCATGGGTACACGACGGCAAAAAAGAATTTACAGTTTTGTCACGGATCAAAAAAAAAAAGCCAAAGGCGTTTCAAAACGTATCCCTGCTACCGACCGTGTTGAGCGTGCCATTATTTCGCTGGTTCTTCATGCCCTTTCATTTCGCATCCCAACTTTCTATAACAAGATTTTGACTCTAATATCGGCCATCTAAATTAACAGCGCAAGCTCTCAAAATCCTCAGGCATCTCACGAGAAAAGGCCATCTCAAATCTGTTGTTACAGTTGCATTTCATGGAACCGCAACGGCTACTGCGCAAGTCAATACTACACATCAGACGACAAGAAAAGATTTTGCAAAAAGACTTGTAATATGTGTTGAATTAAATGTCTGAAATAAATGAAATAAATTGCTGTTGAAAGAGAATTGGAACTGCAGATTTTAAACCGGAACCAAAACGGTTAGCGACGTATATATGGGAGGTGCTTTATAAATTTCAGCGCACTTGTCTGTTCGACCCCTGCGGATTTCGTCCAAAGCTAACTTTGGACGAAATTCGCTCAATCTCGTCCTAAGAGTGGACGAAATTTTTTTTTGTCTGGACGAAATCAAAAAATCCACCCACTTGACGAATTTTTCAAAATTTCGGGCCTCAAATGGACCAAGTCCATTTGGGACCCCTCTCCTTGGATAAATTGAATTTATCCTACCCTTGGACTAATCACATGGACTTGAACTGAATTTGCTGTTTTCGATCCAAAGTTAACTTTGGACTAAATCCGCCATTTTTAGTCCAAAATAGTAATATTCTGGGATTTGAAGTCACACCCCGTATTTTTACATTTTAAGGTTACTGTTGAGATTTTTGGGGCGGAGGGGTGGAAAAAAGTGGTAAGGGGGGACCAAGGACAAATTTTTGCTATAAGAAACGAAATGTTTTACAGAACTGCCAGTTCAGGCATTTTCTTATATTGTACTAGGTATTTTAAAGAGTCATTGGCCGAATTCAGCTTGTTCTCAAGACGAAACCGTCTATTTGAACATACCGATTTATTTTTGACATCCTAAATGTGCTTTAGCATGTCAAAGTAGCCAATGTTAGCGCAAACTCAAGAAAAAAACCAACTGCCAGTAAGGGGCCGACAAGAAACAAAAATCAACGATGTAAAGCATCGTTGACTCCGCGCAAATAGGTAAAACACGTGAAGACTGTAAAATACAGCCGTGGTCATAATTATAAGCCAGAAAAAAAACATTACCCATGAAGAAAACTTATTTGTGACGAAAAATTTATTTTTCTCGCCGCCAAAAAAATTCAGAAAATGCATCATCCAAACTTCATAGTTTGGATGAGCGAAAGTTTTGAACCTGGTGTCTTTTTCAGAGTACACTAGGGAGTGCTGGTAGTCATTTACAACCGTTTTTAATAGACTGCCGCGTTTTAAACGGGTGTCATCCTGACATATTTTCGGGACTACGCTAGGCTCCGCAATTTGCGCCCTGTGATTTGACAGATTTCACTGTCAAAATTTTTTGTTACCAAGTTTTTCTTCATGTATTTCTTTGTTCTCCTGGCTTTTAACTTGATTACGGCTGTATTTTACAGTCTTCACGTGTTTTTTTAGCTATATGCGCGGAGTCAACGATGTTTTACATCGTTAATTTTTGTTTCTTGTCGGCCCCTTACTCGCAGTTGGTTTTTTCTAGAGTACATTGGCTGTTTTGACATCCTAAAGAACATTTAGGATGTCAAAAATAAATCAGTATGATCAAATAGACGGTTTCGTCTTGAGAACTAGCTGAATTCAACCAATAACTCGTAAAAATACCTAGTACAATATACTAAAATGCCTGAACTGGCAGCTCTGTAAAAGATTTCGCTTCTTACAGCAAAAATTTGGCCTCGGTCCCCTTTTACCACTTTTTTGCACCCCTCCGCCCCAAAAAATCTGTATAATACCTAGTACAATATAATAAATAGGATGCACAGGCAGTCCTGTAAAAATTTCGCTTCCTAGAGGAAAAATTTGTTCTTGGTCCCCCCTCACCACTTTTTTCCACCCCCTCCGCCCCAAAAAATATGTATAATACCTAGTACAACATACACAGATTTCAAAAGTCAAATTTTGATCTTCCAACCAAAAATGTAAAAAAATCCAAACTTTGGACTTAGTCCACGGAGTGGACTTCGTCTATCTAGATGGACGAAAAAGCAAAAGTCCACGGGAACAAATTTGCCTGGACTAATACCGGCAGATTTAGTCCACACTTTGGATCCGGCAAAAAGTCCATGAAATTTTTGGACGAGATTGGGCGAATTTCGTCCAAAGTTAACTTTGGACGAAATCCGCAGGGGTCGAACAGACAAGTGCGCTGAAATTTATAAAGCACCTCCCATATATTATCAGTCTGTCGGGAAAATAATGAGCACTCCGCTGCATCGAAAATCGCATCGCCGCCGAGGAAATGAATTTTGTCTCGGCAAAATCAAATTTCTTTTCAATTCAGCGACGAGATCGCCACTGCTGCATTGCGCTCAATACTTTCCCGACAAACTGACGGGCGGGTCAACACGTTTTGACGTGGTTGCACTGTCGCCATGCAAAAGACTTGTCGCAAGGATAATTCCCGGTTCTTGCAAGACAAAAGCAAAAACAAAAAGCCCCCCAAACTTGGCCAGAAAATACACACGGAATTTTCAGCTGGGCAAACTTTGGACACAACTTTGCACTTACGGATAACAACTCATCGTCAGTTTATTTAGGCGGAGAAGATTTCAGGGGCGCTAAAAATTCCCGGCGTCACTCGTAAATATTTGCACGTCCCATACGGCTGGCTCTACCAAAATTTTGTAGTCTTAATGGGTGTTACAGAAAATAGACTTTTTTTGGAGGCATTGCAGAATGATTTCGCTGTACTTGTTGCACTCCACTTTTTTCTGATCTTTGATTATTTAAGAAAGCTTTGTCTGCGATTTCTTTTGAGACAGTCGTTGAAAGTGGGCTGTTAGATAAGATCAATTTCAAAATTTGACAGCCTAAATAAACTGTATCTTGTATGCACTGCGTACGTATGATTCATTGGCTGAAACGTGCGTTTCAACGCGAAACACGTCTCCCTTGGACATAATAAATAAAGAAACTCAGACTTAAAAAGCCTTTTAACTGAAGCCCCCATACCCGGTTCCATATTTCTCGCTTGTCATCGACTTGCAATATGCGCCATGTTCCCCTACCCCGTCTCCACTTTTTCTAACTGATTGTTCCTCAAAGATCCTCATCAGCGCTTATTTATGATTTCCACCGAAAAAGAAGCAATCGCCCCGTCTTTTCAGCCTGAGGTGATTTTCGCTGTTCTCGACGCTCCGATTAATCTTCACCGAGTGCGCGACGGAAGGGGGGAAATGAGGTCGTTGATGGATCCGCGGACCCATTCTTACCCAACTGACTACCTTTTTCCACCTTTCCCCATCGCTGAGGGTTTAATACTTTTTCGGTGGGCTAAAACAATGCTCTCGACGCGGCGTTCCAATCCAGACAAAGGCCAGGGTCCCGGGTATAAATGCGATCAGTGTGAAACGGGAGTCGCATAGTCAGCGGATCAACGGACTGGTCCAGGTGAGTGGTTTACGAGGGTGGAATTTTTAGTGGGGTAATTGAGGATTACGGTATCTTGGGACGAGCTTTAGGGATTTTTCCTTTATCAACCTTCTTTTTATGCTGCTTTTTGTCCAAAACTTGGATTTACTGTTTGCAAGATGCATTTAAATGGGTTTAATCTAACTGAAGCGCTAGATTAGAGGGCCTTGAACAAATGTAGTGTTTAAAATAATTGTTCTTTCATAAACAACCACTATTTTTTCACTTTCAGCATGACCAAGTTCGTGTTAACGGCCGCTATGGTCGGCTCGACCGTAGTGATCATGGCCTGCTTGTTTTCGGCGGTAGTCATCTTCAACGACATCAACAACCTCTACAGTGACATTATGACTGACATGGGAGAATTTAAAGTTGTTTCAAACGAGGCCTGGAGCGGAGTCATCGCAATTTCCAAGCCACGACCAGCCTCCAGCGCCCTGCAATTGGAGCGCCCAAGAACGTTCCAGCAGTTGATTGGACGTTCCAAACGTAACGCGCAATGCTCGTGCGCCCCGCAAAAAAGCAAATGCCCTCCGGGCCCGCCAGGACCACCAGGAGAGCGAGGAGACCAAGGAGAGCCCGGTCCAAACGGAGTCGATGGCAAAGCCGGCGGCCCTGGAGAGCCAATTATCAAATCTTCTTCGGAGACGCCTCAAGATTGCATCGCCTGCCCACCGGGCCCTCCAGGAAAGCCCGGTAGACCCGGACCAGTTGGAGAGAAAGGACCTCCAGGCTACAAAGGTCTGCCCGGGTATCCGGGAGAGGACGGATTCCCCGGCCCACGAGGACCCCCCGGAGATCAAGGAGAGCCCGGCGAGCCAGGCAAGGAAGGCCGCGCCGGATTCCCCGGACTGGATGGACATAAGAATGCTCCTGCCATTCCTGGACCAAAGGGAGCTCCAGGACATCGTGGACCGGCTGGAGAGCCAGGACCACCAGGAGAGGTTACAGAAGGCGCCCCAGGAGAAGACGGAGAGCCCGGACCTGAGGGAGAACCCGGAACACCCGGTAAAGATGGAACTCCAGGAGAGGAGGGAATCAAGGGAAGACCAGGACAAGACGCGGCTTACTGTCCATGCCCTGAGAAGTCAAACCCATGGCCTGCAGCTCCTCCGGCCTTCTCACCAAAGAAGAAACCCGAGCCGGTCGCTGCCAAACCTGCAAGCCAAGAAGCTCCTGTCGCTTCAACATCTACTCCGGCTGCTTCAAAGCCAGCTCCAACTAGTGCTCCGGCTGCCCCAGCTGCCGCTACTGGCTACAACGCTCCTCCACAGCCAGCTGCCGCTCAAGGATATGATGGCCCGGCCGCTCCCGTGAGCGCTGCTCCAGTTACTAACAAGCCTAGTGCTAGCGGCTCAGCTCAAGGTGGATATGATGCCACGCCACTACCCGCAGCGTCAGTTCAGAATTCTTTCGGCGCTTTCCCAACCTCCGCTCCAATCCCGGCGTTCAATAATGCTCCATCAACAGCCGCCACACAAGCACCTGTTGCTCCAGTCACAACACGAGCTCCCGCACCGGCTCCAGCAGCCACCACATCGCCAGTTCCTCCTCCAGCAGCCCCCGTAACAGCGCCAGTTTCTGCTCCAGCCCCTTATGCCGCTGTGACGGCCGCTCCGGCAGCTCAAGGTTACGACCAACCCGCTTATGTTGCTCCGGCCGCCCCAACCAAAGCCCCAACGGGTCCAGTCGTTGAGTCGAGCGTCGATTTCGACGAAGCCCCAACTCCGGCCCCCAAGAAGCCTCGCCGCAAGCTGAAGCAACGGCCGGACGGCCAACAACCCGGCTATGGTCCTGAGCTGAAAAACCAGGGCCCTGCGTCGCCTCAGGATCTCGGCTTCGGAGCCGCTGGAGTGCCCAAAAGCAGCGCCCCGGTGAACACGGTGGGATATGTGGGAGACATGCGAAGACGACGACGACTGAAGAAGACCCGCAAGATCAAGGTCTAAAGCGCTGTTGGCAATACCTCCAGGAAACCAAATATGAACCAAGTGTAATCTTGAATGTGTAGTTGCATCTGTCTGTATATATGTGCAAAACTTTTTACTTTGTGAATAAACGCTGAACATTTGTTTTTTGACACGCTTAACTACTGGCTAACACTTCAAAAATCTGCAAGCCAATTGAGCGAACACTCTTCCTAAGCCACCAAAAATCTAAACAAAGTCATTGCTCAGTGATGAAAGTCCTCGCCTTGAACTTTTGTGGAAGCTCGTAGTCAATGGAAAAGTGGCGTAAAATAGCATTATTTATGGGCTTTTTCGATCGGAAGACGTTGCTAAGTGCAATGTAAGCTGTTATAACAACTCAGTTATTGACAATCCCATCAATCAAAAGTTTTTCGTCGACGAAAAAAGGTTTGGTGAAACGAAAATTCCCGCTTTTCACTGGCTAAAAAGAGCGTTTGTTTTTGCTCCCGATGGGATTTTTCCGAATTTCGTCTCATTTTTTTAACTGTCAGGGAAGTAGTTCGAATGTTAATTTCAAGTTTTATCAAAAATTGGAAAGATGTGGTACATTTCTTTTGCAAATTTTAGCATGAAAAGAGTAATGCCTATTTCAGCGGTAGAAGGCCATGTTCCCACAAAAAATCAATATTTTTTCCGAAACTGGCAAAGATGTGGCCAAAAAGTGTTTCTGTTTCTGACCGCTTCCGTGTTTTTCGTACTCTCTCGGCCATAAAAATTCAACGTCTCAGATGTGCCTTGAAATTGCGAGCTAAAATCTTTGGGAATTGATATGAGGCCTGTGTATTATACAACATGTACGTAAAGTTTAAAGAAAGTCTAGGCGTCGCATTTGGAAGCCTACTCTTGTAACATGACTTTTTTCAAGGTCTGCTCCCCGAGGCAGCTCTAAAATAGTCGTTTTTTTATTATCGACGACTAAACCCCCAATGCAATTTGACGTCGAGCCTCTGAGGCGTGCCTTGTGCTGTAAAAATCGACGAGAAGCTTTTTACAAAAGCCACATGACGTTATTATTAATAAATAGGTATTGTTCGAGACAGTTGCGCAAGCCCTAATCCGATTTAGGGTTTTTTACGAAAGAATCCAAAGGACAGAGTCGTGGTCAGTAAAGGTCTTTTGGGGGGAAATAATGGCGATTAACTTCTTTTCTTTACCGTGTACCAATATGGAGACAACCGCCATTTTCGAGGGCTCGACTTTTTGATTTAGCTCGAAATTGACTTTTGAACGCAGTTTGGGTTCTCAGCGCTTCGCTGAAAGTGAATTGCAGAAAACGCAGCCAAAATTTGATCGGTGATTTTCGTGATTGTCCATCATAAACAATAGTCATCGCGGCTCTTCGGAATTTCTCACCTTCCCGTCTCAAGACAACAAAGATAACAGATGATCGGAGACTTTGCCCTGGTTTTTCCATTGACAAAAATTTTGCGGGGTTTTTTGGTGAGAAAAATTTGCAACGCTCTATTTTGCGCAATTTTTAACCATTAAATACTGTGGATTCTACTTTGCAATTTTAGGCGAGTTGAAAAACCGTCGTACAGTCGAACCTAACCAATCGAAGAGGTTAGTAAGGGTTTATTTTCACAAGGAAAGTACTTTTATGGGGGCTCCTACTTTTTGACGGGACATATCTCAAAAAATCAGAAAAAATGTGCTGATCAAGAATATATAAATCCTAGCTGCCCATTTTAGGTTTTTAGGGGTGAAAACTCAATCGGAAGATGACTTAAAGTCCTATATGAACCCCCTTTTCGCTTAATTTTTCACAGGTTTACAATTTTTATTTTGGCTTAAAATGATGTTTATTGAGTTTCTAAGACGTAATAAATCAGTCTTGGCCCAAAAATTTATTTTTCCGACCTTCAACTTCAAAAAAAGTTTATTCAGCCCAAAAGGGAAATCGAACTCGTGCGCCGTTCCCCTCTTCATTCTCAGACTACGGCACTAGCCACTCGGCCACACCGCTCTCTTCCGGAGTAGAGGTGGCAATCGGGCTGGGCCGGCCCGGCCCGGCCCGGCCGAGCCCGGTGATTGGGCCGGGCCGGGCCGGGCCTGAGCAGATTTGAAAAAGCCCTGGGCCGGCCTGACCGCTTCGGCCCGCGGGCCGGGCCGACACTTTCGGCCCGGCCCGGCCCGGAAGGTAGATAAGTAAAAAATTTTAATGCTAAACCAGCAAAATAAAGCACGAATGCTTTGTAGAATGGATGGAAATTAAATTAAAAACCTTTTTTGACTTATACGCTGTTTTACTACTTTTTAAAATTATGTAGTATATGTATATGTAACTTATTATGTATATGTAAAATCCCACCAAAATATGCAAGGGCGAGCAAAACTCTTCGAATTTTTTTATGATAAATTTAAAAATTTCACTGTAATTTTGATTCCTTGATGTAAATGAAAGTGTTTAAACAGTTTTTGGCTAACCGTGTTATAGCTAACTTCCGGTAGGATTAAAAAATTCAACACAATCCAACTTTTTGGCTAATTGTAAGTTTTAGCTACCTGTACGGATGTTCCAGTTATCCGACTAGACTTTTTAATTTCACGCAGACACACGTAAAAACCTTCTGAAAAGCATAAGAACTTCCAGTAGAAAGTGCAAAACTTTTATCCAACTTTTCTGTATTAGCGGGCCAAACCGGGCCGGGCCGGGCCGGCCTGGGCTTTCGTCGGGCCGGGCCGGGCCGGGCCTGAGCAAATTTGAAAAAGCCCTGGGCCGGCCTGGTCACTTCGGCCCGCGGGCCGGGCCGCAAAAATCGGCCCGGCCCGGCCCGATTGCCACCTCTATTCCGGAGGAAGAGACCGACTGCGCTTTTTATCGTTTCGAATGCCTGCGCCTTTTGTACGGAAATTAAGTCAGTTTTTGGGCATTTTCACCCCTAAAAACCTAAAATGGGCAGCTAAGATTTATATATTCTTGATCAGCACATTTTTTCTGATTTTTTGAAATATGTCCCGTCAAAAAGTAGGAGCCCCCATAAAAGTACTTTCCTTGTCAGGAGCCAATTTTTTCCGCACGACACTGGCAAATTTATGGCCAATTTTTTTTCTCTGACCGTCCTCATATCCCTCCCAGCCAAGCCAAAACCGTTAGATATCCCAGTGGCAAGCACAAGCTAATATTCTAAAGAATTGATATGTGGCCTGTGCCAAAAATATGTTGAAAATTAAGCAAAAATCTGATCGTCGCATTTGGAACACTCCGTTAAAATAGGCTCCTAACAATAAGAAATCGTTTTACAGACGCTCCGCGGTATTTGAAATTATCTCTCCTTCGATTCTTTCAACTTTCTCTTTCAGAATGACAGGTCTCTTCAGATCCCTCGCCATCCTATTAATTTGCTCCCTTCTCGCTGACTCATTGGTGATTTATCGGCGAAAGCCGAAGCCTCGTCTCGTCTGTCATGAAGAATATGATGACGAGCTGTCCTCGGAGAACTCTTCGGATGGCGACGCGGACGGTTACCAAGTCACAACGACGGCAGTTCGGGTCAAAAAACCAAAGACGAGGACAAAGCGCGAGAGTGAGAAAATCACGTTGAGGTTCGATGAGAGAGTGAAGCGGATGGATTTGCAGGTGGGATTTATAAATTTTTTGATTGTATCTTTGGATTTTTGAGAGAAATTCTTGATTTTTTTTGATCAAAAATTTTATTTTTTTGGATTAATCTTGGCGAAATCTTGCACTATTTTTTGAGACTTTGCTACCAAAATTGTGAATTTTTCTCTTTTTTGAATGACGTTGCAAAATGTCTTCGCCGATTTTTATTGAGATTTTTCATTTTCAGGACGGAGATTTTGAGATCATTGGTGAGAATCTGAGCTCTGAAGAAAAAGCAGCCATCAAGCAGAAGTTGGTGCAAACCTGTAATACGCTAAACATCCGAAATGTTTGACGAACACGTCGATGGAAACAAAAGATTGGTCTCTGATTTCTTCGCATTTATAATTCTTCACATTTATTTTAATAATATAATCTTTGAAAAATTTGAATGAAATTTCAAAACCGCAAGGTTCGGCTTTTTGGAGCCAAATTACGCCCGTACCAGGCCGAACACTCTGACATTACACTCTCGGACCGATGAAACAATGTTTGAAATAGCATCAGTTATCTTGGGTAATGTAGAATTGTTTGAAAAGTAAAGAGTAGACGAGAAGGGGAAAGTCAATACATTAGAAGTAGGGGGCACAAATCTATAGGAAATCTGAGCGGGCCGCAGGCCCGGGCTTGGAAAATTTGGAAAGCCCGGCCCGGTTCGGTCCCGGAAAATTTTTATACTAGGCTGGAAATAAAGAAAACGGACATGAAAGGAAAATTATGACAAATTTTTGCAAAAGGAATAGAAAAATTTAGCAAAACCTAGGTACATAAGAAGACTTTACGTTTGCTATCAGCCTTGTGTTTGAAAAAATGAAAAATTATATCGAAAAAGCTTGTTTTTTCCTTTTTTTCCGGGCAAAACCCAGATTTCAAAAAAATCGGGCCGGCCCGGCCCGGGCCGGAAAATTTTGCAAAGCCCGGCACGGAGCCATGCCTAATGTCGCGTCGCTGGTCCCCAAACAGGAGAGGGGCCAGCCAAAAGACGATATGTAAGTCTCTTCCTTAATCTGCACAATGCAATAAAAAAATTATGTTTAGCCGAAGAATGAAGATCCGCGGAGTGATGCCTCAGCCCAAAGAAGAAGACAAAATCTTGGAGCTGATGTTGCAACGAACAACCACCATTACGCCGCCTCCTGTACGCCGATTACATACCCGTCGACCACTGAAACAGAGGAAGAGTTAAACCCAGAATTTGTACAAGACGGCCTCAAAAATGTATAAAGACGTGGCCTCGGATTTTGTGGGATTATTGGTTCAATCCTGTCGGCCATTTTTGTGATTACGCTGTAATTATAATAGAATGAAATTCGAATGAAAAGAATTGAAATTGCAGTGTCCTTGAGGGTCATTAGCAATTAGAATTGCGTATCGTGTATATGGTATAACTTCGATCAGGCCGGGCTCTTAGCTTCAAGGCGCCCCAGGCCTGACTCGATAGCCGTTGACGTCGGATTTTTAAACCTTTTTGAAAGAAAGTTTGTGCCCATGGTAATACGAAAAAACCTCTTGTGGCTTTCAACTTGCTTTAAACAAGTTTACTCCACGATTTCCCCAAAAAACCAACAATTTTCCAAGTCTAATGGCGGGTTTGAGTTCCAGAAAAATATTAATTTTAGGAAAGTCGGCGGAGTCTCCGCGGAGAAATCCGAAGAAAAAAGTTGTTAGTTTCGAGTGGCCCACCTGTAGTAGAACTTCTCGACTTTATTCTAGGGTAGGTTCTGATCTACAGCTTGTCACAGAAATTTCAAAAGTGATATGTCAAACAGGGGTGCTTTTTGTAGACATTTTTTGTCATAAATCCCAAAGAAACGTTTTGATGGGCTGAACCACTGTTATGTTGTTACTCTCTTTGTATCTTCAAACCCTTGGTAGATACCTAATTACCTTCTCAATGGCTTTTCGGGGTTTTTTTTCAAGCAAAACTTCAGTTTTAATTTGATTTTTTCGTCGATCACAATGAGAAGAACCGAATGTGTAAGGACGCCGGACTAACACTAAAGGTAGGTTTCTTCGGAATTTTGAGACCTTCTCAACTAATTAACGGCGCGTGCGGATGACATTACTGTAAACTAAGAGGGTTTTTGGTACCTTTTCGGGCCGTACCTGGGGGGAAAGCAGTGGGTTCAGATTTTAGCGAACGCATCCCCAAAACTATGTATGTAGTTGTAGTTTATGTATGTTATTTATGATTTACGTTAGGCTCCTGGCGTGCGCTCAGCAGCGATTTTAAAGTCAAAAATTGGCAAAATATGGCATTTTCTCCAAATTTTGGGACAAGAATTGAATTTTGAATTCTATCCGTCGCCGGGCCACAAGCTTTTTTCAGCGACAGCGCACAGTGTAAAAATGTCAAGACTTTTTTGGTATGACCCCAGCGTCGCACTTTCCTTGTCAATTCCAAAAATTGATATTTATTTTCGTTGTAAACCCCCTTCAATTTTTATCACTTTCTCTTTTCTCTTTTTTTATCATGCAACTTAAACAAAATGCGCTTTTGAACGTGACCGATTGCTCGGTTCTTTTCTCTAACCCAAAAAAAAACATGTTCACGTGAAGAGCGCCGTTGGGAAAATACCCCCGGATTGCGTCAGGTTTATCGTTAACACTTTTGCAGTATTTTGTTTATTTTCGAACATTCTGCTCTCTTGATTCGAACGCAAGATGGTGTTCTCTTTTGCAGCTATGACTTTCAAGGCCGTCATATTCGATATGGGTGGGGTGGCGGTGCGGTTGGCCAGACATCAGAAATTCGTCGCGTTGATTGCTCAAGGTATGTGCATTGCAAAAAATACAGTGGAAATTCGGTACAGGAAATCATAAAGCGGCTAATTTTCCTTTTATTTGGGGCAAAACTATGGTTCCTACAAAAAAATAACTTAAAAAAATTTTTTTTCCACTGAAATCTTTTTTCCGGATTATAAACCGTGGGATATCAGATGCAAAGAAAAACTCAAAAGATATGTGAAGTTCCGCAACATAGATCTTTGACGAACTGCCGTCGAATTATCGGGCCACAAAGCAAAATTTTCCCAGAGAAATTTTTTTTTCGAGAATTTTTCTAACCCCATAACTCTGGCAGTTCGCAAAAAAAAAAAAAATTTTTTTTGACGTTCATCTGTCTGTCGGGAAAATAATGAGCACTCTGTCGCGTCGAAAATTGCATCGCCACCGAGAAAATGGATTGTGCCGCGGCAAAATCAAATTGCTTTTCAATTCAGCGACAACGCGACATTGCGTCCATTATTTTCCCGACAGACTGATACAATTTTTTTATACGAAGTCTTCAATAAACACCTCCATTATTCAGCATATCAGCAACCTTTCCTCCGCCAGAAAATGTTCGACTTTTACGAGGGGAAAGTCTCGTTTGAAGAGGTCGTCAGCGTCACGAATAATGTCTTCGACAAAGCTGTATGTTTTTCTTTTGAAAATATAAATCGAATATACCCAGAAAGCAGATATCTTTGGCAAAAATGAAATTTATTTTTAGGGTTCAATTCAAGACTTTGAAAATGCCGACTTCAAGGAGCAGGTGGGAACAACGGATACGCTGATTTTGAACGCTGTGCGATGCCTGCAAGCGCAGGGATACAAAGTCGGATTGCTGACGAATAACGGGTATTGGTCCAGGCAAAGGGAACGTTCGATGATAATCGACGAAGCAGACCAATTTGATGCCGTCGTGGAGTCTTGCCGAGTCGGCTTCAGGAAACCTCAACCGCAGATTTATAAGGTTTGTAGAGTTCTTTTGCGAATTACAGCCAGGCTTTTGTACTAGTCCGTCCGGAAAGTTGCTGGACTGAAATCAGCGGCACACTATGAGAAGAAAAACGTTTTCTTCGCAATGTTCAATTTCTTTCTTTTTGCACCGTGCAGTATTCTTTTTTGGGCTGTCGCACGCACGTTGGCTTTTTCGCACAGTGCGAACGCCAAAAATTAATTCACAGGGGAAGTACCCCAAGTACAACGCTCAGATTTTGATAGAACTTGGGACAACTTTAGAATATTTTTTTCTAAAATCTATGCGAAAATCCTAGCTCGCGCTTTGCAGAAACAACCGAGATTTTTAGATTGAAAGTTGGCGAAAATTTGACACTTTTTGCCGAATTTGGGCACGAAAAGTCTCGTACCTATTTGTGCCGTAAAAGGTAATGTTTCCGAAAAAATCAATTTTTTCCGCACGAAACTGGCAAAGTCATGGCCAAAAAGTGTTTTTCTCTTTGACCGCTCTCCGCGTTTAGCGTACTCTCTCGGGGGCAAAGATGGTTCAATATCTCGGCGGTGCTTGCAAAGCGTGAGCTAAGACTTTCGGGAATTGATATTTAGTTCGTGCCCAACGTGTGTGCAAAATTTTAAGAAAATTTGAGCGTCGCAATTGGGGTACTTCCCTTGTTAGCACTGCGGAATTTCTGCCTTTTTGAACAGTGCAATAGGCTTTTTTGGGCTGTCGCCCGCACCATAATTTTTTTTGCAAAGTGCGCCTTGCCAAAATAACTTCAACAACTTTACAAACGATTAGCAAGAAAATCCGTATCTTTGTTTCCTCCCTTCACTCTCCGTTCTTTTAAAATCCCCCATTTCAGATCATGCTTGACAAGCTGAATGTCTTCCCATCCGAGTCCATTATGGTGGACGACAGTCCGTTGGTGTTGGAGGCGGCCCATGCCCTCGGAATGGGGACGGTCTTGGTCGAGAATCAGGACACACAGAAAGCGATAGCCGACATTTATCGCCTCCTAAATGGCGAGAAGTTCAATGCGTTGGATGAGATCTCAAATACGGAGTGGAAGAAACGAGTCTTTGCTTAAGAATCGAGTGTAAAAATTTGTACAGGTCACACAAAAATGAAGATATTTGTCTAACAAGTTTGTGGTTTATTAATGCGTATGTGTTTTACAATATATATCACAATAAAAACAGATACTTAAAAGAGCTTCTGGTATGAATGGGCTGAAACTAAATCTTTTTGGTGGCAATTGACGGGCAGAAAAAAACAGTTCGAAAAATAGTATGTAATGGACTTTCTACAAGTGGCAATGACGTCATGATTACAATGAAAAATGCTTTGTGAATATCTTGGAAATTTTCTCTCAAAAAAGGTGAAATTGATCAGATCTCTAGAAAAATGATTTTATATGTGTGCGCTATACTTTACAGTAAAGTAAAATGCCGTAACCTTTAACAGAATACGATCTGTTGGAGCTTATTTGTTCATCAGATCCTACTGAAGGTCGATAATCTTTGCAAAAAACGACAAGACCCAAAAAAGATGCCGATCTATTCCTCGTCGATCCGGTTGGTCGAAAAACTGCGTCCTTCTGGGAATATCACCACTTTGCCTCCGGGATAATTGCAAGTGTAGAACTGAGCCGTCTCTGGCCGCTCCATTTCCACCGACTCTTCGCCAATTGTCCGTCGACCGCGGATCAGCCCACCACGAAGGCCATCAACTTGGAGAAAAAATACATGGCATAGCGCAAGCGCTGAAAGAGCAAGACTTTGAAGAAAATCGGCTGAAACGGCAAGAGAGAAAAAAGCTAGGAATAACTGAAGGTAGTATCAGCCTGTCTAGAAAATAATGAGCGCTCTGTCGCATCGAAAATCGCATCGCCGCCGAGAAAATGAATGTTGTGGCGACAAAATCAAATTGCTTTTTACAGTGGGGGACCTGACCCAGTGGCAAAAAACGTACCATTTTGCAACCGGGAAGCATCAAAAATGTGGCAAAATGCTTCCCTCTCCAAGTGAAAAGACTCCGATTTCAAAATCGCGCCCGCTCTTTCTGTGAGGGAAAGGGCGCGCCCTTCAAAAAGAATTTTTTTTACTTGGAGAGGGAAGCATTTGGCCACATTCTTGATACTACTTCCCGGTTGCAATATGATACGTTTTTTGCCACTGGATCAGGTCCCCCACTGTATTTTAGCGACACAATTGGCATAGCGACAGTATGTTCATTATTTTCCCGACAGACTGATACTATATGACTTTTGTAAAGCACGATAGAAAAAGATCATATCTATTGTAAGCCTTTATTTGTTCATTCAAATATCAGTCTGTCGGGAAAATAGTGCCCGCTCTGTCGCTGCGCCAATCGAGTCGCTGAATCGAAATGCATTTTGATTTTGCCGCGACACAATTCACTTTCTTGGTGGCGATACAATTTTCGATTCAACAGAGTGATCATTATTTTTCAGAAAGACTGATATTAAGATATTAGCACCACATTTCTACATATCCCCATGTAAAATCAAATGATGACTTTCTGAGTATCAAAATTTTCCAAAATTCCCCCAACCACTTACCCAGCAGAAAGCCGTAGATCCTTGCCATTACGCAACGACCCGGGGAATTAGAAATGGCACTGAAACAAGCGCATCCCCGCAAGTGCTTGTCCGCTTTTATACAACCAAATTGACTCGGAATTACATGACAAGTTATGCGTTTTTCTGCGGAAAACGAATTAGTTTCGCTGCTTCATGCTAATTGTGGCAATTTTGATGGCTTAGTGACATCAAGGAATTGTGAGCTTGCAGTGTAACGTGACATTGAGCAAGTGCCCAGCTCATGAGGGTCAGAACTAAATATATATTTAACATGGGAATTTCATTACAAAATTGAGCGGTTTGGCTATGGTGGTGCATGATGTATATGTCATAAAATGCACTTTATAACTTCTCTTTATATGCTACACCGGCCATATAAGGTCAGTGCTGAAATTTGAAAACAAAATTGTTATTACAGTGGGGGACCCGATCCAGCGGCAAAAAACGTACCATTTTGCATCCGGGAAGCATCAAAAATGTGGCAAAATGCTTCCTTCTCCAAGTGAAAAAATTTCGTTTTGATGGTCGCGCCGTTTCCCTTGCAAAAAGAGTGGGCGCGCTTTTGAAATCGGAGTTTCATCAAGGGGAAGCATTTTGCCACATTTTTGATACTTCCCGGCTGCACAATGGCACGTGTTTTTCCACTAGATAATGTCCCCTACGGTAAACTACAGGGTGTTCCTAGAATTATGGAAAAAACTATTCATCAATAACTTTGTGCTCGGTGGTCCAATCCGAAAAATTTCTTTTGCATTTTACAGGAAAACATTTGAGTTTTCAGAATCAAAAAAAAAATTTTTTTTCTTTGATCGGCAGAGACTTCGGTAACCTTCCTTGCATTCGGCGGAGTGTTTTTTTCACAAATGAGGCTGTAAATTCTTGTATGTGTGAAGAAAATGGGCGGGAAAGGATTCAGAAGATACAATATGACATTTATTTCAAATTTTTGTCATTCGGCGGAGACTTTTTTTAACCTCGGCGGACGGTTTTTCTTCGACTTTGCAGGGTCAAAATTGGCCAAGACCAAAACGTATGGTATTCATGGTGGCATGGCGCCTAAATACGACTTGTTACGCCTTCGGCCCACTGGGAGAATAAAAAAAAGCAATTCGGCGGAGAAATCGGCGGAGAAAAAATTAACCCATTTTTACAACCTCGTTTGTGAAAAAAGCACTCCGCCGAATTCAAGGCGGATTACGGAAGTCTCCGCCGATTAAACAAAAAATTTTTTTTTTGATTCTAAAAACTCCAAGGTTTTTCTGCAAAATGCAGAAAAAAATTTTCGGATTGGACCATCGAGCACAAAGTTATTAACGAATAGTTTTTTCCATAATTCTTGGAACACCCTGTATATTCAATAATATTACAAAACTTCTAATACATGGAATGCCATCGCTACGATTTTTAAAAATCAAAATGACTCACAAAACTCTGATTTCGCTTGAATCAGTCAATCGTCATTAAAGCCGCAAGACATTGTGAATAATCTGGCCAATGTTACCGCAACTTTCAAATGTCACTTGATTTCTGATCCGGGACACTCATTACAGACGCATAGAGCGATCATTTTCGTTACAATCCTCAAGCGAGACTGTATGGAAGGCTTCTAGAAGCAAGTCGCTTGGATTTTCTTCGAATTTTTGGATCGAAGGCTTCAAAAACCTTGGCTCAGGGCTATCCTTGTCCCGCCGAGTACAGTGAGGGACCTGATCCAGTGGCAAAAAACGTATCATTTTGCATCCGGGAAGTATGAAAAATGTGGCAAAATGCCTCGCTCTCCAACTAAAAAAACTCCGTTTTGAAGAGCGCGCCCTTTTCCCCCGACAAGAAGAGCGGGAGCTTTTGAAATCGGATTTTTTTTCACTTGGAGAGAGAGGTATTTTGCTGCAATTTTGATATGTCTTGAATGCAAAATGGTTCGTGTTTGGCCAATGGGTCAGGTCCGCCGAGTAGCTGTGGCGCCTTTCTTGGTAGCGGAGATACTGCATGTAGAAGCTCTGCAGGGGAAACATGGAGGTGATATTACTCCCTATCCTCCATTCCTTTTTTCGCGCTATAAAATTTTTATTCAAAAAAGTCGTATCAGCCTGTCGGAAAAATAATGAGCTCAGTATCGTCGCTGAAGTGAAGTCAATTTGATTTTGCCGCGACACTGAAATAATCACGATTTTTGATCCGACAAAGTGTTCATTATTTTCCCGACAGGCTGATATCTCAATTTCTCGCCATAAAACTGTGACATATTTTGCTAAACATCACATATGCCACTGGAACGCCTGACTGCTATGCGATCCATACATCACAGAACGGTGTTCCCTATGGAAAGGAACCCGCAAAAAATGGTCCTTTTACGAAAAGTTTCCGATGATTGTTACCCGACGACGAGCGTCGGGATCAATGGGAGATTAACCAAGAAGGGGATTTGAAAACTTTTTACAGAAAGGTTCACGTTCGCAAATTACAAAACCCCCTTTTTTTTGACGCGCTTACATGGGAGATTTGTTTTGACATTTTTCATATTCCTCACTGTTTCCCAATGCAATTCACATGAAGCCATTTGTTGATGGTCCTAATAAAATTTCGCTCCCTTCTTCCTCAATCAATGCATATTTATGAAGTTATGCGGGAAACAATCTTCTTAAAATTGAAAAAAAGCACCTCGAGTGACTGTAAATTGGCTTTTCGTGGGCGAAATTTGGAAATTTATTGGTTTGAGCCTTGCAGGGACAGCTAATTTTTGCTTTTTACACGGGCCAAAAAATGAACAAATTTTTTTCTTCAATCACAAACATTTTTACAGGTCTCGAGCATCGGCTCATCATTTTTTGTAAGAGGGGATTGTGGTTCGATCTCTGCCAATTTTGCACGTAAAAAATTGGTTTTTTTGTAGAAAAATGTCACCTCAATGAGGTACTAGTCGCGCCATAAATTGCTGATACATTTGCACAGTGCATTTTTGTTTTTCTTTCGGACTTGTCGCGGAGATTCCCCTTGAAGTTTCGCGGGAGCTCACTCCAATTTTCTCGCGCGACACCCGCGACAAATGTGTCAGGACTTTATGACGCGACTAGTAGAAAAGCAAATTGACAAGGAAAGTACATTTTTAGGGGCTCCTACTTTTCAACGGGACATACATATGTCAAAAAATCCGAAAAATTGTGTTGATTAAGAGTATGTAAAAATTAGCTGGTCAATTTAGGGTTTTAAGGGTGAAAAATCAGTAAGAAGTTGACTTAAAGTTCTATTTAAACCCCATTCCGCTTAATTTTTCAGAGGTTTACAAATTTTATTTTACAGGGGAAGTACTCCAAGTGCGACGCTCAGATTTTCTTTAAATTTTGCACACACGTCGGGCATGGACTAGATATCAATCCCTGAAAGCTTTAGCTTTGCCGGCGCCGCCGAGATATCGAACGGTTTTTGTCGCCGAGAGAGCACGCTAAACGTGGAGAGCGGTCAGAGAGAAAACACCTTTTTGGCCGTAACTTTGGCCGTTTCGAGCGGAAAATTTTGATTTTTTGTAGAAACATTATCCTTTACGGTTGAAATAGTCACGAAACTTTTCGAGCCGAAATTCGGCAGAAAGTCCTAAATTTTGGCCGACTTTTGATCTAAAAATCTTGGTTGTTTCTGCAAAGCGCGAGCTAGAATTCTCGCTTATATCTTAGAGAAAATTATTCTAAATTTGTGCCAAATTTCATCAAAATCTGAGCGTCGCCCTTGGAGTACTTTCCCTGTTAGCTAAAATGATGTTTTTTGAGTTTCGTAATGAATAAGTCATGGTACAAAAATTTATTTTCAGACCTTAAACTTCAAAAAGCATTCCTTGCAAAACAGTGTTTTTGTTTTGACATTATGCAAACAGTAAAATAACGACAACTTGAGGCAACAAAAGGACTCGTCAAATCGAAAACTTCCACAAAAATCATCTTCCTGCTATGGCAATAGAGAGGTTTTAGGGGATTTTTGAAAAAGGAAATCTTTTAGGGAGTTTTGTGACCATTCGTTCTTTTCCATTTCCCCCTTATAGTAAAATTGCTGGGTACGACGTAACCTTGCATGAAATGACGTTTTCTTTATGGGATTCTCCGTCCATTTGCAAGTGTTTGACCAGGAAACACTTTGCAAATCTTCTTTTACTTTGATGTAAACCAAGTTCTCGAGAAATCTAAGCAACTTGCGGGCTATGATGCCTCCTGATTTGGTATTTAAAAAACAGGGTTAATTTCAGACTCAGTCTCTGCTTCAATGCGCCCGATATCCATTCGCGGCGCTTATATTGTCAAATCGGTGGTGGTATACGCCGTCTACGCATGCGTACTGTTGTTTTGTAAGTTGATTGGAGCAATTTTTGGGCCTCGGCCCTTTACAAATTTCCTGCAACCCGGTCTGGGAGCCATTTCTAGGCTTATGAGGGAACTACCCCAAATGCGACACTCAGAGTTTCTTAAAATTTTGCGAACACGTTGCTCATGAACTAAGAATCTATTCTTGAAAGTTTTAGCTAGTGCTTTGCAAGCGCCGCCGAGAAATAGGCATGAAACTTTTCGTGTCGAAACTCGGCAAAAAGTGTCAACTTTTTTGCCGACTTTTGACCTAAAAATCTCGGTTGTTTTTGCAAACCGTGAGCTAGAGTTCTCCCATATACTTTAGGAAAAATAATTCTAAATTTGTGCCAAGTTTCATCAAAATCTGAGCGTCGCACTTGGGGTACTTCCCTTGTTAATACCGATCTTAACGCTACTTTCCAGGCTTCACAACGCTCTACACACAGACCCCCGGAATCCGGCAGTATGACGTTCGCCGTCTGAATATAACATTTGGCAACTTCTTTGAGCAGTATTATGTGCATCGGCCGCCCGCCAACGCTTGTGATGGCGTTGAAGTTTTGATATTGATACCATCCAGACCCACTGGAATGGGGCTGGACTTTCGGAACCAGATACGAGATTCGTGGCTCGCAAAAGAAGTAGGACTTATTGATATCTTGCGCTTCGTAGAAGAGACCGAAATTTTTTGGGTTAAAAGTTGGTGAAAGGGTTACATTTTGCGTGAATTTTCGCTTGAAAAGTCGATGGCTCCACTCTCTCCGAGTATCCAGCACTCTCTCATCCGGGAAGATTGTTGGATATCTCGGTTGCGCCTACAAAGCGCGAGCCGAGAGCTAAAACTTTCAGCGATTTGTACAGTGGGGGAGCCTGACTCAGTGGCAAAAAAACGTACCATTTTGCATCCAGGAAGTAGCAAAAATGCGGAAAAATACCACCTCCCTCTCCAACTGAAAACTCAGACTTCAAAAGCGCGCCCGCTTTATTCGTGAGGAAAAAACGCCCTTCAAAACGAAGTTTTTTCGCTTGAAGAGTGAGGCATTTTTCCACATTTCTAATACTTCCCGGATGCAAAATGGTACGTTTTTTTGCCACTGGATCAGGTCGTCCACTGTATGTGGCAGGTCTAATGTTTTGCAAAGGCTTAAGGAAATCTAAGCCATGCAACTTGACGCCCTTCCTAAATAATAATACTATACAAGTGTTGCTAAAGACGGCTTCATTTTGTGTCAAAATTCCAGCCATTTTTAACCCTTCCTTTCAGCAAATTCCACCCGGCTACGGCTATCGCTTTGTTGTGGGCGTGCCGACCGAGAAAACCGCATCCCGAATCAGCAGGTTGGAAGCAATGTTGATGGACGAACAGAAGGAAAACAATGATCTCATCATCTACAATCTGAACGACTCTTATACTGATCTGCATGTGAAGACGTACATCCTAATGCAATGGCAGCAGGAATTTTGCCCCACCGCCAAATATCTGCTGAAGGCCGACGACGACACGGCGATTGATTTGAGGCGATTGAAAACCTACGTAGATATGGTGTTTGAATTGAAACGAAAGATTTATCCGCATCTGGTGTTTGGAATGGCGTTGAGGGGATATCCGATTCGAGACCAGGGTAACAAGTGGTAAGTTCTATTACAATTCAAATTGATGATGAGAAAAGGACGTAGAAATGTTTTGAGCGCATCTAATGGATTTTTTGCGAAAAAGCTGGGCTTACATATCATTTTGTCGGAAAAATAATGAGCCCCATGTCGTTGCGCCGATCGCGTCGCCGAGGCGAAAAACAATTTATTTTGCCGCAGCACAAGTAATGTTTTCGGCGATGCGATTTTCGACAGAGTGCCCATTATTTTCCCGACAAACTGATATCAGCTTAAAAAACTTAAAAAAATCCTTGCGCTTTGCAAAGAAGGCCTTATACGCAGTCTGGCTTTAACCTCATAATCACTGGGTCCGGTTCAACCTCTAAACACTACAGTGAGAAAAACGTACCATTTTGCACCGGGAAGTATCAAAAATGTGGCAAAATACCACCTTCCTCTCCAAGTGAAAAAACTTCTTTCTGAAGAGCGCGCCCTTTCCCTCACAAAAAGAGCGGGCGCGCTTTTGACAAAAAATTGCGAAATCGGAGTTTTTTCACTTGGAGAGGGAGGTATTTTGCCATACCTTTTAATGCTTCCCAGATTAAAAACGGTACGTTTTTTGCCACTGGATCAGGTCCCCCACTGTACATATTCACTTAGGTACGTGTCCAAAGAGGAGTTCCCAGCAGACGAGTTCCCATTGTACTGTAATGGTGCAATGTATTTGATGTCAACGACAGGCGTACGGAGAATTTTGGAAGTCGCGAGAACTGCGAAAGCGATTCACATTGAAGACGTCTTTTTTACCGGGGTACTGGCGGAAAAAGCTGGCGTGGTTCGGTTCGGCGTCGACTCATTTGTCTCTCCATTCACGGTGAGTGTCGGCAAAATTTTTTGTGGTAGTCAGTAGAAATGGTCGATATCTGCATACAGTAATAAGTCTGTACTAGCGATTTAGCTTCTATGCAACAAAAAATCCGTACTTCGAAACGGAGTTGGACGATTGGGAAAACTGAAAAGTATTATTTTTCTTCGACGCAAGTGTTGAAATTAGGATAATCGAGGGTGCTGATTTCGAAAATGACATTCATTTTTTGATATCTATTTTTTCCTGAAGTAGTACTGTAAGGTAGTAATTTTTTGAATTTTTTTAATTTTTTTTGATTTGAAAGCAACACCATCGAAGACCCCCCAAATCGGGTATTCGCCAAAGGAGCCGGAGGCCTTTTTAAATTTTGCACGGAGCCAAGAGCCGGAGCTTCAAATTTGGCCTCGGCTCCGGCTCTGGGAGCTAAGAGCCGAAGCCGAAATTTTGACCGTAGCAATCTCTGCTCTCGACTATCCTAATTTCACACTTGCATCAAAGAAAAATAATACTTTTCGGTTTCCCAATCCTCCCAGTTCCTCGCGAAAGTCAGAGGCCCTAATGTGTCTTTTGGTTCAAAATTAAAATTTGAAAGCCTTCCTTCCTGCCATGGTCGCCATGTCACGACTTAGGATGGCCCCTAACTTGCCCTCTACTCCTAGTATTCACTACCCCCTGATAACCCGGAGACACAAACTAGAGGACTCTGGCAATAAAACTGTGAACTCACGATGTTGACTCCAATTAGTTTCTACCACCACCGCACTATCACAAGGGGACTTCCAATAATTACCACAAATATATTTATTTCACCAACGAGAGTCTGACCGAAAAGCGGTCGATCCATTACATTTATATCAAAATATTCGTGTTTATGCTAATTCCTGAGAATTCTTCACGGAATCGTGACACTATTTGCAATGAAGAAAGTTTTCGACTTCATAATTTTACATAATTTTTAGTGGCACGCCCGCTGCTTCAACTCCACTCTCCCTCACCCAGTTGGCGCTTTTGCCCTTGGACTTGGCGACATTACAAATTATTTCAAGTGGATTCGAGACATGAAATGCGACGAGAAGAACAGCACGTTGTATCCGAACGTCTTCACGGATCCTCGGAACCCCAACATCACTTTCGACCACGGCTCAGCTCACGTTACCACATTGCGGGTCTAGCAGAACAAAGCAACTTCACCCCATTCGTTCAAGTTTTTTTCGGGTACACTATTGAATCTGTTCACTAATATTTTTGTAGGTTTTGTAGAGCTTTGAAAGGCTTTAATAATAAACTCTGTGATATTATTATTATAAAATTTATATGAAAAAAATTTTTCACTTTTTAAATCCATTCAGTATCAAACAAACGGTCCATTTATGTAATTGTAGGCAGGTATAAACTAACAAAGTAAGCTGAGCCTAGCCAACTTTGCACCGTATAAAATGTCATCTGACAGGTCGCGCCCCTTTCATCCTCCCAAGACTTGATATTCATCTTTTTCCAGCATACGAATAGGCTCTAGAATTCCTGTATGTCAGAATGAAAATACAGGGTGGGCCACTCGAAACTCCCCGCCTCTTTTTAGCTATTTCTCCGCCAATAATCCACCAATTTCTATAAAATTTATATCAAATTAAAGCTGAGAAAATCCATTTCGTGCCCACTAAATATGGCCCGTCTAAGTTCACGGAGGCACCCGTACTGACCTTTTCATTCCAAATTTTGGAGCCCGAGATCGGTGAAACTTAGAAAATTTTTGAAAAAAAAGGAAATCTCGTCGCGAGTCAATCTAGTGCATTTTCTGAACCGTTTAGACGTTTTGTTCACATACTATCAACTGACCAAAAGATTTGAGGTGTCAAAAATCTTACGAAAGAATTTTTGGAAGACAAAATGAGTCTTCAAAAGCTCAAGAAAAATTTATAACGTTGTTTTCTGATCAGAAAAAAAGCCTTGTCCCGACAAGCCAAGACAAAAAACAGCCAAAGATTTTTCCCAAAATTCTATTTGTGACGAAACGCCACATTGTATAAATCTTCGTCAGGAAATAGCTTCAACTACGTTGGGTTGACGTGGAATGATCAAAAATAACTTTTACAAAAAAGTCATTTTGTCCTCACATAATTTCGCAATTCTGTTTTTCTCCCAACCCCCTTCAAAACTCGGTTCAAAGCCGCGTTCGACGCCATCTGGCCATTGTTTTTCTTGATGGCAGTTGTTGTCCGAGTAAACATTTTGGAATACTCAAAAAGACAAGCTCGCTTTCGGGTTGTTTGTTCGGAGGATGCCGGAGTATAAATTATATTATTTTGACGCTCGTGGAAGAGCTGAGCCGGCTAGACTGATCTTGAACTATGCAAAGATCCCGTTTGAAGACGTCCGAGTGAGCAAGGAGGAGTGGGAGAAAGTCAAGGGCGATAAGACTCGTAAGTCTCTCTCCGAGGACCTCAGTGTGTCGGGAAAATAATGAGCAAAATGTCGCGGCGCCAATCGCATCGCTGAAGTAAAAAAAGCGCTGATTTTGCCGCGACACAAGTCATTTTTTCGGCGGCGATGCGATTTTCAATGCGACAGAGTGCTCATTATTTTCCCGACAGACTGATAGTAGACCTATTGCGGTGCTTACTAAATTTTTTCAGTACCAATTTCAAAAAAACCTAGCGACATTACGACCCAATTTTAGGATTTCCCTATGGCCAAATGCCTGTACTTTTGATCGACGGTACTCCGTTGGCCCAAAGCAATGCGATCAATCGATATTTGGCGGTGGAAGCGGGACTGGCAGGGGAAAACAATTTAGAAAGAGGGCAGATTGGACAAATAGAAGAGACCTGCCGCATCTTCAACGACTCTCTCGGGCTTTACAGAAGGTCTTTGCTGCTGCAAACTCCGAATCAGGTATTTTTAGGAGTGTCATTTTGACAAGGGAAGTGTTCAAAGTGCGTGGCTTAGATTTTCTTTTAATTTTGCATGCACTTCGAGTATAGACCACATATTTATTGTTGAAAATTTTAGGCTGTGTTTTGCAGGGACGGCCGAGATATTCAACGATCTTTGCGAAGGGAGAAAACACACGATTTGGTTATATCGTTACCGGTTTAGCGCGAAAAAGAATTAATTTTTTGTGGAAAAATTATATTCTACGGTAACGTCAAAATTTTTACAAAAGCGTCACATTTTTCTTGAACTTTCAGCCGAAAACTCTTGGTCGTTTCTGGAAGGCGAAAACTTGGAATATCATATACTCTTTACACAAGAGTTAATCTTAATTTCTCCCATGTTTCATCAAAATCTGAGCGTCGCAGCTAGAGCACTTTTCCTGTGAATTTATGCACATAATATTATAAAAAATTAAAATTCCAGGAGACTCTCTTCAACAATTTATTCGTGCCCACCTGCGAAAAACAGCTTCCAGTGATTGAGGAGCACATAACGAGCAACGGCTTCTTCCACTCCTCCGGTGTGACCTACGTGGACTTGTTTTTCGCCGACCTTTTCAAGACCTTCTACAGCCTGCATCAAGATATTTTGGGGAAGTATCCGAAGTTGGTTGAGCACATGAACAAAGTTCATGCGCTCCCCGAACTGCAAGAGTATTTGAGCAAACGAGGGGAGAACAAGTTTTGAAAACATTTTGATTCGTTCTAGATATATGGTATTTGCAAAATAAAGTCTTATATCTACGTATATGCAAAGGAATCTTCAAAAAATATTTATTGAGCATTTCTGCAGATTGAATACAGCTGGAGGTAAGACAATTTTCATTACGTAGTGGAGTACCATGGAAGAGATTTGGCAACCGTATGGCAGGTTCGGCAGCAAAATTCCAATACAATCATATTATGGACGAGAGATGTATAAGTGCATGTGGCTGTGCACTTAATTCGGAGTCAACACGTACAACGCCAAGACCAACGCCAACGCCAGCCCAAGGAATGTGATGCAGATGACGGCCCAAAGGACTTGCGCCACTCCGTCGCAACAAAACGACTCCGTCCTCACGTACCCGTTCATCGCCATTTGATGCTTCTCCTCCAGTTTGGCGGCCTCCTTCATGGCTTTCCGGAGGGTCTTCGAGTCGGCGGTCAATGGGGTCGCACTCAATGTTGGGGCGTAGTAGTATGGGGTAAATGGTGGTGGTGGAGGTGGGAACCTAAAAGGATTACAAAATGAAGAAAAAATTTTGGGTATTTTTATGAGTGGGCAAACTGGAAGATAAGTATCAGTCTGTCGGGAAAATAATGAGCAATCTTTTCCTACAAAAATCGCATCGAAAAAAGAAAGGAGATGTGGAGTCCGTCGGGAAAATAATGTGGATTCCAGGCGTCTTGGAATCGCTAATCATCGCTTTGCGACGGCTAGCCGCGGCTATAAATTTGGTGCGCTACTGCTGCGAGATGAAAGATTTTGCTGAGAAAAATCCACATTATTTTCCCGACAGACCATGATACATGGAAAAATGAGAAATTTGTTTGATATTTTGGTTGCTAACGCGATTGAGGCATGTTAAAAAGTTAGCTTTAATGACATTTGAATAGGAAAGCGTTAGAGCTCTGTCCGCTCGCATAGTGAGAGCGAAGTTATCGGTAAATATAATAAAAAAAATGGCGCGATCTGATCGGATCTGTCTGCTTGGTTTTTTTTTTTAAATCTAAGTTGGAGCTCCAAGCCTCAGTTGACCTTTTTGCTATTGATTCTAACGTCTACACCCATCTGACAATGAGCCAAACTTAACCTACCATAGCTGCCCCATACTCGGAGCATGACTCATCATGGGATGTGCAGGCGGCGGCATCATCATCTGATGCTCGACTGGATTGTAGACAGCCATTGCGCCGGCCGTCAAATCGTACTGAGACATGCTTTGGCGGATTTGTTGTGAGCCTCGCGAACCGCTGAAAACACATTAGTTTTGTATGCGAATTTGTTTTTTTTTGTTGATTTCTATGTGCAACACTCGTTTCGTTACGGGCTTTTTCGGCAATCATTTTCTCCGACGATTTAATCGACGAATAATAATAATCAATTATCGCTAAATGGATCAAAAAATGGCTCGTCGAAAGAAGTGGAACTAGGTTAGGGGTTGATGTGATCCATCAAAACCGAAAATTCGAAAAGGAAGTTTGATAAAATAGGTTTGATTTTATGCGGTGACAAAACCCCTTACCGTCTCTGGTTCTCGGCCACACTGTCCGACAGCTCGGACGGACTGAACTGCGAGCTGGGCGCCGCCAAACTTCCCACGTCCATTTGTCGCGGCTGACTGTTGGGCGACCGCTTCAGCGACTGGCCATACTTTTGTTGACGCTCGGAGGGAGGCGAGCGATCCGAATGACTCTGCTCATCGTACGGAATATGTTGATTCTTCTGGAACGAGAGTAAACAGTGGTAATTGCGTCAGAGAGGGGGGGCTAGATTCGCTAAGTTAGAGACAGAAGAAGATCTCTTGAAACTAGCTGCCATTTTTGGGCTCTGCTTAAATTTTGGAGACATCTTGAGTCCTTAGACATTAAGAAGATTTTTCAGCCCTCCCAACTTACGTCTTTGGGAGAAATGGACAAGTCAAACATGGCAAAACAACAGCTCGTCAAGCCTTCAGCCCCGCGCACCTCAAACAGCCAACTATTCCTGGATTTCCCACGACCCGTTCGAACCGTTCGCCGACCTCTTTTAACCTCGTTTTTTCGGAGTAATTCACCCGGCTGAATGTGACAACCCGTCGAGGAATGGACTCAGCAAGCCAATCGTCGCCCCAGCGCTGTTACCTAGCCCTCAAAAGGTGCGGCATGGCGCCTTTAACCGCGCTGACCTTGGCCGCTGTCAAATTTGCTTTCAATCAGAAGACGGGGGAGGAGGAGGATGGAGGAGTGTTTGACGGCTCGCAAGACAAAAGGGCAAAAACAGTGAAAATTGAGGAATTGGATAATTGCTGCGGGGCTGAAGGACACTGGCGAGAGGGGTTTTTGGGAATTACGGAAACGATTTGTGAAAGGACTATTAATAGGGGAAGTATTCCAAGCGCGATACTGAGACTTTGATGAAACTTGAGACAAATTTAGATTATTTTTTTTCGAAGACACAGGCGAGACTCGTAGCTCGCGCTTTGCAGAAACAACCGAGATTTTTAGACCGAAAATTGGCTAAAATTTGACATTTCTTGCCGAATTTCGGCACGAAAAGTTTCATGTGTATTTCTAATATAAAGGGTTATTTTTCCACAAAAAAGAATTTTTTCCCGCACAAAACTAGCAAAGTTATGGCCAAAATTGTTTTTCTCTTTAACCGCTCACCGTTTGGCGTACTCTCTCGGCCGCAAAGATCGTTTAATACCTCGGCTTTTCCTGCAAAGCGCGAGCTAAGATTTTTATGACTTGATATGTGGCCTATACCTGATAGGCCGCATATCAAGTCATATGTGCAAATTGTAACAAAAATCCGGACCTATAGACGTTACCTGAGAAAAGGTGACCGACGGCGCTCTTGACGGGTTCTGAGAGCTCTGAGAATTCTGAATATTCCCGCCTTCACGCATTGCAAACTCCTACAATCAAGCTATCGTCTAGATTCAGTGATATTTCAGCACGGAAATCCCACGAAATCACCTTCACCTTAACGCAGAAAACTGAAAAAAGTGGGTTCGTTTTTTTTGACGAATTCAAAGACAAATCGGAATAGCGGAAAAATTCCAACGGACGGGTGATCCATCGGCATGTTAATAAAACCGCAAAAATTACGGCTGTTTCAGTGGTTTCGAATTCATTTTCAGATCATTAAATTAGTGTAAAAAATGCTCTCGGGAATTTTAGTATTATGGTAGAGTCATTTGACGTGGTTACAGATAATTTGAGGGCTTTTTTAACAATATAATTTTCAAAAAATCAGCATAAAACAGCAAGCAATGAGCTTGAGGAAGTCAAAAATGTTCCCACGCCATAAAAAGATCCCATAAAAGACGTTGCAACGCGTTGATATCAACAAGTCTTTGCGAAACCGCTTTTTCGACCAAAAATCGCCAACATAAAGGGGGCTGTTGCCAATAAAACCCCCTCCGTTTATTTGCCCACACAAAAAAACAACTTCTATTCAAGCGAAAGCTGTAAAAACTGGACCCCGCTTTTGTAAGAAATTTGAATGAAACAATAACGCCAAGAAAAATCAAAAGCCAAAACAAAGAGGTGATTTTGGCATTGGGCAAACACTGAAGGCGCGCGGATGAAAAGGTCGAGAATGACCGACCTTTTTTTGGCGATCGAAAGAGAAAACGGGAGGTAAAACCGATCGACAGTGTAGATCGCGTAAATTGGTTCAATCCCCCCCAGCGGATTTATAATGGTGATGGTTTAGAGACGGAATTAAAAAAAGCGAAAGCGAAAAATCAATGTCGCACATGAACAAACCTCCGGGTTTTCGGACATTCGTTTTATGAGGGATCTGATCCAAAGGCGACACTCAGGTTTTGATTGAGTTTGGCGCGAATTTAGAACAGTTTTTTTTAGGAAGTATGGCGAATATGAGTATGGTTTTCGACACGCATTTTATTAAATAAACCGAGAAGATTATTTTTATGAAAAAAAGTTAACAAAACGCGAATTTTAACAAACAAAAAATGCGCCAATAAAACCGCCGGATAATTATGCATCAACCTAATAATATTTCCGCAGAAAAATCAATTTCTTCCGCACAAATCTGACAAAAATACGGCCAAAAAAATTTTTTCTGTCTGACCACTCTCCGCATTCCCCGTGCTCTACCGCTCGCAAAAATTGTCGAATTTCTCGGCTGTGCCTGCAAAGCGTGAGCTAAAATTTTCAAGAATTGATATGCAGTCTAGTGCAAATTGAGCAAAAAATTTACTTGTCTGTCGGGAAAATACTGGGTGCAATGTTGCCGATCGCGTGGCTAAAGTGAGAAGCAATTTGATTTTGCCGCGAGACAATTCATTTTCAGTGATCCGATTTTCGATGCGACAGAGTGCTCATTATTTTCCCGACAGACCGATAAAAACATCTGATCGTCGAAATTGGAAATTTTTTTTTTCAGTGCATGGCAATTTCAGTCAACGGATTGTGAAGTCAAAATGAAAAAAATGAAAAAACAATCCATTGGCATTTTGCAACATCCCTGGAAAGATTGACCAGCCTTGACCTCGCCACTTCCCCTTCAAATTGGCTTACTCTCCAATTATGGCCGGTAAAAACAAAGAGCATAATTCTTCAACTCATCTTCGCTTCCCTAATTGTGGATCCGAAGAAATGCGCGGATAAATTGGCTGAAAAGAAGGTCAGGTGCGCAGTAACCTCTCCCTTTCGGCCAAGTGCGGCAAACGCGCCGTCGCAAAGACATGGAAATATGAAGAAGTCCCCTTGAGTGAATGGGCAGTGAGATATAAAAATTTGTAAGAATAGAAAGAAGTAGAGGATACACTAAACGCAGAGAGCGGTCAGAGTGGAAACATTACCCTTTACAGTAGAAATATATATGAAACTTTTTGTGTCAAATTTCGAAAAAATTGTGAAATTTTAGCCAACTTTCGATCTAAAAATCTCGGTTGTTTCAGCAAAGCGCGAGCTAGGATCCCCGCATAAATTTTATATAAAAAAATTTTTTAATTTTTGCAATGTTCCATCAAAATCTGAGCGTCGCAGTTGAAGTAGTTTAGATGTTTTTACGAAAGAGCCGATGATTTTTATACTATGCGTTTTACATATGAGTATTTTGGACAAAAACAGAATTCCAAGCTTACCTCATAAAACCGTCGCCTGTAGCCACTCTCCGTCCACACATCGGCCAACTGCTGCGCGGCCACATCCGCCGCCCCACCCGCACGTTGCATCTGAATTTGTCGGCGGCTCATGTCGGTGGAGGTTGGGCGCGGGGTTGCGTCACTGTTGGGTGAGAGCCCGCTGGAGTCGGTGGCTTCGCTGTCGAGCCGCAGCGTGGCTGGAGTGGCGCTCGCCGACTCTTCAGCCGCGCGCTTCTGCAGTTGCGCGCTCAGCCCGTACGCTAAGGGTGGTTGTCTGTGGGGATGTTGCGCGTCGACGTTCAGCGGGGTCAGCGTGGAGCTGGTGACGCGGTTCAGCGGGATCGCAACGTTGTAGCGGCGCTGGACCTCGGTGACGTCGGTCCGAGGCAGTGGCATTTCTTTGGTGGATTGTTTTGAGTTTGATGCTTGCTGGAAATGCCTTTTCTTGAGATGAAATGTTATATGTGTGAAATCATGCTCGCAAAACCACTCGTTTTTGGTTCGAACGAAAAGAAACACTTTGGTCACGGTTCCGTAATCAACGCAGAAAAAGGAAGAGGGAATTAAACGTTCGAATGAAGAAAGTTCAACAACAATCTCACCAAAAAATAATAAAAAAAAATTACGTTCGCAAAAGGATATGTATTAGTATTGATACATCAGTCTGTCGGGAAAATAATGAGCACTCTAGAAAATCGCATCGCAAAATGAATTGTGCCGCGGCAAAATCAAATTGCTTTTTACTTCATTTACGCGATTGGCGAAGTGAAATTTTACCCACACTATTTTCCCGACAGACTGAATAAGCGCATGAACAGTTGTCGCGGCCCGCACCGTGCACAAAAACCCCTCATTTTGCACCGTGCATTTCATCTTTTTTTGGCGTTTGCACTGTGCGGCGAAATGTCGCTGCGACATAAGTAAGGTTCAAATGTGTCGCTGCGATGGCGCGAGGAATTTGCACAGTGCAAACGGCTTTTTTGAGGTTTGCACGGTGCAAGGAGAAAAATGCACTGTGCGCTGGCGACAAGCGTGGGAAAAAGTTTAAAATGCACTGTGCAAAAGGGAAAAAATCATCCTTGCACTTTATGCACAAAAATAAAAAGTTGTTGCTCAACAAACGAGTTGAACAACGTCTGAAACCCGGAATTTCCGTCTCGCACTCGGCCGGTCGTTAGCCTCCCAAGTGTATTGTCTTTCCGCCGGTCGCAAATGACCGGAATCGGACGGGTAAACCAAAACCGCATAGTCCGCTCGCACTGACCGGTCACTCAAAACAAAAAACGCGAGAGCAGCGCGTCCAAAAATGGGCGAATCACACGGGAATACCGTCGTAAAAATGGACAAAGCCGCAGCGATCGGCGCCAGGTGAGGACAATAAGGCCGATGAGACATGCGAACGGAATTGTCATAAACGGACGGAATGAAGGGTTGGGGTGGGCAAACAAGTGGGTGGGTAAAGGTTAGAGGAGGCTACTGAAATTTTTTAAAGTGGAAAGATGCTCAGATTTCAAATGAAACTAGGCACAAATTTGGTGTAAAATGTGATAAAATACGTGCAAGATTCTGAGCGCTCGTTCTGCTGAAACGACGGAGGTTTTGAGGCCGGAAGTTGGCGGATATATGGAGATTTTTTTGCAAAGTTTAGAAAAGAGGGACCACGCGGAACGCAGAGAACGGTCAGAGAGAAAAACGATTTTTGACCATATTTTTGCCATTATAGTGCGGAAAAATGTATTTTTTTGTGAAAACATTAAACTCTACGGTATAAATCAGCATGAAACTTTTGTTGAAAGAGTTTGCAAAAAAATGTAAAAAAATGTGATCTTTGCCGAGTAAAATGTGATCTTTGCCGAGTTTCAAAAAAAGTAAAAAATCTCGGTCGTGTCAGCAAAACCCGCGGTATACCGCGATAGACGCCTCACATATTTCTTAGAAAAATCGCTGTAAATAAAGTGTCAATTTTTTGCCGACTTTCGATCTAAAAATATCGGCTGTTTCTGCAAAGCGCGAGCTAGGATTCTGACATATTTCCTAAAAAAATTGTTCTAAATTTGAGCCAAGTTTCATCAAAATCTGACCTTCACACTGGGGCTACTTCCCCGGTAAGTTTCAGGCATCGCACTTCCAGCACTCGCCAAATCCTTTATACAAATCTTTGCTTTTGACCCGAATGAGCATTCACTTGGTCCGGTCCATAAAGGTCCTAATAAAACAACAAAAAGTTCGCGCTTCACGTGATTTCTGTAGGAAGCACCATAACCGTAAAAGATCCGGAGCCTCCAAACATTCCGGTCCACGCTCTTATACCAACAACCAACTTTTACTAATACTCGAGGGAAACTCATCGTTCTCCCATATTCAAACAAACCCCTGTAACCTATATATGCAACGGTTTAATTAAAAACAAAGAAACCGCTACAATACCGGCTTCGCAAAGTAGCGCAAAAAAGGGAAGCGACGCTAACGGGCAGCTGGCTTCGGCCTCCCGCCGAGCTTTATCGTTCCGCTTTATGACAGCTTGATCGAGTTAAACGCGGACCAAGGAATTGACAACGAGATCTTGAAGAAAGAAAACAAAGGTCGCTGTTATTCGATTGAAAATGTAAAGAGGCAGCATAATGTATAGTGGGGGACCTGATCAGTGGCAAAGAAACGTACCATTTTGCATCCGGGAAGTATCAAAAATGTGGCAAAATGCTTCCCTCCTCAAGTAAAAAAACTCCGATTTCAAAAGCGCGCCGGTTTTTTTTGTGAGGGAAAGGGCGCGCCCTTCAAAACAAAGTTTTTTCACTTGGAGAGTGATGCATTTTGCCACATTTTTGATGCTTCCCGGATGCAAAATGGTACGTTTTTTGACACTGTTTCATGTCCGTCACTGTAATGTGAGATGAAGGGGTTTACTAGACCGAAATTGCATAGTGCCAAGTGAGCTTTTGTTTTTTCTTCGAGCGGATGAATAATTGGTCTTGCTTATCAGTCTGTCGGGAAAATAATGAGCACACTGTCGCATTGAAACTCGCCTCTTCGCCAAGAAAATGAATTGTGTCGCGGAAGAATAATAAAGCTTCCTCTTGAAGTGTCTTCATTGACGTTTGACTATGTCAATGAAAATACCGAAACATTCAACCCAAGTAACCTCAAAACCCTTGAACAATTCCAGGACCAACCCATCCGACCTTCGGTTGCAAACCCGGCGCTCGTTCTTAATTCTCCATTCAAAAAAATTTCTCCGCACAATGCCAACGAAAAAACCACTCATGTATTGTGCGAATTTCTCCATTTTGTTCTTCTGTTTGCGAGGTCAATGAAGCGAGGAATACCATTTTGTTTGCACGGTCCGAATACCACACCTGTTTTCCCGATGAGCTCGTTGGCATGAGAAAAAGCGAATGGGCATTTGCTTAGGGCGTAATGGCGACTTTCAATGGCATGAGAACTCAGAAAAACGAAGTAGCATCTCGCAAGAAGGGCGTTGACAATGCGCGATTCATGTGCTGGGTTGGCAGTTTGTTCTCTCTATTGTTGCAATCTGAGAATCAGCTAATCCAATTTCTAGCTTTCGTAAACAACATGCTTCTCTGTATAACCCATGATCACATCAGTTTAACTGCCAAAACGGATTTATTATATCCAAAAACAATAACAAGGTTACATAGAATACTAATTACGATAGAAGGTTCCGGGTTGAATAATTTGCGAAGATTAAAATGCAAGTGCTTGACGATCACCATCTCACAGTGTCTCCGGTCGATGTCGGCAGACTCCAATGCCTTCTGGGATACACGGCAACAACTCCTTCGAAGGTTATTAACTCTGGACGCTCATGAACATTCACAAGTATTGCTGGCCCGGGAAAGAATAGAGGATGGCCAAGTGGAGTAGGAGCAGCCATTTGTAAGAGCGGCTTTGTCGGTTACAGTAGAGCTTAAAGACAAAAGAATACGCAAATGATGCTATGGCTTTGCGAAACGGATGTATTAGGTCTAAAAGTATGACTCCGCCGTTTTTTTGGCTTGACAATTTTAATCAAAACAAAAAATTTTTACATTAAAGCTTATTTAATTATTATTACCATTATTAACTACGACATTTTCCCACAATTTGAGCAACTTTTCAATACCATCAGTGAAAACGATTTTTTGTTTTGAGGCAATTTAGTCATCGGGCCAATTTTGGACATTTTTGTATTCAGCGAAGCGCTGCTGCCTCAGATCGGGTTTCATCGGTCGAAACAAGTGTTATTCTGAAAGTGTGATGTCAGAAGAGTATAGCGGGTAGGGTAGGACCTTTAACCTTAGGTGTTCTAGCGTGCCTTGGCCAGTTTTTCAACATAGAGTCTGAAATGACCAAAAAACAGGATAAATTTTTTTTATTCCGGTGGCTGTAACTGTTGTCAAAATTCATTTATTGTTTGCCCCCGGTCACGAATTGAGGCAAAAAGAATTTCTTTTCTGTCTTTCCATCAGAATATTGCATATTGTTTTAGGTCAATTAATATGGTACCCAACTCCTTGCTCCCTGCGTCTTTCATTTTTGTTGCAGACTCTGTGAAACTGCTTTCTGAGTCAGCTTTAGCTTCACGGCTAACTTTTTTTTGCGTCTGGGGATTGTTTTTATCGAATAATCTCCATCTTAAAATTTTTTGGATGGGTGTGAAGATCACCGGTTTTGAACCGTTGAAGCCATTCCCGCCGGATTTTTCCACTCAAGGCACAACTAGCACAAGCTTCTGTAAACGTTCGATGCGTTATCGGCGTTTTTCCTCACATTACACGTGCAGAATAAAGTTTCCCGCAAGTCACCTTTTCTTAGGATGAAGTTGATCATCTTTGAAGCTTTATAAAAACCGTCATATAAGGCCTCACTGTACGAAGCATATATCATTAGACAGCGTTTTCAGCGTCCTTTTATAGCATATAAACAGAAATTGCAAAATTGTATTCCAACCTGTAAAAAATGCAAAACAAAAAAACGGCGGAGTCATACTTTTAGACCTAATAATTAATTTTGGATTGAATTTTTCTTCCATAAACGAGGCAGAAAAATCAGCAAAAATCAGAGCAGGAAATTACGCAATATTTGCGCAGAATTTTTTTGTCACACCTTTTTCTTTTTCTTGATTATGTAATAAGTAATTTAGCGATTTTAAAAATGGCTCCCGGGCCGGAAAGAGGCGAGTATAAAATATGCCGGGCCAAACTTTCAAAAACTTACGACGCAAAAAAGAGCCCGTACAAAGATCGTACCGGGGACCCCCAACCCAAAGCCGGATTACAATCTCCACCCATTACTATCGAGTGGACTGATGAGCTGTCAAAATGTTGTTTGTAAAAACATCTACAGTCGATCCAATAAACCGCGCTGAAACCACCACTAAATCTAATCCGATCAACGAAATATAGCCACCATTAAGGGTCAGGCGAACTGTTCATCCCACCTTTTAATGAGCTGCGGATGAGCCTGATCCGCTTTTAAACTTTTGAGTGTGAATACGATGGGGGAGCGGTATAAAAGCACGCGGCGGAACGGTAACATCACTCAATTCTCAAACGCACTTCCTCTTGCGTTCAACAATGCTTAGAGCTTCGATAGCCGTTGTCTTGACGGCTTGTCTGCTGGTGGATTGTAAGTTTTGGGCTTGTAAAAGTGATGACATACTATACGTTCAGCAATAAGCCTTTTAGGCTAGCAATAAGCCTTTGATGAAATTTTTTTAGGCTATCCAAATGGCGGCGGCAACGAACACGAAAACGGCAACGGAAAGGGAGGTCACGGCGAGGGAGGCAACGGTGGCAAACAAAACGGCCACGGCGGTGGCAATGCCGGTCACGGAAATGGCAAAGGAAATGTCGGTGGGAGCAAAGTCGGATTCGGCGGTCCCCCAGGAGGCCAAGGAGGACACGGCGGTCCTCCACCATCGTGGGGAGGTCAAGGCGGACACGGCGGCCCTCCACCATCGTGGGGAGGTCAAGGCGGACATGGCGGTCCCCCACCATCGTGGGGAAATCCAGGAGGCGCAGGAAACGGCTTCCACTGGGGAGGGTGGATTCCCAACAACAAAACTTGTGAGGGAAACATAACGCTGTTCACCAACGCAAGCATCTTCTTGGAGCTTCCCGAATTCATCTTCTACCACATGACGTTCGTCTTGAACATTACTGGTGACGGTAAGAATTTGTTCCAAACAAAGTTTTTGAAATCGTAAAATGAAACTATAGTCACGTTTTTCAGAATGTATTCCTCAATTCAACATTCCCCGACCCAGCTTCTGGAACATTGGCTGGCCCTGGCCATGGCCGTGCCGTCTCTTCCCCGTCCCACCAAAGTCCACCACCACGACGAGTACCACGACAACGACCACAACCACTCGTATTGCCCCACCCACCACGACCACGACCAAAGCCACAACCACAACCACTACGACCAGAGCGTCCACAACTGATGGCAGCGGAAACGATGCGTTCACAACTGATGACAGCGGAACCGGCAGCGGTCCCGATGACTATATTCCAATCTACAACGACTGCACCAATCCCAACTCGCCGACGAAGCCGGGCTTTAGCTGCCCCTCGACGAAGGCGCTGGCCTCTTCCGACTTCGACGACGATGACGCTTCTAGTGTTTCGAACCAAAAGAGCGGTCTGTTCAAGGGATCCACCAGTCCCGGTGACGATATCCCCAACAACTACTGTGTTCCATTCATCATCAGCCATTACTACCTCCACAACCACGGCTTCCATCCCAAGCCCGGCTGCGACAACGGCCATCACGCCAAAGGAGGCGGAGGAAAAGGCACCAGCAGCGAAGAGGACTCCGGCTCGGGCAGCCACAAGAGCCACAAAAATTAGAAGCACATTTGAAGCTTCCTCCCATTCACACTCAGTCCACGGCTTATTAGATCTTTCTTACAATAAGGGGTTGATTACTTTAATAAATCGAATTCAACTGCTAAGAGAGAATGCTTTTTTGTGGTTCAATCCGAAGGGGGCACCTAACGAAGAGGGCAAGTGGGCGATGAAGGGACCTGAGGAATGATGCACGGCAACCCGAAGTGTTTCCTGGCTCCTTTCGACCCTTCGCCCATTTTGTATTGGTTGAAATTGCTGTAAGATGGCACCTTGGAGAAAAGTGGACAAGAAAGGAAGATACGGTAATAGGGCCCAGATTTTTAGGAATATTTTTTTGGCTTGCCAAAAAACGAATAAAAAAATATTGTCAAAACAAAGTTTTTTTCTTTGACTAGCCAAAAAAAATTCTAAAAAAATCCGTCTTTGTCCCTCTTTACCATATCATTTTTTCCGCAAGGTGATTCTTCGCCCAAATGCCTTCTTTGTCAAGTGCTCTCCTCGATAGATGCCCTTTTTGGGAGTGTTTTCATGCCTTTGCTTTTGGCCATTTTTTAAAATAATTTTCAAAAAATTTTCAATTTCAAAAATGAAAATTTCTCATCAAAATCAAAAAAAATTTGAGTAATTTTTCCTATGCCCTCTTTCACCGCCAAGCGCCAAAGTTTCATTTTGATTTTTTCTTCATTCCGGTGAATTCATTCCTCGAGCGGCGTGTTCTTTCTCTTGGTGCAGGAACCAGTGGGACGGCGGGCACAGAGCGATTGGAGCGCCACGAACAAATCAACTGAACTCCCTACTTGTCTTGATCGTGTCGCGAAGTTGTAGTGGAAAAGAATGACGGTAGGGGTAGGGGATTTTTACTTTTTTTTGATTTTTTAGATTGAAAATTTTTAAAGCGTTCGAAATTTTTGCATATCATTTAGATTTCTTCTCAAGGTATAAAAGTCTGTCGGGAAAATAATGGGTAAAAGTTCCTTATTTTGGCCACAACTTATAACTTTGCGGAAACTGGTCGGAATTAGCCCAAATTTAGCGTTCACGCTCAATTCATCGTTGTGAATGCCCATACAGTGGATTTAGTTAGTGAGGTACCGTCTTTTTTACGTACCACCTTACCCTTCAAAAACGGCTGCAGCCTATGATTTTACACTTTATACGATGAAACTTGTCCGGAACGAAACTTATTGCCTCCGTGTGGAACTAAATGAGTCGTCACAGCCTTCGTAGGTACCCTTAAAACTATAGAGCTATTATAGTAATTTAGTGCCAGCTAGGTCGAAGCGTTTTTTCTTAACTTTTGTGCCCAAGCTTGGGCGCAGTTCGCGGAGTACCTTTGTTGTGGCCAAAATAAGGAACTTTTCTTTTTCCAAATAATGAGCTATAATGAGCTCAATGCGCTTTGCCGATCGCGTCGCTGAAGTGTAAAGAAATTTGATTTTTCCGCGATACAATTTATTTTTTTGGAGGTGAAGCGATTTTTGATGCGGCAGAGTGCTCATTATTTTCCCGACAAACTGATAAATTTATCGTCTTTTGAAGATGCACGCCTGTATTTAGCTGAGGTATAAGTTTCATTATCCTAATTTCTATTTCCCTTTCAGGTTCTGCCGTTGGTATTCATACTCCTCGAAGTGATCGGTGTCTTGGCCTTCGTGATAGGCGGCCTATGCTCGAAACGGAAGAAAGAAAACACTGCTCCTCCGAAGAAGCCCGAGCCCATCAAGAAGGTCGAGCCCAACAAGGACCCCAAGCCGGCGAAGAGTATGGTCAAACCACCGGAGAAGGAGAAGTCGAAGACGGAGAGGAAACCGCCGGTCGAGGACACGGCTGACAATGACGGCGAAGAGAAGTACGATGACATTGAAGTTGGTGGCAATTAGGACGGCGGATTTCTTGGGTGGTGCTCGGGAATAAAACTTGGATTGAGTTTGCACATCGGATTTATTTTTATTTTTTTTTACGAAACATTTTGCTGGGATGCGCGGGAATATTATCTTGACAGACATGTATATGTATATTTCAGTAGTAGCGTTGCTTTTTTAAGATATTTTTTTAAGTTTTTTTCGCAGGTCGCAAAGTTAGGAAAAACAGTAGCATTGACGCCGAAAATGGCAAAAAGTACCATCTCATGATACCCTTGGCGTTTTTTTTAGTTCTAATGTATCTCTCTGAATCATTATTAAAGGTCCACTTCAAGTAAAATCGCTGACAAAATCAACAAAAAATGTCACAGTAAAGCTGGGCGCAGCTCGGAAAAATTATTTTTTTTGGATTGGGCCAGAACTCGGGAGAAATAGAAATACCTATTAATTTTGCGTAGTAATTTTACTTTTTTTGAAAGACATGTTCTTGATTTTCATTGACCACGCGTATAACGCTGCATCGAAACTACAGGGTGTACCAAAAAAATGGAAACTTTTTTTCATTTGTCCTGACGCGAAAATGGTTAGGTGTAGCCAAAGAAGTTTATTACTACAAAATTCTCTGTGTTTTTCTGTCCTAGTGGTTTGATTTTTACGCCCATGTCGATTAATCGACCTGTCTTTTTTGAACTTCAAACAAAGGGACCTCGATTTTGGACTTGTTTTTGGAGCTGTTCGAACAGTTAATTTGCTCGGTATAGAAAGAACGTTGTGTCGAAAGTAATCACGAGGCCCAAGGAGCTTGATACGGATAGTAAGCTCCCATGAAGTGAAAGAAAACGCACCGCCAGCGCTTCTTTCAACCGAAAGATCCCCCACAGCAAAATCCGCGATTTTCAAGAAAAACTTGCCCTTGAGACTGACATCAGCGACCGATCGCTCGGCCGAATAGTCAAACGCGAGCTCAACCTCATGTCATACAAGCTCTAAAAAATTCAGATCTTTAAAGTCGAGAGAAAGTGCGTGCAGCGCAAAAATGTCGGAAAGTCAAAGGGGTGGGCCGCAGCTCCGAGACGTGAGCGAATTCAGTTCGCGGTTCAATATTTAGCGGATACACAACCACCAGAACGATAGAATCTGCTTCAATGAGGCTCCTAGCCTGTTGGCCAGCGTTGAATACCACCAAAATCCGGGTCGTCATTGCTTAAGGCGGAATTTGTGCCAGCGGCAAGAATTTCATGTTTTTCGTGAATAAATGGGACAAAATACTAGCGCCGCGTTAATTTCTATTTTGTCGTGCTTCCGTGAGCTCAGCAGAACCTTAGCAATGCAAACTTGGCGTTTCAACAGGACTCAGCGCCGGCTCACAAGGCAAAATCGACTCAGGACCCGAAATGGGACCGATTTTCCCGATTTTATCCCGCCTGCGAAATGGCCGCCTGCTCGCCAGATCTGAATCCAATGGACTATATATTTTTTTAAATAGAAGGCCAGCACCTGTACTATGCTCCACAAAAGTTTGGAGTCGCAAAGTAAATGCTGCGCCAAGAACGGGACCGATTTCCCCCTTAAAAAGCTGCGGCCCGGACCCCAAAATTTTACGTCACGTTTGGAGCTCTATATCGCCACCAAAGGCAGCCACTGTGAAACAGGTTGAACATGTTATAAACAATGCTCTATGTTACCAATCATGACCGTTACTTTTGCTGAATTTTGATTCTCCGAAAAAATATAGCTATAAAAACAAGTTTCCATTTTTTTGGTACACCCTGTATAGAAAAGCAAATTTCATCACAAGACGAGGCTAAGGCCCACAGAAGTCATTTTATCTTCTTGAAGGCCTCCAACCGCATTTTCCGACTTCGAATAACAATGTTGCGAAAGCTTTGAAGGAGGAGACCAATGACCGACAACGGTCACAAAAGATTGCCTTGGAAAAACACAGCTATTATACTGCCTAATTATATTATAGTTATACTCCGCGCATTTAATTTGGATCAACCTGGATCTCAAAAACTAAGCAAGGCCTGGACTTGATTATTTTTGTATAATAATCTATTGTCATAAAGAACATGTTTGAGCAACAAACAATCACATTTCAGGTAAGTGTAAAATTTTAAATTGCAATTTAAGATTTTGGGTGCGCAGAAAATTTGGATCAACCTTGCAAAAAATTATTTTGCTCGCTGAGGTGGTCGATTTTATTGTTGTAAATGGTGAATACGGATACTACGGAGAAATAATATTCTGAGGGTATCAATTTTGTGCAATATTTCTTATGACATGGCCCATTTAGGGAGATACCAAGGAATACGGTAAGAAAACTCAAACAAAGCCCAAAAACTGATAATTGTAACTCCTCAAATTGCTTGCAAAGTGTACTAATATTTACTTATAGGCCATGCAAAGTATTTTAGTAAGGCATCCAGTGGAGTAAATCAGAATTTTTCTGAAAAAAGTTTCTAACGGAAAGTTTACGGTACTTTTTAAAAATTTTCTGATGGGTTGTTCGATGCGCCGGCAAAAAGACAACAACATTGCTGAAATTTCTACGTAAAAGTTTTGTCAATTTTTACCGTTTGAAGTCACCTGGCGGAGCGGGGATCAAAAACTACGCCGTGCATCACACGCGTTCGGTTGGAAATTCCCTCCCTAAACTAAAGCCACCGTTGTATTTGCTTTTATAGCAGTCTACAAGGTGCATATTTAATAAGCAAACAAAAGAGGAAATTCTCCGATGCACTGTAGCTTCTCAACGAGTCTTCCATATTTTGAATTTTCGCGGATTCAAAATATTGCTAAAGTTTTGTGCCCTACGGAATTCATACCAACGAATCGTATGAACTAATTAAATCAAAAGCTGCCACATCATGTCCTGTATATGCTGAACCCTCAAAACAGGCACTAGAAAATTTTTAAAAAGTACCGTAAACTTTCCGTTAGAAACCTTTTTCAGAAAAATTCTGATTTATGTCTCGTAGAAGTCGTAGATGCCGTGAACTCCACTGGATGCCTTACTAAAATACTTTGCATGGCCTATAAGTAAATATTAGTACACTTTGCAAGCAATTTGAGGAGTTACAATTATCAGTTTTTGGGCTTTGTTTGAGTTTTCTTACCGTATTCCTTGGTATCTCCCTAAATGGGCCATGTCATAAGAAATATTGCACAAAATTGATACCCTCAGAATATTATTTCTCCGTAGTATCCGTATTCACCATTTACAACAATAAAATCGACCACCTCAGCGAGCAAAATAATTTTCTGCAAGGTTGATCCAAATTTTCTGCGCACCCAAAATCTTAAATTGCAATTTAAAATTTTACACTTACCTAAAATGTGATTGTTTGTTGCTCAAACATGTTCTTTATGACAATAGATTATTATACAAAAATAATCAAGTCCAGGCCTTGCTTAGTTTTTGAGATCCAGGTTGATCCAAATTAAATGCGCGGAGTATATAACTGCCTAATCCAGTCGTTGCTTCTTTTGCTAGAGATGTCTTTAGTTTCCTTGAGGAACAATATTATACTTTGTGTGGTTCACTCATAAACTTGAGGAAGTACAAAGCATAAAACTGGCAAAGGCAAAGTGTAAAAAACATTAAACAGCTAATTTTGCAAGAATCGGGGTTACTGTAGGGAAATGATGACTTAACATGTGTCATACTAGCGAATTGCTTATCAATTTGAGCAAATTTTTCCTTGAAGCTGACTTGGTTAAATAATGGACGGATTTTTTTTTAGAATTATAATGTTACAGTCTTCTATTTATTTTATATTTTCTAGCTATGATGTTCGCCTCGTATTTTCAGCAACTCCAGCAAGTTTTTGTATTACCATTTATTGTGATCACAATACAAAAAATGTAAAAGCTAATACAAACGATGGCATGTATGTACATTCATCGAGGATTTTCGTTAGACACAAAGCTGAGTTGGAATTGCGATCTCTGGATGTTTACTTGCCTCTCATTTTGTCGCCTGAAAGATCAGAATAAATTAGAGGACGTTATAAAATATAAATAGATGCCACAGGCCACACGGGCCGCCACATGCTTGATACTAGCTTGTATTTAGTCTGGCTAGTACTATAGTTACCATAGACTATATCGAGCCTATAGCTACTACTATAGGCTAGTATAGGCTAGTACTATGGTTACTGCAGGCTGTTACAAAAGCCCTCCCAGGACCACTCGCTACAACTCACCGGCAGCATTCATCTTGTCCTTCGTCGCATCCCGAGCGTTGGCGGCCATGTCGCCCGCCTTCTCTCTGGTCTCGTGCGCCGTGCCGGTCATCTTTTCCTTGGCGCTCTGGGCGGTGTCCTTCACCGAGTCCTTCATGTCGCCCATCTTGTCCTTGGCCTTCTCGAACATTCCCTTGTCTTCCATGGTCGTAGTTTGAATTGAACAGTAGCAGTAGCCGCGGTTCTGGAGAATGCTCGAAACATCCGCGCTTTTTATACACGCATTGCCCCCATCAATTTCGTCAAAACACCACGCATCCCCAAAACGGGGCCGGCCCCACGAACGGGGCGGAGTTTCCCGGCCTTGTTTACAGTTGTTTGGGGGTATTTCTTGGCTAAATAAACGTTCGTCCGTTCACTCGGGCAGAGTTGTTTTCGAATAGAGCGGGCGGAAGAAAACAGTAAACACGCGGGAAAAGAGGACGCAAGTAACATAGGACAAAGATCTATTTTTTTAGAAGACGCCAAGGGAGTACGAAATAAGACATGCGCTTGAAACATGGATTTTAGGAAGAAATAAGAAAGATAAACTGGAGGCCTGTAATTCTATAAATAGAATTTACCACTCGGAAAGCCTTATCAACATATTTTCCCAAATTTTTGGATAGTAATCAGCTTCCAAATCAAGCAATGGAAATTTCAGGCTAGGGTTGCAAGAAATTAAAAATTCTCAGCGTTCTTTGCTTACATCGTGAAAGTGGAGGCAAGGTGACATTAGAGGAAACATAGTTTTGCCAGGTAAGGCCGGTCATTTCAATGTGAGACGCCAGTCAAAGTTTTTATTTACAGAGGAAATGCCCGTAGTTCGCGCACAGATTTTAAGGAAGCTTTACAAGCTTATGTTAGATTAAATTTTTCCAAGCAATATGAGTTTTTTCAGCACGCAGTTTGTAGAGCTTATCGAGATTTCCAGTTCTTAAGGTAGCCAAAATGAGAGGTCTCTTGTAAGTTCATGAACTTAACTAATTTTTTAACTCAAATATAACCGAGAGGCCACGAAAAAAAACATTCTTTTCAACCTAAGATTGAGAATGATGCGGCTGAGGAGCACCTTTTTTTGGATATTTGGATGTGTATTCAATTGGTAGTACAACGTCCCAATTTCTTGTCGGAGGCGCCGTGGTGACAGGTAAAGTGCAGATTTTGATCAAACTTGGCACAAATTTAGGTTTAGCCTTTCCGAGAGACACAATACTTTTAAACCGAATTTTGGACTTTTCAGGCTGTCGGGAAAATAATAAACGCCATGTCACTACGCCGATTGCGTCGCTGAGTTCAAAACCGGCTTAATTTTGTCGCGACACAATTCATTTTCTCGGCAGTGATGCAATTTTCGATGCGACAGAGTTCTCATTATTTTCCCGACAGACTGGTATAAGGACAATCTGAGCGCCATATTTCTACATAGCCCATGTAAAATCAATGATGACTTTAACCTTTTTTTGAAACCCATTTTTCGAGATTTTATTTGAATTTTATGTTCCTTTGGTCCTTTAAACTTGTGTTTTTATAATATTACAACATTTTTTATTTGAATTGTCACACTTCTCTAATTCTGTGACTAGACTAGAATTCCAAGTTCAAGCCCCAGAAAGAGCTTTTCTACAATATCCATTCCCCGAAGCCGAGCTTTTTAACCGCGTACAAACTGTCGTGAACTTGTATTTTCTTCGTTTCTCTTGTGTTTTTTTGTTTATCTTTACATCGGAGTGTAATTCGTGGCAAAACAGCATTTCGAAAGGAATTTCCGCACAAAGTCAAGGTCATTGATAAGGGAGGAAACTCTGTAAATTAATGTTCGCTGTTACCGTCGCTATCTTTTCGTTACTTTCTTGGGTAAACCCATCAATCTCGGCTCCGTTCAAACGGGATTTTACCGCAGTAATAAGCGACTTAACGATAGTGAACTCAAAAAAAAAAATTTTTTTTTTGGGTTTGTTTGAGTTGTAGCGCAGAAATCCAAATTTTTCTTGAGGCTACTTGTTTGTAAACAAATCTTTGGTCCTTTGCGAGGAGACAGAGATCTCTGAACTCCGAAATGTTTTTCGAATTCTTTTTTCCTCCCTTATTTTTCTTTTTGTTTGCCCATTGCGAAAGCAACAAAGCGTAGGAAAAACAACCGAAAGAGCGGAGGGTGATTAGGAATTTTTTGTGGTAATAAACGTCAAAAGATAAGTGAAAAAATGTGAAATATTACAAAATTGGTTCTTTGCGATGTCCCGGAATAACAAAACCTTTCGCAAAGTTGCTGGGGTGATTTTCGCGACATGCACAGTGCGAAAATAAAAGTTCACTCTGCACTGTGCGATTTTCGGCTTTTTGCCCAGTGCAATATTAGCATTTTCACAAAGTGCCTGGACATTTGTTCGCTTTCGCACAGTGCATCTTTAATCTTTGTCGAAAAAATCGGGGATTTTTGGTGCGAACCGCGCGACAGCGATAAAATGCACCGTCCAAATTCCACGGACTTTATGTGGCGACTAACATGGCTTACTTCTGCCGAAATGAGAGCGATATCAGTTTGTCGGGAAAATAATGAGCACAATGTCGCTGCGCCGATCGTGTCGCTGAGGTCGAAAGCAATTTGATTTTGCGAAAATTCATTTTTTTCGGCGCCGATGCGATTTTGGATGCGACAGAATGCTTGCTCATTCTTTTCCCGACAAACTGATTACGCCTGAAAACAATTAAAATATCGGGGACAAAATTTAATGTGTGTGTGTGTGTTTTTTTTGTGCGATAGGGCCGTTGTAAGAGAGTCATCGTTTTCCGGTTCTCTCGCAAGTGCAACTGATAAGTGAATAGCGGTTGTACGTGAATTTCAGCGGACTTTGTGCTGAGATGCACCTATTGTGGGAATTTGCAAAAACATCAGTTTTACAACAGGGTTTACGAGAATTGTGGAGAAAGTGCAATTAGGACTTACTGGAAAACAAATTTGTGGAAGAAATATTCCGAATTTTGCAAAAAAATTATTTGGCAAAAATCGGAGGTTTCTTTTAAAATTTTATAAAGGTCATGTCTGTTATACCCTGACAAGAACTCCAAAATATCTGATTGCCTTAGGGCAGCAGCTAGGAGAACCACGTACAGTGCGGACCTGATCCAGTGGCAAAAAACGTACCATTTCGCATCCGTGAGGCATCAAAAACGCAGCAAAATACCTCCCTCTCCAAGTGCAAAAAACTATATTTCAAAAACGCGCCCGCTCTATTTGTGTGTTCAAAAGGACTTTTTTAGTTGGAAAAGGAGGCATTTTGCTACATTATACTCTTCTTCTATGCCATTGCAACTAATTGTATTTGTTTTTTCGTTCAATTCTAGAAGCTTTGCAACCTGACGTTAACACATCACAATGACGGCTTACATGTTGTAAAGTTTAATTTTGCAAACGAGGTAAACATTGCTTATTACAGGGGAGAGACTGAAAGATGTGTTACGTTGTGAGATCAGATATGCCATGGGCAAGTTGATGAGTGGTAGAGTACAAAAAAGTTTACCAATGATTACGAAGCTTCAGACCAAGACATTCGAAGCTCTTGTTGTCCTTGTTCACGTGTCCGACGGCTTGAGGACGGCCTGACTTGATATGGTATTCACACGGGACAGTCCGTTCGGTTTTGTGGCCTCCTGGTCCGCCGAACTCATCGTGCTGCTCAGCACGTTGATTCGGGCCAGCCCCAGAACTCGGCGCCGGTACGTCGGGATCAGACTGATCGTAACCACCGGCTTCAGCACCGCAATCCACGCGCATAGCACTCGGCTGATCTTGCCCAGTTCCGCGAAGTCGATGCGCAGCATCGAAGTGGTTGTTGTGAGCATAACCGGCGCGCCGTTGCCAAGAAACGGGATTATGAACTGAAATTGAGGCGTCAAGGGATGGTTCGTTTTTTGGTTGGTCACTTTTCTTCTTAAGCAGTACTGTAAGGTAGTAATTTTTTCATTTTTTTTTGCAAATTCTCAATTAAAAGTGATCGGGGAGCGAGAATTGGGGAAAAAGGCCAATGGGGAAACAAAAAATATGGCGCTACGGCGTTTCGGGTCAGGGACAGCTCGGGGTGGGGTCAACGACAGATCAGGTCAACGACACTTCGGGTTAACGACACCTCGGGTCAACGACATTTCGATTCAACGATACCGTTTAATTTTTTCGCTTCGGGACTTGGGAAAAAGGATTTTTTGGAGAATTGGAACAAAATTTCGAAATGTTTTCGTTTCGGGACTGGGGAAAATGCTTTTTTGTAGATTTTAACATATTTTTGAAATGTTTTCCCTTGTCCTTTTCCCCCAATTGTCGGTCAATGAGCATGCGCCTTTTGGGGTTTGTGATATCATTATGTTTTGCGGAATGTAATTTTCTCACCTGCAGTAGGATAACCTTATTTATTTGCTGCTCCATGCGCGCCACGCGAGAGCTCTTGTTGGAGCGAGCATGACGTTTCACGGTCTTGTGGATCTTGGCGAATGCCCAGATCACCATACAGTAGACCACCGCAAACCCGGAAAACAGAATGCCCAGGTTAACGTAGAACATGAACTGATTCTGTAAATGGACTTTTTACCAACCTACCGGCGGCTAATTTGATTTTAAAAGTACTTTAAAGGGGAAATAAAGGGTTTAACCTACGGTCGAGCTGAACGTAAATGATGGTGTATTTTCTGTAGTCCCTATTAATTCTTGTAGGTTTAGGGTTGCTTCGGCTTCCTCAATACCATCGAATGATGGCCCAAACTTGCCGAAGGACAGGTACACGGGGAACGCGTGAAGAAATGTCAGGAAAAATATTCCGGCGAACATTAGGTAGACTCGGTGTGCGGGGAGAGTTCGGTTTCTGAAAAAACGATGATATTGGGATGTTGGGAAAATACTGAGCACTCTGTCTCATCAAAAATCGCATTGCCGCAAGAAAAGGAATTGTGTAGCAAAAAAATAAATAAAATTGTTTCTCACTTCAGCGGCGCACGTCAAACGGAGATAAGCTAAAACAGTCAGGTAAATAGATTGGCAATTTGCCAAAAAAAGACGCGAAAAAACGTTTTGTCTGGGGAGAAATGAGGAATTTTTTGGGGCGAGAGAGTACGCTTTCGCGTGTCTTTTTTCTCTCTTTCTCTGCGAAATCAAGACGAAGTGTAAAAAACCGATACCGAAGAGTCTATTCCGGTCACCGGACTCCTCAGTTTGACGTGCGGCGTGAACCGCGAAGCGACATTGTGCTCATTATTTTTCCGACAGACTGAAATTGAAGCAAGTCTTTTTTTGAAGCAACTCTTGTTTTGGACATCTTTGCGTCCTAACTTTGTAAAAAACAATGGTATTTACAGCCGCTTTTATCACGAGGCCGACCAATAGCTAATCCTTGCTGATTCAGCTTTTAATAATTTAAAAATTCATTGTAGAAACACATGAATTTGATTTAAAATGGCCGTTGTGAACGAAAGGGGCCACTAAAAAATTTCTTTCTAACGTAAGCTCACTGTAAGAACAATAAAAAACTTACTTGCAAACCGTTTGATATCGGTAATAAAAGTCGATTGGAGTCAGGCATAGTTCCAGCATTATTCCTTGATAATACGCACAAAAAAGGATCCATCCGTACTCTGCGCTCACATGTCGAATAAATCCTGATAAAACAAGATACAAATTGCCTGCGTACGAAAATGTCTCCTGGAATGAGGAAGGTTACTTCTTTAACAACTCGTTGACTAAAAGCGAAGGACAAGTGTAACTCTCAGATTTTGTTTACATCAGTCTGTCGGAAATTATGAACACTGCTTCGCTTTTGGCTCTAAAAATCTCGGTCCTTTCATAAAGTTGCGAGCCAGGAGTCTTGCATAAATCTCAAAAAAAAAAAAAAAAACTCTTAATTTATGAAAGGTATCAACAAAAAGAATACGCAAGGTTCATAACTCAACTCACCACTGTGGTCGAGAAGTTCAGAATGCAGTAGTACAGATCGTTGAAGGCGTGGACTCGCAGCACCGTCGAGTATCCTCTCATCTGCAGCGGAGTTTTGTAGGCAATCAGATAAAGTAGCGTCAGGTTTGCAGAAACAGCAAAAATAAACGAGAGCACGTCGCTGATGACGTATAACGAGATGTCGAGCATGTCTAAAAAAGGGTGTTGTTGTGGAGAGAAGAGCAAAAGACAAAGGCTGGCAGAGATAACACGATATTTAAATTAAACTAAGCGAACAGGGTCTGTTCGTCGATAAACATGGCTTGGGAGGCAAACAGATTTGCTTCAGTTGTGATATAAAAAGAAAAGGATAAGAATTAGTTAAGGGATGTTAGCTAATTTTTTTCGGCCCCTTGCAATTCATTGTACAGGGTGTTTCAAGAAATTCCCCGGAATGTAATCGTCGATTTCTTAGCGCTCAGTCAAGATATCCAAAAAATTTTTCTTGCATTATAAAGAAGAATATGGGCGGTTTTTTGCCTATGAAGATCATTTTCTCCGCCGACGCGGAAAGCAGTGTATTCGGCGGAGACTTTTGCGCGCTTTTTTGGTTATCACACGAATTTTTAATGCTTTATTGCGACGTTGAAGCATCCAGAAAGTCTTCAATTTTTTGCACAATGGATCAGATGGCCGGCTACAATGCTAAGCGATCCGATTTAGCGACCGCACGGTGCAATGTAGTCCCTGTAACGTCGATAAAGTCGGAGCGCACCGTGCGGATGTTTGAAACAGCATGGCAAAGAGAAATTTAAAGAAAAATATTTTGTTGTTTTCCAGTGAACCAAGTCGTGTCTCAATGGCTAAACGTCTAACAAGGCTTGGCGACAAAATTTTTGAGGGTCTACGACACCTGCAGAGAATGCTTGCCAGACCATAAGAATTGCGTTGGGCCGTTTCTTGTCCATAGCTGAGTGAAGATACGGCGAGCAGCTGCCGTACCTTCGCTGAACGCTTGGTAAACACAAAAATTAGCAAAAAACCTAATTTCAACCATCAGAAACCATGAAAAAGCGTTTAAGATGGGTGTGATGACCAAAAAAGTGCCCAAAAGTCTCCGCCGAATACACTGCTCTCCGCGTTGGCGGAGGAAATGATTTTCATAGGCAAAAAACCGCCCGTATTCTTCTCTATTATGCCAAAGAAATTTTTTGGATATCTTGACTGAGCGCCGAGAAATCGACGATTGCTTTCCGGGGAATTTCTTGAAACACCCTGTACAGCTCATTAACTGCTTACCGTATGCGTACAAACTAAGGTCCAAGAGCCTAATGTTTCTTTCAAACATATTCTATTTACAGCAGCTGTTAATTATATACTGTAATTATTGAGAAAGTACACAAAACATGGAGCGGGCGGAGTGAAAAGGTTTTTTGGCAATGTCCCTTTACAATTAGGTGAAATTTCATGGTATAACTAGCCAAAATGTCAGATGTATGCAACATTCGACTTAAAAATAGCTTTAAAGCTGATTTTTAAGTTGAGGATTAAGAGTCTTGCATACGCCATAAAAAAACATTGTCTCAATTTGTGCCAATTTTCATCAAAATTAGAGCTTTGGAGCACTTTCCCTGTCAACAATAAATATCCAGTAAAAGTCTACAACAAAATCCGCCTATAACGATTTTTTTTGGCCCCTTGCGATTCCTTGTAGAGATTCTTGACCGTTTACTATCGGATGCAAACAAATTAATGCCCAAAAATCTTAAGGTTTCTTTCAAAAATACCTATTAGCAACAGCTATTAATTGTATACCATAATTATAACATATACCATGATGGCCTTCTCAATTCCGAATAGCGTGGTGGTTCATTAAAAAGAGTGGGTTAAACACTGCAACTGACTTGTTTATATAATTAAAACCGTATGGCGAGCAATGTGCAATACAGGTTTTACATGTTGAATGACTAAATTAGATTTATGTTGAAATCGGGTTAAGCACAAACGCCTTGGCGAACATTTACTCAAGAGTAAATGAATTATGATATTATATTTGGAATTGAGCTGGAGTACCAGTTGCGTTGGAAAACGTATGAAAACGGTATTACAAATACATGGGAAAGGTCAAAAGAAGCCGCTTTTATTCTCCACAGGGACCATCTTTTGCCCAATTCATTAAGTTTGGGGAAATTACTTCAAAAAACGGAGATGTGCGCGAGAGCGTTGCGATAATGTGTTTCACGAAACGAAAGAATAAGCAAGAATTTAACCTTCGTTCCAAGAGTCAAAGAAGAGAGACATCTCAGATGTCAGCATCAAGGATAGTAGACACCAGAAACCAAATTTCTATATGCATATTTACTGCACGCTTACAGGATGATTTCTCCAAGTGCGACGCACGTCAAACTGAGGAGTCCGGTGACCGGAATAGACTCTTCGCTATCGGTTTTTTTTTCACAGAACGAACATTTCCAAACTCAATAAATTACACGAGAAATTTTACACGGGCCGGGTTTTCAAAACTTTCCAGGCCCGACTATATAGGGTCGGATCGGCCCGGATTGCGGCCATGCTTCTCGCTAGACCAGCTCTTATAATTCGCATACCCTTTGAAAACCAAGATAGGTGAATATTCGTCAATTCGTGCCGCCACCTGAAAAATTTCTTTTGTTTTCGATTCAAGGTCAAAACAAGGCCTAGAGCGAACTAAAGAACTACTGTGATTGCGTCGTTTCATTTTTTTTGCCAGACAAATAAGAAAAGTGCAAGTTTTGTTTCCGAGCCCGATATTGCTCTGAGGTACAAGGTGTCCGCGTGTGTCTCATCGGTACCTATGACATCAATGCAGATTGCTATGTTCATACCTGGGCACCTTAAATGCATTGTGCGTTCAGTTTTTAGGGCTACAATTAAAGATGATGTGTAAAACGTTGATTTATCAGGCCTTTTGAAAGGGCTGCAAGACAATAAACATACAAAAGGAAAGTATGAAATAGCACCAGGTGTGGTCAGCGGGCCGGGCTCAAAAATGGAAATTTGAAAACGGGAAAAGCCCCAGGCCCGCGGCCCGGCCCGTCTACATTACAATGCCAAACCGTTGGCATTCGTTGTTTTCGGCAATCAACTGATGTTGTTAGTTGCTGTTTCTCAAGTTCTAAAACGTTTACAAGTCCATAAGTCCATTATAAAAACCATAAAACCATCACATTGATCCTTTACCAGCTAGATCAACGCCTTTTTTTGCCTAACTTTAGTTCCTAAGCTCGGGCGCAGTCGTAGAACCAAACGGGCCTGCATGGGCCGGCCGAAAATCGTAAAAAAACGCCCCGCTGACCACCCCTGAATAGCACTGAATAATATGTAATTTAAAATTTTCTTCCATTAGCTACGCTAAGTTTAAACTGACCTTCTAAAAGTGTCAAAGACTGTTGAATGGCGAAGAAAAACTTTCAAGATTTTATAGTCTTAAGACAAAAGAAAATTTGTAGTGAGCTCGGAATCTTTCTGCGTCAGAACAAAAAGATAGCGTCCTTAATCTAAGATGCAATATAGCCGAAGAAAAGTCCGTTGCTTTCCGTGCTAATCTTTCTCCGCAACATCATAGTATTCTCGCTAATTTGAAGCTTATGATTAAGCCATAGTAGCCCCCCAAAAACGTTGTTTGACCCCTTCTTAAGGAGGCTTATTATGTATTTGAAGATGACAAGTTCTCGCAAAGTCCTCCCCTATTAAGCTCATTTGGCAGATCCTCACTAAACAATACGGAGAACGCGCTGAATTTGAGTCGTTTGAGTGGACACACTCTGTAGGCTTTGGTGAAAACAAAAATACCAAAATTCTGAGAAAACTTCTCTGTTTGGGACATAAGCCCGCGCTAATTTTGTCGTCGCGGATGGATACATTGCGACGCACGTCAAACTGAGGAGTCCGGTGACTGGAACATACTCTTTGCTATACGTTTTGTACACTTTGTCTTGATTTCACAGAGAAAACAGAGAAAAGGCGCGCAAAACGTACTCTCTTGCCCCAAAAATTCCCCATTTCTTCCTCGACTAACGATTTTTAGCGTCTTTTTTTGGAGAATTGCCAATCCGTTCAACCTTTTCTTGCAACAGGAAATTCAACGATGGATTTAGCAGCTAGATGCTTTTTAACCAGAAAATGTCAGTTGCCCGCAAAGTGGTTGCCCTTCGTTGCCCTCCAAGACTTTTCGTTCACATGTGATCGGTTGATGAAAAGATTTTCGGTATTAAAAACGGCAATCCTCGGCAAAAGACGCCATAAAAATAAAGAAAAGAGCAGAGTGCAAGTTGTCGGAACCTCAGGTCTCAATTAATACATCATAGGCAAGCGGAACCTTATTTCCCGGTTAAACATATTAAAAGGGCAATAAAGTCTCATTGGAAAACAAATTGAAGTCACGCTCGACTATTGTAGGCCAACTTTGTAAGGACACGAGAGGGCGGGCGAACATAATACAAAGAAGAGAGTACGGTATCAAACTTCTCGAAATCAACAAACAATTGTGTTTGAACAGGGCAGGCCGTAAACTCAAAACAAGGCATTCGAGTTTGTTTCCTTGTCTGAGAGTAATTGCAAATAACTTCAGAGCGACGGTAACGCATTGTTATCAACTGCTTGAATAAGCAAACAGTCCCTCAAACATGCCGAGTGAACAGTTGAATGACTTGGCATCTGTTTTTTTCATGCTTGTGTTGGCAAAGATATAAGTGGACTACAACGGTGGGACCAAGTTCATCCCTTCCTTGGGAAAAGGGAATTTTTGATGCGATGTCTGGCAAAGGAAAACTACGAAGATGTTTGTTTCACACAACGAAGTTTTGTGTGTTTGTTGTGAAAATAATTCGTGCATTTTGCAGAAGTTGCAAATCAAGTGTTCAAAAAAAACTTTCTTTGAATATCCCGTTTGCGGGTTGGATGTCGAAGAGCATACATCCAAGCTGTCCCTGATTTTTGCTGGTCCTCATCCTCTCTGGCAATACCCCAAACCTTTTTTATAGAATTACTAAGAATTTACAAGCGTCAAAAACAGCGGGATTTTTTCGGGTTCAGAGCCTTGTGCACCGGGGACCCACTAATTATTTTGAGAATTGGTCAAAACAAAAATATAGTAATGTTACTTTAAATTTACGCTACTTGCACGATGATCATCATAATTAGGCAATTGAACAAGAGAACGAGTATATTGAAAATCGAATTAAAATTGTGCTGTTCTTGGAAGGAACTCCAAGAACTTGATCTTGATTCAACTCCTTCAAATGTGTCGAAAATACACTCTGATAACAGAAAACCGTAATACAGAAAAACAAAAAAATGAATGCATGGTGCAAAAGCCGATGATTTTTGTGCACAGTGCGGGCACGACAAATATGTACACGTTATGAAAATGCAAATAAAAAACATACAGCTTCCGGAAAATGATTTACTTCTTGCTCCTGGCCATATTTGCCAATTAACCTTTTAAATTGGTCGTTAACTTCGGCTAGACATGGCTCTTCGTCCATGCTGGGACAAACAACTCTGCCAAGCCCGCGGTATCCCGAAAAAATAAACTTGTATACTATTTCAATTCAATTTACAATATTTCACTAATCACATGTAAAGGTCATGGAGTGAGTCAGTATGATTTCTTGTCCAGTCAATGCAACATCCTTCCATTGCTGGCTATAGTGCTAATCCTCCTTATCTTGGGGTGTCCGAGCGGGTGTGTGTGGGTGGTGTCCATTTCAAAAGAATTACTACCAGAACTGAGCAGTACATATACTGGTTGACAAAATTTTCTTTCCACCTCGTATCTCGGGGACCGCTGGGCCTAGGACCTCAAAATTCGGCATAGAAACATCATGGGACAATCTAACACCATACCCAAAAAATCATACCATTTGATGCACTATCAGTGCACTTTTTATGCAACCGGCAAAAAAAGAGGTGACAAAATTTTCTTTCCACTTTGGAAAAACGTTTGTAAATTAAAAGCCAAAGGCGTGATTGTGGTATCGTTGTGATCGCGATGAAGTCCTCTTTCTATCCGTGTCACAATTTTACAGGAGTTTTCGTTTGTTCGCCCTTGGGCGTCTGCTCATCATTGCGTTGTCCGTTTTCGGCCAAATTGGTGAACAAAGAAGCTCGCAGAAGGCCCAAGGAGATGAAACTGTCTTTAAAAAATCTGGTATTTATGTCTGCAGCATTGTTTACACCGGCATTAAAATTAGGTTTAATTTAAGTGTGTTGCATGCGAAAAAGCGCCGCCTCTAAGGTGCGCGAAACCGGGGAATTGCTTATGTACCGAATGGAAACGTCCAAATGACATTCCTTTGCAGTACATATGGCGTATTTCAGGTATTATACGACCGTATGTGTTGAAGCCTTCCGTCTTACCTTACCCCCTGTGGTATATGTCGTCTTAGCTAATACAGGTTGTTGCACTACATGACGGAGAGGCATTGCCATAGCTTAAACTTGATATATTGGGAAATTTGACTGCCAGACTACTTTAATACATTGAGATTGACCCGCGTTTAACGTTTTTGCCACGACAAATAGCTTGCGCGGGATGCTTAGGGTTGCAAATCTTGCACATGGGGCATGGGGAACCATTCTTCTGCTCACACCTAAGCGCGACATTAGATACTAAAATCTTCGCTATTTTTAAAGTCTGCAGTATCATAGAAAATATATCAGCAGGAAAAGTTATTTGAATTATCTGCAGTATTCCCATAATAACGTAATTTTCTGGCAACGAGAGCCTTGGAAGTGCACATTTTCCCATGCAACACACTTAAATTAAATCTAATTTAAATGCCGGTGTAAACAATGTTGCAGACATAAATACCAGATTTTTTAAGGGCAGTTTCATCTCCTTGGGCCTTCTGCAAGCTTCTTTGTTCACCAATTTGGCCGAAAACGGACAACGCAATGATGAGCAGACGCCCAAGGGCGAACAAACGAAAACTCCTGTAAAATTGTGACACGGATAGAAAGAGGACTTCATCGCGATCACAACGATACCACAATCACGCCTTTGGCTTTTAATTTACAAACGTTTTTCCAAAGTGGAAAGAAAATTTTGTCACCTCTTTTTTTGCCGGTTGCATAAAAAGTGCACTGATAGTGCATCAAATGGTATGATTTTTTGGGTATGGTGTTAGATTGTCCCATGATGTTTCTATGCCGAATTTTGAGGTTCTAGGCCCAGCGGTCCCCGAGATACGAGGTGGAAAGAAAATTTTGTCAACCAGTATATCCCGAGATTAGCTCCGCCGTTTCGTTTTTCTAACGATTTCTCAAATTGTTCCAATTTCCCATCGCTTCGAATTCATCAACATTGACTGTGCGAGCTTGAAATCCGATATTTGATGGTAATATAATATTGATGGATAATACCAATCTGATTTCGTACATTAGTAGCGTATTGGTATATTAGTCGCGCCAGAAAGCCCCCACGTATTTATCGGGGATGTCGCGTACAAAGATTGAAGTGAGCTCGTGCATGTCGCTAGTACCGGCGTTCGCCGCGGCTCAATAACTTTGTTTTTAGATTTTGAAATGCCATTGCGTTTTTCAAAGACGTCCGATTCAAAACTACTTTAATTGCGAACAATTCTCTCAGTTATGTATATTTTTAGGATCATAAAGATGTGATGTTTGCAGCATGTGCACTATTTAGCCGTTACTTGGGACGAAGTATGTACCTGTTCTTCGAGCATCCCTTTCTTTAAGAAAACTTGTCGAGCCAGTCCTTTCCGATAAGCTGAGATAAGAAAGATGGTGATCAACGGCTTCAAGGCGCAAATCCACTTGCCCGTCACACGGATAACGGCTCCCATTTGCGGTAGATTGTACTGGACTATCCCGGCCGTTGCCGTTGACGTCACTGACAATCCAATTGCGAAGACAGGGACTAGAACCTGAAATGTTACTTTTAGTTTTTCACTTAGCTTTGCGTTATACCTGAAGCAACATGATCCTGTTGATTTGATTCTCAAGGTGATGGACTTTTGACGTTGGATTGGCTTTGGAATGATCCTTTAGCTTGCGCCGAATGTTGAAGTACGACCAAGCCACGGACAAGAAACTGATGGAAAATGTGCATTGAAGGACGACATGGTTGAAATATGCCATCAGACCAGACTGAAATTGCACTTCAAATATATGTAGATCCCAGCAGTCTACTAGCAGTCTCTCTCTTTTCCCTATAGATTTATCACACTTACTGTTGGGTTATATGCAAATATTGTATCCAAATCCGCAAATCGCTCAATCTGAAAAAGTCTCAGAGTGATGTCAGCCTCCAGCGGTGTCTCAAAAGATGGCCCGAACCTTCCGGTGGCACAATAAACCGGAATAGAGAAAAAAAACGTCAATAGAAGCAAAGAAATGACCACTCCGTACAGCGCCTTGTTGGACATTGTTCGATTTCTAAACTCGCATACTTCCCCTTTCCGCAATTTTTGCACGTACCTGCAAACGTTTAGGTAGCGATAATACAAGTCAATCGGGGTTATGCACATCTCAATCAGCACTGTGTGATAAAAGGCTCCCAAGAAGAAGGCCCAACAGTAGTGGTTGTTGATATGGCGGAGAAATCCCGTAGGGACTAAATAAAAGTATCCGCTGTATGGGACGGGTTCCTGAACAGACTACGTATCAATACCAACCGAAACCTCTTACCACACTAGTCGAAAAGTTGACCACACAATAATATAGGTCGACATAGGCGTGAATTCGGAGCAGTCTTGCGTAGCCGGCCATTTGCGGCACCGTGTAATGTTTGATCAAGAAGAGCAACAAAATGTTGGACAGAAAGGCGACAAGGAACGCAACCAAATCATTTATTGTAAAGGCTACGGAGTTTAACTGCTCCATAGAGTCATATAAGAGCTCACGCGCGCCGCTTTAAACGGCGTCCACACTGAAGGTAATTGGGTGTCTAAATGAATTACATGGCCAAGCGGGCGGACTTGAGTGTTTTTATGGACCTGTGCACTTTGGTATCAAGGTAAAATGTGTGTTTTCGGGTTGGGAAATGGATCTGAGACTTAGTGGGCACAAAACTCAACGAGAAAACTCAGTTGACACTACCTTGGGAAAAATAAGCCCAGAGAAGAATTTATCGCGGCACCCAATTTTGTCGCAACTAAAAAAACGATCTGTCGCTATTTTTCGCCGAGTATCAATCTGTCGGAAAAATAATGAGCACAATATCGCTGCGCCAATCGCGTCGCTGAAGTGGAAAGCAATTTCATTTTGCAGCGACACAATTCATTTCCTCAGCGGAGATGCGATTTTCGATGCGACATTGCGCTCACTATTTTCCCGACAGGCTGATGTATCTACGATATAACCACTTTCGTCTAAATCAAACTTTATTCACGAACAATTTCAACCGATGTCATATGTTCGATGGAAGAATTTAGCGTCACCGCCTTTCCCAGTGAAAACAAGCTTTCGAAGAATTTCTTGCGATAGGCGGACACTATTGTCACGGTGATGATTGGTTTGAGAGCGCTGATCCATTTGGTTACGATTCGATTGATTGCTCCCATCTCGGGAAAGCTGAATTGCATTACACCCGTTGTTCCTGTGATAATTATGGAAAGGCTAATGCCCAAGACTGGCAGCAGTAGCTGTAATGATATTAACAGTTTACTGTAGACCAAAGAAAGTCCTTTGAAAACACACTTCGCTTTTTGTCAATCAAACCCTTACCTGTAGCAACATTATGCTGTTAATTTGGCTTTCGATATGGTGAATATTGGACGAAGGATTCGCTGTGGAATGGTCTTTCAGTTTCTTTCTGATCTTCAAATATGACCAACTGATCACAAGGAAACCAATAGTAAAATTCAATTGCAGTATGACAAGATTAAAGTACTCCATGAAGCCGCTCTAAAATGCAGTAATAAGATGTTAGAAGGCCGCTGGAAGGCATACCGTTGGGTTATATGCGAAGATGGTTTCCAGATCGGCAAACCTGTCTATCTCATGCAATTTCATTGTCACGTTAGCCTCAAACGGCGTCTCAAACGACGGTCCGAAATTTCCAAGGGCAAGGTACGCAGGGAACGAGTGAATAACGGAGAGTGTAAACAGAAGGGCGATAAATGAATAAAGATGTCTATCCGTCATCGTTTGGTGACTAGAAGTAGAAATTGATCTTACAAGGTATTCACAAGATATGTTTTACGTACAATCAACTCCAATCTTACCGACAAATATTCAAATATCGATAGTAAAAATCGACCGGCGTGATAGACATCTCCGCCAAAATGGAATGATAATAAGCACCAAAGAAGAAGGTCCACAAGTGTCGATCGTTAACGTGGCGAAGAAACCCGGTTGGGACAAGATAAAAATTCCCACCAAAAGGGAAAGGCTCCTAAACATTTGTACATATCAATGAAACGCCGTCTGAAACCTACTACGCTGGTTGCCACATTGATAATGCAGTAATAAAGGTCGATAAAAGCATGAATCTTCAGAAGCCTTGCGTAACCAACCATCTCAGGTGGAGTTTTATGCTTTATAAGGTAAAGAAGTAGGAGATTGGACAAAAATGCTATTGCAAATGCCACATAATCATTTATGGTAAATATTACCGGACTCGGCATAGCCTCATGTATCATATTATATTATACAATGGCCATGTTTCTAAAAGATTTGATTCTATATGTCACATCTCGCATTTTCCACGTTCGCACGTTGCTCTCAGACTGTGAATTTAATTACTCTTTGAATGTAATAACAGCTGCACTCTGGTCGTTCAATACATATAAATTTTAGAACAAACGCTTGTTTAATAATGTATGGAAAGTGCTCCGACAGCATCACTGCTTTATAGACTCTTACATTACCTCCAGACAAATTGCCTGTAGACAGCACCAAGGTTCATCCAGTCTGTATAGAATAATTGATGTGGGTTTGCCCAGTCAAACAAAGTTGATGTTGCAATTTACCAAAAGTATTATAGAACAGGCAGTTAAGAATTAACGAATGCCAGACAAATAAATAGTCCCTGCTATGTATTATGCCTAATTTAAGTAAATAAATAATTTATTAGCAGAACAAATGGTATAACGGCTTAACCCCCATATAACGTCGATGAACTTGGAAGGGGGGCTTTGATCACCGCTCCGAGGAATAGAGACAAATTAGGAGAGGAATAGTAGCAACAAGCTGGTCATATATGGCCTTCTCGTTCCGGCAAAGGCATTATTTTACCATCGTCATGACGAACTATGTATCTGCTCTTCGGGCATCTTTTCTTTGCGGAGATTCGACGAGCAAGCCCATTTCGATAGGCTGAGATAAGAAACATGGTGATCAGCGGCTTTAGAGCGCTAACCCACTTGCATGTCACACGATAAACGGCTCCCATTTGAGGTAGATCATATTGAACTACAGCAGCTGTTGCCGTCACGGCCACCGCCAATCCGATGGCGAAGACAGGAACAAGCAGCTGAAATGCGATTTTGAGTGTTCAACAAGGAAGATGCAACATTTGACGAGATGATTTTTACCTGAAGCAGCATAATTCTGTTGATTTGATGCTCTAGATGATGGAGTTTTGATTTTGGGTTGGCTTTGGAATGCTCCTTAAGTTTTCGGCGAATGCTTACATACGACCAGGTTACCGCCAAGAAACCAATGAAAAATGTGCATTGAAGGACAATATGGTTGAAATATGCCGTGAAGCCGGACTTAAATTACAATAACATGGTTACAAAAGAGTACGGAATTCAAAGGTTTAGTATGAAACTTACTGTAGGGTTATATGCAAATATTGTATCCAAATCCGCAAATCGCTCGATTTCATACAGCGTCAGAGTGATGTTTGCTTCCAGCGGTGTCCTATGAGAAGGCCCAACGGGTCCAACAGCCCAATAAACCGGAATAGAAACAAACAGGGACAGCAGAAGCAAAAAAGTGACCACTCCGTAAAGCGTCTTGTTGGTCATTGTTCGATTTCTAAGCCAATTTCGTATTCCACAACTATTGCGCTTACCTGCAGACGGTGATGTAGCGGTAATAAAAGTCTACGGGAGTTATCAACATTTCGATCAGCACTGTATGATAAAACGTTCCTAGGAAGAACGCCCACCAGTATCGGTTGTTAATGTGGCGGAGAAACCCAGTGGGGACTAGATAAAAGTATCCGCGGTATGAGACGGGTTCCTGAACAGCTATCGCATCGATTTCAACGGAAACGTCTTACCACACTCGTCGAAAAGTTGACAACACAATAATACAGGTCGACATAGGCGTGAATTCGGAGCAGTCTTGCGTAGCCGGCCATTTGCGGCACCGTATAATGTTTGATCAGGTAGAGCAACAAGAAATTGGATAGAAAGGCGATAAGAAACGCAATCGCATCATTTATTGTATATATTACGGAGTTTTGCATCACTGGTCGGCAAAATTATTCCAACTAATAAACAAGATTATACACTTTTAATAATGTATGGATCAAATGCTTTGCTGGTCACTAGTTTCGCTGAAAGTAGGATAAAGGTAGGCAATGCTACGATGAGAAGACGCTTAACGTCAAAGAACTGAAAACCCCTATTAATCTGTGACCCCAGTCGAAGAAGAAAATCAAATCTTACAACAATCAACGATCACAAAATTGCATACCTGTCTAAAATTGTGTAAACCTTTGGGATTCTGGGCCCAGCGGTTCCCGATAGAGGAAATAAAATTCTGTCGACCAGTTGGCTCGTAGAATAACAAACAAGGTCACGCGGGTCTCCTTAAACGGCGTCCACTTTGATAATAATTGGCAGTGTAAATGAATTATGTACATGGTGAAACCAGCAGATTGTCATATGTGTTTTCAAAGTCGGTGGTTTTTGTGTTTAGGTGAAATGTGTCCTAAAGTCAAAAAATGGATCTTGTAGTCATTTCTCGGACACAAAGATCGCTCAACAAGAACTCTCGATTTTTACGGGAAAATTAGAGATTGGGCAAACCTTATCCACGAGAAAATTTAAACGATGTTGTATGTTCGCTGGGCGTACGTAGAACCACTCTCCCGCTCAGCGAAAACAAGCGTTTGAAAAGTCCTTTGCGGTATGCTGACACTATTGAAATGGTCATGATCGGTTTGAGAGCGCTGATCCATTTGGTGACTACCCGATTGATCGCTCCCATTTGCGGAAGACTTAATTGTATCACACCCGCTGTCCCTGTGATAATTACGGAGAGGCCAATGCCCAAGACCGGTAGCAGTAGCTGTAGTGGATTTAACAGTAGATTCTCAGTCTGTCGGGGAAATAATGTGGCATCGTCGTTCTTTGGATCATCAAAAGCAAGGGCTGGAAATGGCTCGAGAGTTTTGAGGCTTGCCGTTTTTGCAGCGCCAAAGCGACATTATTTTCCCGGCCGACTGGTATACATGAAGAATGTTGCAGTGGCAAAAAGTTTTGCACTAAAAACTAGGAGCTTACCTGCAACATCATAATTCGGTTAATCTGATTTTCGATATGATGAATACTGGATAAGGGATTAGCCCTTGAATGATTTTTTAATTTGCGTCTGATCTTCAGATATGACCAACTGATCACCAAAAGACCAATTGTAAAATTCAACTCGAGCGCGATTAGATTAAAGTATGCCATGAAGCCGCTCTGCAATACTATGATAAACAGCCGTGCAAAAAACCCACTGTTAGGTTATATGCAAAGATGGTGTGAAGATCGGCGAATCTCTCGATGTCATGCAATTTCACTGCCACATTAGCGTCAACCGGGGTCTCAGACGATGGGCCGAACCTTGCCACAAAAAGGTAGACAGGGAAGGAGTGAAGAAGGGTGAGCGTAAAGAGAAAGCCAATAAGTGAATAAAGCTGTCTGTTCGTCATTGTTTTGTTACTGCAAGTTTTAAGAATATAAGAGGTACCATATTTACCGACGGCAGAGCTGATTTTAAGCCCAAAATTTTTCTATTGTTTTTTTCCATTGGCCTCGCCCGCCTTGCTAAAAGTCACGTCAAGCCGAAACTGCTAAACCTCATGTACCAGGCCAATGTGATTTTTGGCCTTGTTTTCAAAGCGCCCGGGACCAAAAGTCATTTCCAGTCTTATGTCACGACTTCGCGTGCGAATTTGCATATTCCCACGGAATGACCGACAGATTGGTATAAAAAGAAGAGAAATCGCCCAATCAAGAAGTACAGGGTGGTCCAGCTAAGTTCGCGGATGTAAAATGCTTATAACTTTTTATAGGATTGTTCAATTTTTATGAGCAATAGCTCATTTTATTCCTTAGTAGTTGCCATTTTGTTTAAAAGAAAGATCATTAAAAACGATCAATCCTACGTCGAGTTATGACCCTTCAAAGTCAAACATGCTTTTTCACGTAAATTTTTAAAAAAATTTAATTTTCAAAAATTTTTGAATTGCGGTATCACCGCTCGCTGGTATCGGGAAATGATGGTGAACAGAGCGATCCCACCTATCCAAAATTGGCCTAATTTTGCCAGTTTTGTTTTTCAACAAGACGGCGCGCCACCTATAGCGGTCCGTCAACTCCTTGACCAGGTTTTTCCAGGTCGTTGGATGGGCCGGGGATCTGCGCGGCAACCAGCTCCAATTGCTTGGCCCCCGCGTTCACCTGATCTAACTCCGCTAGATTTCTCCATTTGGGGGTTCTTAAAACAGCGGATTTTCATCAGGGATTGGCGCCCAAAGACGTGGAATCGAAGCGCGTAATCGAAGAGGTGGAACGAGTTCGCCAGGATGAACAAATGAGGCGCCAAATTATGGAAGAATACCAAAGACTGGCAAAATTGGGCCAATTTTGCATAGCTGGGATCGCTCTGTTCACCATCATTTCCCGGTAACAGCGAGCGGTGACACCGCAATTCAAAAATTTTTAAAAATTAAATTTTTTTAAAAATTTACGTGAAAAAGCATGTTTGACTTTGAAGGGTCATAACTCGACGTAGGATTGATCGTTTTTAACGATCTTTTTTTTAAGCAAAATGGCAACTACTAAGGAATAAAATGAGCTATTGCTCATAAAAATTGAACAATCCTATAAAAAGTTATAAGCATTTTACATCCGCGAACTTAGCTGGACCACCCTGTATTATTTCGTGTCTCTCTTTCCCGCTTATGCGGTTGTATGTTGTTTGGAGCAATAAACCGTCTATTTCTACTGTTGTCTATTATTTGTCTATGGTCAACTCTTGTTTTGGTGGAGTCAATTGTTGTGAGTTTATTATTGAAGTTGTTGCCTAGGGCATAGTTGGTCGTTTCCTGAGTTTGTACAGGGTGCGCCAATAAAATCTGGACAAAACTAAATTCCATATAGCCCTTTCGGATGGCCTGAGAACGGAAACTTTTACCACTTTTAGAAAGGGTAACAACAGTGCTATACAGCAACGGTAATAACCAGGTCGATGCCTATTGCAAGGCTGAAAAAAATAATCAAAAGTTTTTGGAGGTGCAGAAATTTTTTTTCCAGATGATGACTGGGATATTGATTCTTCCATTATTTCTGCTAACAGTCACTGACGTTCTTCAAATTGATTGTATATAAAGTACGTGCTGTTGTCTTTGTAACAGCCTACGGAACCAGGGTTGGCGGCCGATCTGACGGCGCTGGTGGCGGAAACAAAAAAATACCCAAAAATTTGGATTTTTGTGTTTTTAAAGATCTCAACGCCAGATTATAGCTCGTGTTGCTCCAAAATTTCGTGATTACAGAGCGTATACATAGCCAATTGTTATACAGGGTGTTTCAAGAAATTTGGAACAAATGATTTGCTTATATCTTTGTGTTCTTTGCAGCTATCAACGAATTTCTTTTTGCTTCTAAAAATTGACAGCGTGCGTTTTTAGAATCTCAAAAAAATTTGTTTTTCGTCGGCGGAGGGCCCATTTCTCGGCGGAGAAAATTAGGGCCTTTTTTAAAAATCACAGCGTATTACGTGGCGGAAACGCCGTTGCACCGGCTGAAATCAAGTTTACGTTACACCTCCGTCGATTTTACGGTATGCATTTTTTTGTTTTCGATTTTACGCGCACCGCGGAGGCGCGGCGGAGACTTCAGATTTCGGCGGACGTTGTTTCGGGCCTTCAGATGTTGCAATTCATGTTGGAAAAGAGGTTGGGGTGATTTTTTGTTGTCATCCGATGCACAGATGGCAAAAATTTCGTGCTTTTTTCCCCGGCGGAGGATTCGGCGGAGGCTTTATCAAAGGGTCAAAGCAGTCTTACGAGTCCGGGAAAAATCTCAGCTACAAGAATCCATCAGAGCAGCATTGCCTTTCAAAGATTTTTGATTTTTTTGGTCCGGCGGACAAATCGGCGGAGTTTTGTTTTTACCCTTTGATAAAGCCTCCGCCGACTCCTCCGCCGGGGATAAAAAGCACGAAATTTTTGCCATCTGTGCATCGGATGACAACAAAAAATCACCCCAACCTCTTTTCCAACATGAATTGCAACATCTGAAGGCCCGAAACAACGTCCGCCGAAATCTGAAGTCTCCGCCGCGCCTCCGCGGTGCGCGTAAAATCGAAAACAAAAAAATGCATACCGTAAAATCGACGGAGGTGTAACGTAAACTTGATTTCAGCCGGTGCAACGGCGTTTCCGCCACGTAATACGCTGTGATTTTTAAAAAAGGCCCTAATTTTCTCCGCCGAGAAATGGGCCCTCCGCCGACGAAAAACAAATTTTTTTGAGATTCTAAAAACGCACGCTGTCAATTTTTAGAAGCAAAAAGAAATTCGTTGATAGCTGCAAATAACACAAAGATATAAGCAAATCATTTGTTCCAAATTTCTTGAAACACCCTGTAGTGTAAAAGAAAATCCGCACATACAAGGGGACCGTTTTTTCATAAATAAAAGTTCATGGGGGGAATTCAAGGCACGGTCATTCGGAACTTGAAACGTTTTGGCAGTTTGCAACAAGTATGAAAGGCCTTGAGCGTAAAAATCAACATAGAGTTGTATACTGGATACATGCTGATGTATCCAAATCACTTTTAGAAATATCTAGTCCAAGCTCACTCGAATAGCGAGGATATAGTAAATTATGCCCCTACAGCCACTATTTCATCCCCAGAGGCAGCAGATAGAAAAATCCTTTTTGAAAGGCGACTATGCTGACTCTGGTTATCCTTGCAAAAGTAGTTCTGATGCTTAACATGTTTGGAATCACACAGGGAAACTTCTACATAAAAATCTTTGATTTAACGGAAGTTCTCGGGAAAAAGGGCCCGTTTTTAAGCCAACTTTGGCGAGCTGTAAAAAGCCTAATTGTCATAATGAGGCAAAATCAATTTCAGTGTATAAAAACCGAACGGAGCTCTATTAGAAAAAGTAAATTTCAGTCCATAGCATAAAACGGTAAAGATAGCGCAACCATTTTTTGACCAATTTGGGGTCCGTGTTTCAGGCGCCTTAGTTGTATGCACTTATAATGGCAAAACAAGTGTCGTAGACGATTATTTTGTCTGAAACTTTAAAGATAGCTTCTTGGACGTATTACACGTATCCACAATCGCCCACTTTGTTCTCGTACTGTTACAGCCCGCAGGGCAAGCAAAAACATTAGTCCAGATTTTATTGGCGCACCCTGTATAGTCATTTTGTTTATTTAGTATTATTTGGGCTTGGGATCCGAAATCAGAACTAGAATAGAGACCCCTTATACACGTGCTCTTGCTGAACTCGAGACACTTACCGACAGATATCCCGATATCGGTAATAAAAATCCACCGGGCTGATCGACATCTCCGCCAGGATCGAATTGTAATAAACCGCAAAAAAGAAAATCCACCAGTGTCGATTGTCGACGTGTCGAAGAAATCCCGTTGGAACAAGATAAAAATAGCCGCCATAGGGGAAGGGCTCCTAAACATGTATGTATATATCACTGAACAGCATCTGAAACCTACCACGCTGGTTGCCACGTTGACAATGCAATAGTAAAGGTCGATAAAAGCGTGGATCTTCAGAAGTCTCGCATACCCAGCCATCTCATGTGGAGTTTTGTGCTTTATAAGGTAAAGGAGTAGAAGATTTGACAAAAATGCGATTGAAAATGCCACAACGTCATTTATGGCAAATAGCACTGGACTTTCCATAGCCTTCTATTTCCCAAAATGGCCAAATTTCAAATACTTATGGCCTTAAGTTACATTTCCCGTATTTTTTACGAATACACGTTGCGTTCCCATTTTGAAAGCAATTTAATTACTCTGTTAATGTAATAACGACTGCTGCTTGGTGTTAAATATAAATTTTATTAAAATACTCGTTTAGTCGTGTATCGGAAGTACTTATATAGCGTCAGCGTTTTTATGGGTTCTAACATTTGTTAGAGCCAAATAGCCGTTGTTATTTTAGCCTTCCAATATAAATTTTATTATTATGTATACATATACATATAAACCAGTATATTCCGGATGGTTTACAGCTTGCTGACAGCTTTAACCTCTTTCATAAGTTTGCCAATAGTTTCGTGATGGAAAGGTAAGACTTGATGCTCATTCAGCGGACTCTGCTGTGCCCATTTGTACAGATTCTCGTATGCGTGGCCATCTCTCGAGCCAATCTGGGAATTGAGAAGTCGATCGGGGAAGTCGAACGAGTCAACGATGTTGACGGCATTCGGTCGAATACGTTGAAGGGCTTCCAATAAGCTCTCATGGACCTCTTCAAGGACTCGAGAGGTGACATAGTTGTCCTGAAATTACCTCAATTTTAAGTGGGGGATATAGGCTTACCTCCAACAAGTCGGCTCGGCAATCGAGAAGTTCGTAGTTCAAATACAAGTCGAGACAGTCTTCAAACACAAACCTAACGTTCATGTCGGAAATCTGAGCAACACTTTCGATGAAAGAGTCAGCCAAATAGACTCTGGTGAACGCTTTAGCCGCCTAAAAGAATAGACCAGTTTTTCATCGTATGATATGTCAATGAGATGACAAAAAATGGTACCTTGGAAAGAGAGACGGACGCGTTATTCCACGCAACTTCATGATTATTCTTCTTAGACTCCTCATTTAAAATATTGAAGGCCTTAAACGTGAGTCTTCTACTCAAATGCTCGAAGGCCGCCTTGATCTCGTACCACCTTTGTTGCCGACTTTGGTTCAAACTGTAGCTGCAGTGATCTCGGGACCGCACAAACAAGTGCTCGGCCATCTTAGCCAGACCTTTCGGCTTCTTGCCCGTCAACGACTCCTTGGCTCGTTTCATCAAGTACCGAGCAAGCTGGAGAAGCATGACCAAGTTGTCGCCTTCATAAGTGCAACCGCCCACCACTAGCGTGTAGATAAGTGGAATACCACTGCCGTTCGAGTAGCCGTGACCGCCGCAGGCGAGACGGCACTGTTCGACTCCTTGAGAGGCTTGATATGAGGACACTGCCTTTAGTCCACTGGTAAGAGCATGAACGTCTTCCATTAGAGACGCCTAAATTTTATTTTATTTTTTTTAATTTTTTTTTGCATTTGTCGGATCATAACATATATTTTCATATGTTACAGGAAACAGCGAATACCGTAACTTACATCACCATTCTTTAGGTCCTCGCACATTTTGAAATAGAGCTCAGTAACTCGATCACCAGCCAAAAAGAAACAAATTGCTCGGGCAATCTGTGGAAACAGCCGATATTGTTGTGTTCGGTACTCAATAATCTTCACTTCGCCTTTTCTGAAAATGATGACTACCTTAAAAAGTCAAAGACTTTTTACCCAGGCTCAATCTCTCCTTGCCGCCGAACACACGAATATCTCGTTGCAATAGTTGCCGCCGACGCCAGCGCCTCTCCCATCGATTCTTTTGTCATCACCGACCGAACAAACATCATTCCCACATACGCCACTCTTGGATGCACTCCTTGAACGTAGGTTCCATCGGGCTTCACTTGAAAATGCTTTGCCAGCATCGCCGTTTTGGGGACCCGAACGTTGTCCAGCGCCAAATAGCCGTTGTCATTGGCGACTGCACCAAAGTTTGTTCCAGTCTCGCCGACTGTAATGCCAGGAAGTGGTAGGTGCGTGTTTTCGTCTCTAATTTGAATGTAGAACGGGTGCATTCCATGATTTTTGCCGTTCGTGATCAGACTCGCCATCACAACACACCACGAAGCGATTTTTCCCAAATTCCCGGGCCACCATTTGTACGACTGCAGGTTTGGTGTGTTCAGTACAAACGTTTGGGTGGCTGGGTCAAAAGTTGCGGTTGTTCCGAGAGCCTTGGTGTTTGTTCCTAAAAGAATGAATATTGGTCGATAAAAAAGCACAATTACCATGGCCAAGTTCCGTCTGCGCATAGGCCGAATAATGCTCGTAACGGCGGGCAGGCTCCAAAAACAGCTTGCGTTGCTCTTCGTCGCAGCAATTCTCGAGCAACGGGATGACAATTACATCGGCGAGACCGCCGGGTGCGCCGTTCACGCCAACAGTCAGCCTGAAAGAAGTGTTGCTTTGAAATATCGCAGAGCATTTTGCACAATGAATACAGGGTGGGCCACTCGAAACGGGTAAGTTTTTTCTTTGAATTTCTCCGCGGAGACTAAGCCGATTTTCCCGAAATTTAGATTTTTCTGTAGCTGAGACCCGCCATTTTTAACCGGTTGAATTTGAAAAAAATATATTTTGAATTGACCTTTCTGTGCCTTCCCAAAGTTTTGAAGAATTATTTTCGAGCCGAAACCGCTAAAACTTTGAAAATTTTTGGAATGATTTTCAATTGACTTTCTCGGACTTGGAAAATTTTTGGCTTTTTTTGGTAAAATCGGGAAGTAAAAAGTTGCGTATGCTCTCTCTAAACCTGTTTAAGGAAAATTGAAAGCAAAAATAGTGTTGTTTGTATTACCGATAGGGTACGAACTTTCAAAAAAAAACCAATTTTTCAACGAGATTGCAAAAGTCTACACAATTGGCAACGAGCCCCAGCTCCAAGTCATTGAAGCTTGGAGCCCAGCCCGATTAAAGATAGACGATGTTCACGATCTGCAATTCGAGCTGTTCACGACTCTCATGACTCTCAAAGCTCCTACAAGTTTGTGCTGCGAGAGGAAATGGGCATTTCGAACTCAGATAGAAATATTAATAAACAGGTCGTTAAATAAAATTGTTTTTACGACAATATTTTATGGTTATCTGAAGTAAAACTTAGAAAATTTCATCCAAAAACTCGAAAAAATGACCACGTTTTCGAAATCATTCCAAAAATTTTCCAAGTTTTAGCGGTTTCGGCCCGAAAATAATTCTTCGAAACTTTGGGAAGGCATAGAAAGGTCAATTCAAAATATATTTTTTTCAAATTCAACCGGTTAAAAATGGCGGGTCTCAGCTACAGAAAAATCTAAATTTCGGGAAAATCGGCGGAGTCTCCGCGGAGAAATCCAAAGAAAAAACTTACCCGTTTCGAGTGGCCCACCCTGTACATTAAAATCTATCAAAAACAAACACTTTTAAGTATCCTAAGGCTCAATTCTAGGGCAAAAAGGAGTTCGCTCCAACAAGACCCGTCTATACAAAAAATAAAAATTTTTGGTATCTTGCCGTTCGTTTTATAGAGGTCTGAAGGCAGCAGTCTGTCGGAAAAAATAATGAGGAATAATGTCGCTGCGCCCAGTGTATCGCTGAGGCGAAAAGAAATTTGATTTTACCGCAAAATTATTCATTTTCTCGGCGGCGCTTTTCGATGCAACAGAGTGCTCATTATTTTCCCGACAGACTGATATAAGAATCTTTGCCCATCTTTCAATGTTATTTACCATTCCTTGCGTACAATGTTTTGGCAATAAATAACTTACGCTTTGTAATACTCCCATCCCTCTCGGTTGCTTCGCTGTACGACTTGGTCTTGGTATTTTTTCGCGACCACGTGTCTTTTGAACGCCCTCTCCACCCAATCAATCTTGGCGCCGTACGAGGTGTCGGTGCTCAGGTTCTTCAGTTCGGGCGTGTTTTCCACAAACCGCTCGATTCTCTTCCGATCCGCGAACTTTTCGTGTCCGCCGCGAAGAACGGCGGCGAATTCGTTGGTGTCGAACTGACAGCCCTTCCGTTCGGCGGTTAGGTCGGGATTGTCGGTGGGATCAATGTATCTATTTGGCATCTTGAACTGAAAATTTCGTGGTTTGGATCGCAATATTAGTCTGTCGGGAAAATAATGAGTATTCTGTCGCATCGAAAATCGCATCGCCGCTGAGAGAGTGAATTGTGTCGCGGCAAAATCAAATTTCTTTTCACTTCAGCGACGTGATCCGAGAAGCGGGAAAATGCTCATTATTTTCCCGACAGATTGACGTAATACAAGAAATTTTTTAAAAAATTGCAAATATAGGGACAGCCGCTTTTGAACCGAGCTTTTTGCGGCGTGGTAAACGAAATGTCAAAAAAAAACTTCGATTATTACAACACAGACAAGGAAGTTCCTTTTTAACTTTTTTTGGGGCAATTTATAAAACTTTGCAAATCATAAAAAGCGCGATTTAAAAGCGGTTGTACTCTTAATGAGACCATAAAACAAATTGTGGGTTAAAACGCCCGCTTCGCAAGTGAAATCACGTTATAAAACGACCCACCATCAAGTCAGTGCGCTAGGCTATTTTTAGTTTATAAAAAACAGCATTTCTTTATTGTTGATCTAATAAAGTTAGCAAAAAAAATTACTATCAGTCTGTCAGGAAAATAATGAGCACAATGTCGCTGCAACAATCGCGTCACTGAAGTTATAAGGACATTGATTTTTTCCGCGATACAATTCATTTTCTCGGCGGCGATGCGATTTTCGGTGCGACAAAGTGCTCATTATTTTCTCGACAGACTGATATAAACAGACACTATCAACAAACTTCAAAAGTAACAAGTTTAATCACCAAAAGCGACACTTATTTTCGCGCTCTAAAAGCTCTTCATTCTTTCGCTTAAAGATCAACCTTCAATTTATCAATTTCAATAAACAACTCCACTCCAATTACCCAGAAAACTCTCAATTACCAAGAAAATTGGGAGTAAGAACAGATCGCTTTCAGAATATTTATACGAACAGCTTCAACGGGTTAAACGGACACTCATAAAGCTCGGGTTTCTCGCGACTACAAGATTGGTAGTATCTCGTTTATGCTCTGTTTCCTCCGAGGGCGGGTGGGATACTCTGCACAAAATTCGCAATTCAACGTGTGATTTGTGCATTCGGCCGCGTTTTGATGGAAAATTTGGCGTGTGGTGTTAGCGTGGCTTACATGCGTTTTTCGAGAGAGCAAAACATATTTTTGAGCTGACGCGTTTTTATGAAGGAACTGCGCGCTACAATAAATGGAGTCATCGAGCTGCTGTGCTAAAATTTTTAAAAGTCTCTACATTTAGAATAATCCGGTAAGATATATCGGGTTTTTAAGAGTTGAGATTTTAATTTTTTTATTAAAATTTAGTACAGCTCTGTATAAATCTATCAGTCTGTCGGGAAAATAATGAGCACTCTGTCGCATTGAAAATCGCATCACAATCGGGAAAATAGGTGTCGGGAAAAAATATAATTGCTTTTCACTTCAGCGTTGCAATTGGCGCAGCGACATTGCGCTCATTTTTTCTCGAGATGATGATAGTCAAGACCTTTTCTTGTTGTGTTGAAAACAACTAGATAATTCGCTAATTTTTTTATGAATATGAGTTCACTATCAATCTTCAGATACAACGTTGTAAACGAATGTAAAGACAACTAGAGAGATTATTAACCCTTTGTCTGAAAGTTTGACAATTTTTTATTACATATCACAGCAAAAATACACAGATGTATTATCATAGTTTGCTGCCGGCTCTAGCCTCCTTCATTAGTTTCCCAATTGTCTCATGATGAAACGGCAGGACGTCATACTTATTTAGCGGGCTTCTCCTTGCCCATTCATACAAATTCTCGTACGCATGGCCATCCCTCGTTCCTATCTGCGATCCCAGTTGTCTGTCCGAAAAGTCGAACGAGTCCACAACATTCACAGCATTCGGTCGCAGCCGTTGCAGACTCTCCAGAAAAGCGACCTGTGCGTCGACGAGGAGTTGTTCAGTCACAAAGTGGTCCTAGAACAACAAAAATTGCGGCACAGTTAAGCCTTGCCTACCTCTAGCAGGTCTGCGCGGCATTCCAGCAATTCATAGTGCAAGTACAAGTCCAAGCAGTCTTCGAAGACCTCTTTGACACTTTGGTCTGCAATTTGCGACACTCGGTTGACGAACGTCTCGGCCAGGAACACTCGAGTAAACGCTTTAGCTGCCTAAATGGAGAATTTTCGTTTGAAAATCCACTTTGGCCTCACCTTGCACAACTCAACTGACCTATTATTCCAAGCCACCTCACTGGAATGCCCTTGTTGGACTTCTTTATTTAACAAGTCAAATGCCTTCATTGTCAGTCGCCGACTTAGGTGTTCAAATGCCAGCTTAATCTCCGTCCATCTTTGAGCTCTAGTTTCATTCACGCTGTACTTGCTGTGGTCCCTTGCTATCACGGACAAATGTTCTGCCATACTCGCCAGCTGCCTTGGCCGCTTGCCTAGAAACACTTCCTTGGCTCGTTTCGTCAAGTAGCGGGCTAGCTGGAGAAGCATCACCAAATTGTCGCCTTCGTACGTGCAGGCGGCGACGGTGTTTGCGTAGATCGAAGGGAGTCCACTGCCCTGCGAGTAGCCGTGGCCACCGCAAGCCAGACGGCATTGCTCGATGCCTTGTGCTGCTTGGAAGGAGCAAACTGCTTTTAAGCCGCTAGTAATTGCATGCACGTCGTCCATCAAGGAGGCCTAGAATTTTAAAGGCTCAAAAATGAGGTATGCATACTAGTCTGTCGGGGAAATAATGAGCACGATGTCGCTGCGCCGATATCTTTGCTGAATTAAAAAGCAATTTGATCTTGCCGCGACACAATTCATCTTCTCGACGGCAATGTGATTTCCGAGACCTCAATATTTTCCCGACAAGCAGCTAGTAAGCCCAATTCAACGTACATTTCCTTTCTCCAGTTCCTCGCACATTTGAAAGTAAAGCTCGCTTGCCCGATGACCGGCAAAGATGATGCAAATCGCTCGGCAGATCTGCGGGAATAATCGATACTGTTGAGTTCGATACTCAATGATCTTAACCTCGCCTTTTCTAAAACAATAGTCTTTGCTGATCAAGCGATACATGTCAGTCTGACGGGAAAATAATGAGCACTCTGTCGCATTGAAAAGTGCAGAGAAAATGAATTGTTTCGCGACAAAATGAAATTACTTTTCAGTTTTAGCAACACGATGGGCGCAGCGACATTGTGCTCATTATTTTCCCGACAGACTGATAATATGTGTATGTACAATAGCTACACCTACCCTGTTTCAATCTCTCCTTGTCGTCGAACACAAGAGTACCGGGTCGCAATGCACGCTGCCATTGCCAGCGTCTCTCCAAGCGCATCTTTGATCATCCAAGCCCGCACCGACATCATTCCAACATACGCTACTCTTGGATGCACTCCGTGAACATAAGTGCCGTCTGCAGTCACATCGAAGTGTTTGGCGAGCAATGCAATCTTTGGCACTCTGACGTTGTCCAAGGCTAGATAGCCGTTGTCGTTGGCGGCCAATCCAAAGTTGGAGCCGATTTCGCCGACAGTAATCCCAGGCAGAGGCTGGTGTGTACTTTCGTCTCTGATTTGAATGTAAAACGGATGCATTCCGTAATTTCGTCCTTTTACAATGAGATTTGCCATAACAATACACCACGACGCGACTTTTGCAAGATTTCCCGGCCACCATTTGTAGGATTGCAGGTCGGGTGTGTTGATGACAAAGGTTTGAGTGGCTTGGTCAAATGTTGCGCTCGTTCCCAGCGCTTTAGTGTTTGTCCCTGGAAAAGTGAATCTAGCCATGAAATTAGTCTGTCGGAAAAATAATAAGTGCAATATCGTTGGGCGCATCGCATCGCCGAAGTGAAAGCGATTCGATTTTGTCGCGACACAGTTTATCTCCTCGACGGCGAGCCGATTTTCGTTGCAACATTGCGCTCATTATTTTCCCGACGGACTAGTATAAATTTTTACCATGGCCCAGTTCGGTCTGAGCGTACGCTGAATAGTGTTCAAATCGGCTGGCCGGTTCATAAAACAATTTTCGCTGCTCTTCATTACAGCATGCATCCAACATTGGGATAACAATGCGATCGGATAGGACACCAGGCCCTTTGTTATAACCAACGGTCAACCTGAAAAAATTGAGTTTTTACAGTGGGGGGCCTGATCCAGTGGCAAAAAACGTACCATTTTGCATCCGGGAAGTGTCAAAAATGTGGCAAAATGCTTCCCCTTCAAGTGAAAAAACTACGATTTCAAAAGCGAGCCCGCTATTTTTTGTAAGGGAAATGCTGCGCCCTTCAAAACGAATTTTTTCACTTGAAGAGTGAGGTGTTTTGCCACATTTTTGATCCTTCCTGGATGCAAAATGGTATGTTTTTTGCCACTGGATCAGGTCACCCACTGTAATTACATCAATCACAGTCAAAAAATGGCAAAGGACCAAAAAAAAACTTTATTCGTTGTAGAGAGGTTTGTTGTACGGAGAATCAACTTTGCCTTTCAGTCTGTCCGAAAAACAATGAACACTTTCTTGCATCGAAAATCGCTTCGCCGCCGCACAGCATTCTGAGGTTTTTTGCCGCCACCGATCGGTGCCGATTTTCGCTCAAAATGACAACAGGGCTGCGCGCCTCGGCTGATAACTAGCTAGCCCAAAAATGAAAAAGAGTAGAAATTGATTTCCAGATAGAGTAAAAAAAGACCTATCCAATGATATAAATAGGTCCTATTGACTTTCTCCCCACAACGATCTTTTTCGCCTACAAAATTACAAATTTTTTTTGTCTATTCATGGATAAATGCACTTTATGAGGGCATAATTGAAAAAAAATGGTACCACTCGATTGCAAATAGCCTCTTCTATGACATATCCAACAATAAGGGAAATTCTGGCCCTTAGGGCACTACAAAATCCAAAAAAATAGCGTATTTTACGTGTTTTTGCATATTTTTCGGGATTTTTTGCACCGGATGCACAAAAATGAAAAATCGGCTGTTATAGCGTTGTAGTGCACACTCGATTACATATATCTGCCAAATTTCACATTTTCATCTTTACTCCACTTTGTGTTCTGAGCCGGTTTAGGTGTTAAGGCAACATCGCTGCATAGGGCAATGCCGGATGCCGATTTAAAAAAAATTTTCTGTCTTTTCAGTCGTATTGACTTTGAACGTCATGTATATAACGTAAATTTAAGTAAAATCGCATATGTGCAACGTGTTACGGGACGTCGCTGCATCCGGATTCCATAGCTTTTTCTAGCCAAATAAACGTCGGAGCATATTCTGGCAGGTCTGCTGTCACCTAAATACTAGTCCTGAAACAAAAATTCCCTTATTTTCGTCATGTTGAACTCAAACATGTTGGTGTCATTAAGTTGAATTTATGAAAGGGTATTTTGTCATCTGGAGCAAAAATCAGTATCTAATATTGATATGAACGTAATATGTCTCAAAAATGAAAAAAAAATTTAAAATCGGCATCCGGCATTGCCCTATGCAGCGATGTTGCCTTAACACCTAAACCGGCTCAGAACACAAAGTGGAGTAAAGATGAAAATGTGAAATTTGGCAGATATATGTAATCGAGTGTGCACTACAACGCTATGACAGCCGATTTTTCATTTTTGTGCATCCGGTGCAAAAAATCCCGAAAAATATGCAAAAACACGTAAAATACGCTATTTTTTTGGATTTTGTAGTGCCCTAAGGGCCAGAATTTCCCTTATTGTTGGATATGTCATAGAAGAGGCTATTTGCAATCGAGTGGTACCATTTTTTTTCAATTATGCCCTCATAAAGTGCATTTATCCATGAATAAACAAAAAAAATTTGTAATTTTGTAGGCGAAAAAGATCGTTGTGGGGAGAAAGTCAATAGGACCTATTTATATCATTGGATAGGTCTTTTTTCACTCTATCTGGAAATCAATTTTTACTCTTTTTCATTTTTGGGCTAGCTAGTTATCAGCCGAGGCGCGCAGCCCTGTTGTCATTTTGAGCGAAAATCGGCACCGATCGGTGGCGGCAAAAAACCTCGGAATGCTGTGCGCCGAGAAAATGAACTGTGTTGCGACCAAATGAAATTGCTTTTCACTTCAGATCGGCGGAGCTCCGCGGAGCGGAAATGTGCTCATTATTTTCCCAACAGATGGATAAGATTAGTTTTAGAGAGTTGTTCGTTATAGACAGTTTTCTTTGTACTCCAATTTGTCAAGATTCTATATGCATATTAGAAACCTTTTGTAAAATTCATATGCAACTCTATCGCCTTCGGGGACAATTTGACTTTGAAATCTCCTGGCTACCGTATGGTTTCTGTACGCCTGTTCCATCCAGTCCATTTTCGAGCCATAGCTAACATCATTGCTCAAATTGCGTAGCTCGGGAGTATTCTCGACAAACGCAGCAATCTTTTTTCGCTGGTCAACCTTTTCCTTGCCGGAGTAGATCACCGCGGCAAACGCGTCTGTATCAAACGGGCAGTCTTGACGTTCGGTGGTCAAATCTGGATCATCAGACTCTTTGATGTACCTGTTTGGCATTATTCTCTGCAAATAGGGTTCGAGTTTACCAAACAATCTTTAATCATACTACTCGCGCTCAAAATTTCTGAAGCCTAGTGCGGATGGAGAGAAAAAAAATCGTTTCTTAGTGGCAAAAAACGCAGCATTTTGCACCCAAAAAGCATCAAGAAATGTGGCAAAATACCTCCCTCTGCAAGTGAAAAAAACTGAGGTTTCAAAAGCGCGCCCGCTTTTTTCGCGGGGAAAAATTGCGCGCCTTTCAAAACGAAGTTTCTTTTTCACTTGAAGAGGGAAACATTTTGTCGCATTTTTGATACTTCTCGGATGCAAAATGGTACGTTTTTTGCTGCTGGATCCGATCCCCCACTGTAGTCCGTTTGCAAAGTAGCTGGAGTGATTTGGGCGACATACAAAACGTAAAAAAAGTCAGCATACGTCCGACAGCCCAAAAAAAGCCAACACTTTTCTTTAAGCCTATTGCACTGTGAAAAAGCAAACTGCAAAGTGCAAAGTGAACTACTGTTTTCGCACAATCCATGTCGCAAAAATCACTTCATTGACTTGCGAACGGACTAACAAATTTTCCACAAAAAACGTCTGTACCTTTTTCAAAGGAAGGAACCGTATTTATAGATGCGTAAAAAATTCTAGACGCGAAAAAGATGTAAAGATCAAAAAACCACTGGGCACTTGGTTTGATCGTTGATGCTTTTTCCGTTTGCATCAACGGGAATGGTTTACGAAGGCTTTTGTTGTGATGCTTGGAGAAAGCAAGGTTAATGACCACCCATAAAGCCACAAACTTTGGCTGATTCCCAGGAAAAAGAAGTCAGGGAAATTCGCAGGAAACGCTTTGTCAAACAATTCTATGAAGTTATAGAGGAATAACAGTCTCTCGATAGATGATTGTTTTCGCGAACCTACAGCAATAAAAAAATTTTCTTCTCATAAGGTAGATGTCCCAAAGGTGACGGTCGATTTATATATAAATTTGGTGACTTATCGGGTGTAGGCCGCATCTCAATTCTTACAAATATTTGGTTGCGCTTTTCATTTACAACCGGGAAATTCAACGATATTTTTACTTTTAAGAGAGAGTAAAAAAACACGAAGAGGCGTCAGAGAAAAAAAACTTTTTGGCCACACCTCAAAAAAGCCTACTAGGCCTACGAGGAAGCCGCCGGACTGATTTTTATCGTTCGCACTGTGCAAGAAAACTTACGGCGCAAGCGACAGCAAAGCCCACTGCACGGTGCAAAAAACGAAAAATTGCACAGTGCAAAGTGAACTTTTTTTCTCTAACCGTGTACGTAAGAGTGAAGAAATAAGATCGCACCGGTCGTTACGGAGCAAAACTTTCATACGCTTTCCTCACTTTTTTTGAAAAAATAGAAGGGAAAGAATGAGGCCGACATGAGAAAAAAAGCTCGAGAAAGAAAATTTAGCATCTTTTTCAAAATCTGAAAATCGGTCTTATTTATCGCGAATGCCGCGAAAATAACTCCAGCGACAATGCGAACGGACAATATAATAAATAGTAAAGCCTGGCACACTTGCTAGAATAATTTGATCTAAAAACTGTGACAAGTCATCAAAATCGGAGCGCCGCTCTTCGAGGGCTTCTCCTTCGACAAAGCTTGGGTGGTATCAGTCGTTCCGAGAATCGTGTTAGCAATAAATATTAACAATAAATTCCACCGCTTTTTTATACCATACACCGGCGAACGGACACTCACTTCTCTGATTAATTGCGGTTTTGCAACCGCTACAATATTGGTAGGATAGCGTTTTGTTTTCTTAACCGGATCGAGGATTGGGATGCAAAATTGAAAGCAAATATGTTTACCAATCCGTTCGAAAAGTCGGTGGAGTGATTTTTGCGACAAGCACTGTACGAAAAAGTTTGCTCTGTGCTGTGCAATTTTGCTTTTCGCACCGTGCAATAGGCTTTTTTTTGGGGCTTTTATTTATTACCTTGTATTTTTCTGTGCAGCGCATTTTGCCGTGTGTCGAAAGGCCCGACAACCCAGTAACCAGACAAGACGAGAGCTCAAGAGTCATGTGATTTATTCAGTGGAAAGGAGGCCTTTTATAAGGAAGCCCAACGTAGTAAAGTGCAACCAAATTTGAATAAATGTGGATCATTTCTCGTGGGAAAATCGCTCGGTCGTTCTGCCTTAGACCGTGCATGTCGCCAAACACTCCAGCAACTTAGCGAACGGACTACAGTCTGTCCGAAAAATAATGAGCGCTCTGTCGCATCGAAAATCGCATTGCCGCCGAGAAAATGAATCATGTCTAGGCAAAATCAAATTGCTTTTCAATTCAGCAAAGATATCGGCGCAGTAACATTCTGTTCATAATTTTCCCGGCAGACTGATAGTAGCGTGATTATTCATTTTCACAGTGCGGGAGATAGCGCTCGAACACAAACAAAACAAAGTTGGTTTTGTGTTTATTAATGAAACCTAAGCCGCAATCACAGCATTTCTCTCAACATCTTTTGCCTCTGTCTTCTCAGCAACAACTGTTGGACTTGAGAATACGGAAGCCAGATATGTCAACGATCCCAGCGTTGCCAGTGTAACACCGAAGAAGTTGCACCAGTTGAAGTCGTAGTCTCCTGTGAACATTCCAGCGTAAGTGATGATTACGTTCTAAAAAAATGCTAAATAATGTTTGCGTTACTCACTTTGAACACACCAATAAACGCAGTACCCAAGGCTGAGTTGTATTTGGTGCATTGAAACATAAAATAGCCAAGGAATAAGCCGGAGATCAGAGATAGCAAGATTAGAACTGCTAATGTCACCCGATTTGGATTCAACTGGAAGAAAATCCAAGTCTAAAGTATGTAATATGTAGGCAATATTGATAAACCGGCTACTTACAAATTCAAGTTCATTTTGGCTCGAACACAGAAAGAATAAGACGGGCGTTGTCAGCAAATTATTGTAAAACATCACATCGGTTGTGGACATGAACTAAAATTACCCTTGATAAATGCAAGGACTTTAAAACACTTGCATCTTTGTTGAAAACATGTTTCACATACACCCCATTCAATGCCGTGGCTGTGTTGTTAATCGTAACATAAAGATACCCCATCAAATTAAAGTTTAGATCAAAGCTGAAATCAATTTTACAAGGAAAGTACTTTTATGGGGGCTCCTACTTTTTGACGGGACATATCTCAAAAAATCAGAAAAAATTTGCTGATCAAGGACATATAAATCTTAGCTGCCCATTTTGGGTTTTTATGGGTGAAAATGCCCAAAAACTGTCTTAATTTCCCTACAAAAGGCGCAGGCATTCGAAACGATAAAAAGCGCAGTCGGTCTCTTCCTTCGGAAGAGAGCGGTGTGACCGAGTGGTTAGTGCCGTAGTCTGGGAATCAAGAGGGAGGACGCCGCACGGGTTCGATTTCCCTTTTGGACTGAATCAACTTTTTTTGAAGTTGAAGGTCGGAAAAATAAATTTTTGGGCCAAGACTGATTTATTACGTCTTAGAAACTCAATAAACATCATTTTAAGCCAAAATAAAAATTGTAAACCCGTGAAAAATTAAGCGAAAAGGGGTTCATATAGGACTTTAAGTCAACTTCCGATTGCGTTTTCATCCCTAAAAACCTAAAATGGGCAGCTAAGATTTATATATCCTTAATCAGCACATTTTTTCTGATTTTTTGAGATATGTCCCGTCAAAAAGTAGGAGCCCCCATAAAAGTACTTTCCTTGTTAAAAAACTAGATTTAGAAGATAATTTGCTTACCATGCAGCCAAGACTGCGCCCAACACAATAATTCCGACACTTATGACTGTATTTTTCTTTGGTGTTACACTGAAAGTACGTACTTCATTATGCAGGCAAAGGCAATCTCACCGCAGAAAGACAAACTCTAAGATCATCGTGACGAACACAGTGGAATGTCTGAGGCTGGTAAACATTGGCAGAGTAAGGTATTTTGTACTTCCCAGGCCGAACGTCAGGTTGAACAAAAAAAGGACAACCAGTGGAGAGATCTAAACTTAACAGGTATCAGTCCGTCGGGAAAACTGTGGCGGCCGTTGCGCTTTGGAATCGTCCGAGCCGAAAGCATCTTGCTGCAACGATCCGCCACTATTTTCCCGACAAATTTTAGAGTCTAGTCCATTTGCAAAGTCACTGGAGTGACTTCAACGACAAGCACAGTGAGAAAACAAAAGTTCGCTTTGCACTGAACAATAGGCTTTTTGGGTTCCCGCATCCTGCCTCCTTATGAACAGTGCAAATGCGAAAAAATCACTCAAAGATTTTGTGAACAAATTGGTAAAGAACATAATAATTCTTACCGCAATTAAGACATTTTTTGATGGTCGTTTTATCTCAAGCTTCCCAGCAATGTTCAACACGCAAAGTAGGGCCACTGTGAACACTGTTTGAAGAAGGGACAGCACCAAGAAAGAGGGAAATCTAAAAAAAAAATCCTGTTTTAACGTCTACTTTTCACATTTTTTCCATACGTCTTTTCTGTGGCTCTGTGCGATCTCCAACCAGAGATTTTTTATGTCGCGACTAGTACTACAACCCTGGTATAATTTTTTTCGATGGCTTCGAACCTCAGGGCACTTTCAGATTGCCAGATTTCCGCAGTACCGACTGCTGTGGCCCTCTCGGAAGCAAAGAATGGACCGTGCGCGGGGGCCACCGCACTGTTCGAAACACTTCGAAAGTCTTTTCCATGAACTACTCAAATACTAATAAACATTTTTTTGATACGCCTTCAACTAAAAAAACAGCGCTCGCCTTACCTGTACACACTGAGCACCAATTTGTTCACAAAGACAATGGAGAATGCAGTCACTCCGTACATGACCGCATAAATAGCCCCAAGATTTCTTGACGAAGACATTTTTTCCCGCTGCGCTTCTCGAAGTCCAGGACCACCGTCTTCGATTCACCTCGGAAAAAAAATTGAGTCTTGGATTTCCCCTTCAGGTGGATCAGCAGATCCTTATCAAGCCTTGCGGATTTCACTCGTTGACCTAATCCGCACAGTATTAATGGCGGCGATATTGTTGATTTTGTCTAACGACTTGAGACAATGAGCACCAGGGGAATTGACGAAGAGGAAAATGAAAATTTTATTTTCAATTCACCTTTATTGTCGCTGATTTGAGATTTCAAAATTTTCATTCATCATGTAATATTTATGCTGTCGCTGCGCCAGTGGCATTGTAATATCAGTCTGTCGGAAAAATAACGGCGGATCGTCGCAGCAAAATTTCTCGCCCCGCCGCTATCGCGCACCAAATCCCAAGCCGCGGCTTGCAGTCGAAAAGCGATGATGAGCGACTCCGAGGCGCGACGATCCGCCGTTTTTTTCCCGACAGACTGATAGCGTCGCTGAAGTGAAAAGCAGTTTCATTTTGCCGCGACAAAATTCATTTCCTCAGATTCGATTTTTGATGCGATAGTGTGCTCACTATTTTCCCGACAGGCTCATAATCACTCCTGCCAAAAAAGAGAACATGGAATGTGGAGGGCATGCAGAGAAATCGGCCGTTTGACCTTATCCCTACGGAAAAAATAGATTTTTTTGGAGAAACTTTGTTTTTTGTGATAAAAAAATTGATGCATAAGACTCGGAAGAAAATTTTGAACTTTCACAAACATCGGACGGAAAATTAGGTAGGTTTTTTGCAATGCGTGGGCAAGTAATTTCGCATAGGTTAAAAAAACTACAGTGGAGGACCTGATCCAATGGCAAAAAACATACCATTTTGCACCCGGGAAATATTAAAAATGTGGCAAAATACTTCCCTCTCAAAGTGAAAAACTTCGTTTTGAAGGGCGCGCCCTTTTTCCTCAAAAAAAGAGCGGGCGCGCTTTTGAAATAATCTCAGTTTTCTTCACTTGCAGAGGGAGGTATTTTGCCACATTTTTTGATGCTTCCTGGATGCAAAATGGTACGGTTTTTGTCACTGGATCAGGTGTCTCCCTGCACTCATTTCGAGATTCACACGTCGATATTCACAAAATTGTAAATAAAAAACTTGTTATTTCCTTTCAAAAATTCTTCGTTACGTCATTTCAACTCACGTTCTTTTTTTCAGCAAACGCAAAATCGAAGAATTGAGCCCAATCGAAGGGAAGGGGTTTCGAGGTCGCCGAAGGAGTAGGTAAAGATGCCAGCAAGCGGGCGTACAAGAATCTTTTTGCTATTTTCCCTATTTTCTATTGGACTGTTCTCCGAATGCTTTGCAAGGTAGGTGTTGTTGTCGTAGCAGCCGTATTATAATTGACTGATTGTGAAGGCTAATGCCATAGCGTTTTGAGAGTTTCGAGAATTTTCTGCAAGCTTTTACCTGCAAGTTTTTTTTCCAAGTGACCTTGCAATTGCAAGAGAGAGATAGGCGCGCAATAACAAAAGACAAGGGTTTGTTGCTGTTGGTTTATCGGATTTACAGGTGTCCTTTGCGTGAGTCGTTGGTTTTGAAAAACATAGAATGCCTGAAATCTTGTCAGTCTCAAGAATTACGGAGGAAAAGCGCCAAAATAGAAGGAAATTTTTTCCCGACCACTTTGGAGTTTCGTCCAAGCGAAGTGCCACGACTGAAACTAAATATTTTTCGGCCGAAAATCCTACGAATTTTTTTTTGTAACAAAGATTTGGTTTTCGAGAGAGCACACGAAATGAGGAGAGTGGGACGAGTACTCTGCCGGTAACATAAAAATCCAATTTTTCGTTGGATTTTTCGAATTTCGGATCGTTTAGGCGCTTCGGCCACACACTAAGCATGTTAGGTACCAACAACATTTTGGAAGAATTTTGGCCGACAAATTTGTAAAAAATCAACAAAAGTTTAGAGCCTTATTTTTTACCAGTTAGCATGCTTGTCTCGTCCAGCAACGAAAAAAGAGAGCCAGAGATTTCCCGAAACTTCTACTTATGAAACTCCACATTTAACCACAATAAATGTATCATTATGTCACATCTAAGTCCTCACGTATAGCTATTTATTTACAATCTCATTTTCAGTTTCATTGAAATCGACAAAGCCCTATCGGATGTGAACCAAAAGAACCGTGAGCTGAACGCAACAAAAGATGAACATGGGTTCTTCAGGTTTGTCTCCTCACTTTCTGGAGAGAGGACTCTCCGATATCACAAGTTGAATCCGTCTACTGGCGCTGTGTACATGAGCAATTCGTCGTTTGACTATGCAAATCACAACGATCCGTGGCATTATTCGGTGAACCAGTTTGGGGATACGTACCGAACAACCGCTTTGTTGGACTTTTTCATGGCGATGAACCCGATTTACGCGTTTAAGGAGGTGTCATACCTGCATTTCCTGTTAAATATCTGACTGTGAGAAAACAGGGTTGTGTGGGAAATTTTTAAACAAATTTTAGCTTTGTATGAAAATGATTTTCAATATTTGTTATTTATACCCTAAAATGTGATTACCTGAACTTGGAACGCTATTTACCAGTCTGTCGGGAAAATAATGAGTAATCTGTTACATCGAAAATCGCATCGCCGCCGAGAAAATAAATTACGTCGCGGCAAAACCAAATTGCTTTTCACTTCAGCGATCGGCACAGCGAAATCTCGCTCATTATTTTCCCGACAGACTGATACGAATACAGTTTACTTTTTTGTTATTCTTTGGGTTAATATGAATAAAGATTTATTGTTGGATCGTTTTGTACAACAATTTTCGCATAAAATGCCAGAATCTGCTTTCTTTGAAGGCCTAAACCCTTGTTAAGCCGTGTGTCCGGCGACAAATTCGCGTGAGCTCTTGGACATTGGACACACAGGTTCCGCAACTTTTCCTGCAGTTCTCCAAGAACCATGGATTCGAGTCGCACAACCCGTTGAACACGTAATGCGGGCAGTTCTCGTCGTAATCCACGCAGTCTACAGGTTGAAAAGATTTTAGATTAGGTATAGTATGCCTTACCTTCCAACGGATGCGTTGCATTGCAGCCGCCACAGCTCAAAGGGCAAAGCTTGTCGTGCACTTTGCACTCGCCTTGTGATGCCCACAATTTACAACAAATATTTCCGTCATAACAGGCATCCGTTACGTTGATTTCATTGACCAACAACGAGTCTTGATACTGCTTTTCCTCAACCGTTTGTTCATATTCTGTTCTTTTCGTGAAAGAATTCCAGAAATCTTCAATCAGTGGTGCTTTGACAGCGATCTTGACAGCCATTGCTGACGCCCAAGGGTCCACTAGCTTTAATCCTCTTGAATAAGGACATGTCTCTAGCAAATATTCGTCGGAAACGCATGAGTTGCAGCTGTATCTGCAATTCTCAAGCATCCACGGATTCGGATCGCATTTTCCTTGGCTTGCGTGCAATGCACAAGTATCGTAGAAGTCCTCGCATACTAAAGAATGATTCGAGTACTTTTTCATACAACTTTGACTTACTAGTGACTGGTCTGGCTTGTCCAATACAATTTCCACAACTCAGTTGACACAGTTGCTGAATAGCCGGATCTTCACATCCTCCCCGAGGAGCAAACCACTTGCAGCACATGTTATTATCAAAGCAATCTGGAACGCAAACAGAGCTTGGGGTTGTGATTGCCGGCGATGTATCAGGAGTTGGAGTTTCTGTTGTAGTGGTTGGAGTGCTTGTGAACGGCGTAGTCTCAGTGCTTGTTGGGGTTCCAGAAGAAGCAGTTGGAGTCTCTGTGGAACCAGTTGCAGTGCTCGTGAAAGGCGTAGTCTCAGAGCTCGTTGGTGTTCCAGAAGAAGCAGTTGGAGTTTCTGTGGAAGGAGATGGACTGCTTGTGAACGGCGTAGTCTCAGAGCTCGTTGGTGTTCCAGAAGAAGCTGTTGGAGTTTCTGTGGAACCAGTTGCAGTGCTCGTGAAAGGCGTAGTCTCAGAGCTCGTTGGTGTTCCAGAAGAAGCAGTTGGAGTTTCTGTGGAACCAGTTGCAGTGCTCGTGAAAGGCGTAGTCTCAGAGCTCGTTGGGGTTCCAGAAGAAGCTGTTGGAGTTTCTGTGGAACCAGTTGCAGTGCTCGTGAAAGGCGTAGTCTCAGAGCTCGTTGGTGTTCCAGAAGAAGCAATTGGAGTTTCTGTGGAACCAGTTGCAGTGCTCGTGAAAGGCGTAGTCTCAGAGCTCGTTGGTGTCCCAGAAGAAGCAGTTGGAGTTTCTGTGGAAGGAGATGGACTGCTTGTGAAAGGCGTAGTCTCAGAGCTCGTTGGTGTCCCAGAAGAAGCAGTTGGAGTTTCTGTGGAACCAGTTGCAGTGCTCGTGAAAGGCGTAGTCTCAGAGCTCGTTGGTGTTCCAGAAGAAGCAATTGGAGTTTCTGTGGAACCAGTTGCAGTGCTCGTGAAAGGCGTAGTCTCAGAGCTCGTTGGTGTCCCAGAAGAAGCAGTTGGAGTTTCTGTGGAACCAGTTGCAGTGCTCGTGAAAGGCGTAGTCTCAGAGTTCGTTGGTGTTCCAGAAGAAGCAATTGGAGTTTCTGTGGAACCAGTTGCAGTGCTCGTGAAAGGCGTAGTCTCAGAGCTCGTTGGTGTCCCAGAAGAAGCAGTTGGAGTTTCTGTGGAACCAGTTGCAGTGCTCGTGAAAGGCGTAGTCTCAGAGCTCGTTGGTGTTCCAGAAGAAGCAATTGGAGTTTCTGTGGAACCAGTTGCAGTGCTCGTGAAAGGCGTAGTCTCAGAGCTCGTTGGTGTCCCAGAAGAAGCTGTTGGAGTTTCTGTGGAACCAGTTGCAGTGCTCGTGAAAGGCGTAGTCTCAGAGCTCGTTGGTGTTCCAGAAGAAGCAATTGGAGTTTCTGTGGAACCAGTTGCAGTGCTCGTGAAAGGCGTAGTCTCAGAGCTCGTTGGTGTCCCAGAAGAAGCAGTTGGAGTTTCTGTGGAACCAGTTGCAGTGCTCGTGAAAGGCGTAGTCTCAGAGCTCGTTGGTGTTCCAGAAGAAGCAGTTGGAGTTTCTGTGGAACCAGTTGCAGTGCTCGTGAAAGGCGTAGTCTCAGAGCTCGTTGGGGTTCCAGAAGAAGCTGTTGGAGTTTCTGTGGAACCAGTTGCAGTGCTCGTGAAAGGCGTAGTCTCAGAGCTCGTTGGGGTTCCAGAAGAAGCTGTTGGAGTTTCTGTGGAAGGAGATGGACTGCTTGTGAACGGCGTAGTCTCAGAGCTCGTTGGTGTTCCAGAAGAAGCAGTTGGAGTTTCTGTGGAAGGAGATGGACTGCTTGTGAACGGCGTAGTCTCAGAGCTCGTTGGTGTTCCAGAAGAAGCTGTTGGAGTTTCTGTGGAAGGAGATGGACTGCTTGTGAACGGCGTAGTCTCAGAGCTCGTTGGTGTTCCAGAAGAAGCTGTTGGAGTTTCTGTGGAAGGAGATGGACTGCTTGTGAACGGCGTAGTCTCAGAGCTCGTTGGGGTTCCAGAAGAAGCTGTTGGAGTTTCTGTGGAAGGAGATGGACTGCTTGTGAACGGCGTAGTCTCAGAGCTCGTTGGTGTTCCAGAAGAAGCAGTTGGAGTTTCTGTGGAAGGAGATGGACTGCTTGTGAACGGCGTAGTCTCAGAGCTCGTTGGGGTTCCAGAAGAAGCTGTTGGAGTTTCTGTGGAAGGAGATGGACTGCTTGTGAACGGCGTAGTCTCAGAGCTCGTTGGTGTTCCAGAAGAAGCAGTTGGAGTTTCTGTGGAAGGAGATGGACTGCTTGTGAACGGCGTAGTCTCAGAGCTCGTTGGTGTTCCAGAAGAAGCAGTTGGAGTTTCTGTGGAAGGAGATGGACTGCTTGTGAACGGCGTAGTCTCAGAGCTCGTTGGTGTTCCAGAAGAAGCTGTTGGAGTTTCTGTGGAACCAGTTGCAGTGCTCGTGAAAGGCGTAGTCTCAGAGCTCGTTGGTGTTCCAGAAGAAGCAGTTGGAGTTTCTGTGGAACCAGTTGCAGTGCTCGTGAAAGGCGTAGTCTCAGAGCTCGTTGGTGTTCCAGAAGAAGCAATTGGAGTTTCTGTGGAACCAGTTGCAGTGCTCGTGAAAGGCGTAGTCTCAGAGCTCGTTGGTGTCCCAGAAGAAGCAGTTGGAGTTTCTGTGGAAGGAGATGGACTGCTTGTGAAAGGCGTAGTCTCAGAGCTCGTTGGTGTCCCAGAAGAAGCAGTTGGAGTTTCTGTGGAACCAGTTGCAGTGCTCGTGAAAGGCGTAGTCTCAGAGCTCGTTGGTGTCCCAGAAGAAGCAGTTGGAGTTTCTGTGGAAGGAGATGGACTGCTTGTGAACGGCGTAGTCTCAGAGCTCGTTGGGGTTCCAGAAGAAGCAGTTGGAGTTTCTGTGGAACCAGTTGCAGTGCTCGTGAAAGGCGTAGTCTCAGAGCTCGTTGGTGTCCCAGAAGAAGCAGTTGGAGTTTCTGTGGAACCAGTTGCAGTGCTCGTGAAAGGCGTAGTCTCAGAGCTCGTTGGTGTTCCAGAAGAAGCAGTTGGAGTTTCTGTGGAACCAGTTGCAGTGCTCGTGAAAGGCGTAGTCTCAGAGCTCGTTGGGGTTCCAGAAGAAGCTGTTGGAGTTTCTGTGGAACCAGTTGCAGTGCTCGTGAAAGGCGTAGTCTCAGAGCTCGTTGGGGTTCCAGAAGAAGCTGTTGGAGTTTCTGTGGAAGGAGATGGACTGCTTGTGAACGGCGTAGTCTCAGAGCTCGTTGGTGTTCCAGAAGAAGCAGTTGGAGTTTCTGTGGAAGGAGATGGACTGCTTGTGAACGGCGTAGTCTCAGAGCTCGTTGGTGTTCCAGAAGAAGCTGTTGGAGTTTCTGTGGAAGGAGATGGACTGCTTGTGAACGGCGTAGTCTCAGAGCTCGTTGGTGTTCCAGAAGAAGCTGTTGGAGTTTCTGTGGAAGGAGATGGACTGCTTGTGAACGGCGTAGTCTCAGAGCTCGTTGGGGTTCCAGAAGAAGCTGTTGGAGTTTCTGTGGAAGGAGATGGACTGCTTGTGAACGGCGTAGTCTCAGAGCTCGTTGGTGTTCCAGAAGAAGCAGTTGGAGTTTCTGTGGAAGGAGATGGACTGCTTGTGAACGGCGTAGTCTCAGAGCTCGTTGGGGTTCCAGAAGAAGCTGTTGGAGTTTCTGTGGAAGGAGATGGACTGCTTGTGAACGGCGTAGTCTCAGAGCTCGTTGGTGTTCCAGAAGAAGCAGTTGGAGTTTCTGTGGAAGGAGATGGACTGCTTGTGAACGGCGTAGTCTCAGAGCTCGTTGGTGTTCCAGAAGAAGCAGTTGGAGTTTCTGTGGAAGGAGATGGACTGCTTGTGAACGGCGTAGTCTCAGAGCTCGTTGGTGTTCCAGAAGAAGCTGTTGGAGTTTCTGTGGAACCAGTTGCAGTGCTCGTGAAAGGCGTAGTCTCAGAGCTCGTTGGTGTTCCAGAAGAAGCAGTTGGAGTTTCTGTGGAACCAGTTGCAGTGCTCGTGAAAGGCGTAGTCTCAGAGCTCGTTGGTGTTCCAGAAGAAGCAATTGGAGTTTCTGTGGAACCAGTTGCAGTGCTCGTGAAAGGCGTAGTCTCAGAGCTCGTTGGTGTCCCAGAAGAAGCAGTTGGAGTTTCTGTGGAAGGAGATGGACTGCTTGTGAAAGGCGTAGTCTCAGAGCTCGTTGGTGTCCCAGAAGAAGCAGTTGGAGTTTCTGTGGAACCAGTTGCAGTGCTCGTGAAAGGCGTAGTCTCAGAGCTCGTTGGTGTCCCAGAAGAAGCAGTTGGAGTTTCTGTGGAAGGAGATGGACTGCTTGTGAACGGCGTAGTCTCAGAGCTCGTTGGGGTTCCAGAAGAAGCAGTTGGAGTTTCTGTGGAACCAGTTGCAGTGCTCGTGAAAGGCGTAGTCTCAGAGCTCGTTGGTGTCCCAGAAGAAGCAGTTGGAGTTTCTGTGGAAGGAGATGGACTGCTTGTGAACGGCGTAGTCTCAGAGCTCGTTGGTGTTCCAGAAGAAGCTGTTGGAGTTTCTGTGGAAGGAGATGGACTGCTTGTGAACGGCGTAGTCTCAGAGCTCGTTGGTGTTCCAGAAGAAGCTGTTGGAGTTTCTGTGGAAGGAGATGGACTGCTTGTGAACGGCGTAGTCTCAGAGCTCGTTGGGGTTCCAGAAGAAGCTGTTGGAGTTTCTGTGGAAGGAGATGGACTGCTTGTGAACGGCGTAGTCTCAGAGCTCGTTGGTGTTCCAGAAGAAGCAGTTGGAGTTTCTGTGGAAGGAGATGGACTGCTTGTGAACGGCGTAGTCTCAGAGCTCGTTGGGGTTCCAGAAGAAGCT